TAAAAGACAAAAGATACATTTGCACGTCACGAGTAATGTGACCTACTGAAAAAAAATCGGGCAATTTGAAAATTTAGTCAAGTTCACACATGCACAATCAACCCCTCATTGGTGTGATCCTCTGATCCGGGAAATCGAGATGTCCTCTCACAAACAACAGTTATTAGTAACAAGCATAACACGATTTTCCAATCTATTAACGAAGTTTGAGCATTTAGGGTCAAAGCAGAGACTTGGGTCGATGTGAATCGGCTTAAAAATAACAAATTTGGGGTATCTTTATTTTACATCTTGGTCGAGACCTGTCACCAGCAATATGATTTCATGTTGCCTTATTCAGGCGGGCGAAACTCACGTTACATGCGATCTGATCATCTGACTCTCACGATCGAGATCGGTAGCTTTAACTCACCAGCTCCAACACGGTTTTTTAGACTTTTTTCGGTTTTTCGAGCTGCCCTTCTCCCCTGAGGCCACGATGAAAAACATACAATATATTATATCTTTATTCTTTATATGTTACATGCATTCCCCTGCAGTAGTGAAAAGTAAATTGTTTGTTTTATTTCAGTGTCGACAGCTCAAACTATGGTGGTATCTTATCGCTACAATGCTGCTAACTAGACTCTTGGATGAAGTTAAGTTGTTTTAGTCAGATGATCTACTTTTTGGCGTTTCCTACTGCCCTAGTTATAGTAGTTCAAGGTTTAACTGTAAATATAGTGTTAAGTAAGTTTCAATACTTCCCTGCCACCTTTTCAGACATTGCAGAGATGTGTGACCGCACAATTCTCAAACCGAAGAATCAAAAGGAGTTATTGATTTATCGGTATATAAAGTATGTATGCTTTATCAAACAAAGCCACTAGGTAAGCAAATTCAAATATTTTGACAGTTCATACTGCGGTTATACATTGCAGCCAATGCGCAGCAAACAAGAGCTTGCCACTGCTATAAGCATTCGTATTCGTAGCTTGTTTGAATCTCAAATTTATTCGAATTATCATAAGTAGCCGGAAGCCCGTCCTGCGGACGGAGTTCTTCAGCACAAAATCGATTCTCAAACATTTTAAATCTACCCTTTCTCATTTCTACTTCTTTTCCTTTCACAATTTTCATGTTTTTAAAAAACTTCTTACCCCTATCCATGTCACCTATGATTCATGCATTTCTAGCTTCTCGGACAGTGCTGTCTTTTCCCTCATTGGCAAATCCTGAAAGTTTTATGAAAAATATAGATCAGAGTTATGTTTGTTCTGCACGTCTGCATTTCAGGTATTCGTGACACAGTTTACGTGTGATGACGTGGGCATCTCTCAACACACTTTGCAGCATGAGCGACGGTGCCGTGGCGGGATATCTGGAAATGTAGCCTTGAGCTCAGTTTATTTTTCTCCGTCACCTCACCCGGGGGAGGGGGGGGGGAGCCAATGACTTTGGGTACTTTGGGGACAAGTGCAGAATTTCGCCAGCAATTTAACCTCAAGTCTCCAAGATTTTTAGCCCCCATTGGTACCCAAAAGTCTCCTTTAGAAGTCATTTAATAAAAGATAATATCAAAACTACATAAAACTCGCCAAAACTTTGGGTACTTATGGGGACAAATGGAAAATTTCACCAGCGATTTGACCTTCAGTCCCTATGATTTTCGTCCCCATTGGTGCTCAAAAGTCTCCATCAGTAGTCATTGCCCCCCCCCCCCCCCCCCCCCCTCATCCTGTGTCGGCTGTATTCAATTCTGATTGTACCACGGTTAAAAAATGCCAGTTAAATGTACCAACTCTCGTTTTATTTATTGTACCGACTCTCGCTCTTCGACCACGCTTTTCGTCTACTTAGCGTAGGGCGCGGTAATATTTCATGTAATCACGCACACACGTATCGCGCGCGATGTAGAAATAAGTGCAGCGCACATGGTCTTGTGGGTGACCCCCGTAATCCATGTGGTGGGGCAGGAGGGTCAAGCACTGTTTTTGTGGGTGACCCCCGTAATCCATGTGGTGGGGCAGGAGGGTCAAGCACTGTTTTTTCTGAAATGAACCTCCTGATCCATGTGGTGGGGCAGGAGGGTCAAGCACTGTTTCTGAAATGAACCTCCTGATCCATGCGGTGGGGCAGGAGGGTCAAGCAATGTTCTTTTCAGGTTGACCCTCCTGCGCCATTATACTTACCTAAATATCGATATCATGATCACAAATCAAAAACTGACTACATCTACAAAATAGGAGTGTCATGTTAACTATTTGAACATTAATATTATTTTAATTTTAACCCTCATGTTCAAAATTAACGTTTGGCTATAATAAATTGGTAAACAGTAAAGCACGCGTACTAAATTGAGGGATCTAAACTTACTATGAATTCTCAAACTCACACTACAAATGAAAAAATTAATCGTGATTAATAGTTTTCAATCGTTCGCAGCTTGGTGAGGCTCACTGGTGCATTTTGCCGATATTGCGAGAAAGATTATTTGATGCGCGGCTCGGCTCAGTAGTGCATTGCGCTACAAATAAAAAGGCTATTGTAGTTAATAAGCAATTTATCGGGCACACCTATCCCTATCACCTATGCTCAATGCTGTATGTGTACTGTGCAGCGTTAATTTCGAGCTTCTTGCAATTAAGGACCTGAGCAAAAAACGTTGCGAGCTATGAATCTAAATAATTTAACAAACTGCAACTGACCACGAGCCGCGCATCACTTAGCCATTAGCACAGGGATTGGGGTGCTAGGTTGCTCTATCCAGAGCCCTTGCGCTTGCAGTACAAGTGGCGCGCGCCCGCCTCCCGGCGGGCGCAGTCCACAGTGGCGCGAAAGCACACGGTTAGGTGAACGTGCTAGGTAAAATTGGGTCGTGCAATTAAATAATTTACTTTTACCTGTATACCACACAGCTGCAGTTATGTTAATAGTTTACAGCTTGTACTTGTTATTTTTTACTGGAAAATAAATGAAACGATGCGCCAAAACAAATTTTAGAGTAAAATTATTAATCCAACCATATTATGGTTTTTATACCTTCACTACTGACTGCAAAAAAGTACTTTTCAAATTGCGCGCTTTGCAATAAATTCTTTTAGATTTTATGAAATAAATGAAACTTTGTTGTAAATATATTTCACAATTAAATTGCAAAAAGGATGGTTGGTTTTTTCTTCTAAAAAGGAAGCATGAAAAATTAATTATCTGTGCACTTGTAGCGCGATGCACTACTGGGTCGCGCGCGCATCCAATAATGCTTTTTGCAACCAATTATGCAGATCGGCGAGATGCAAAGATTGATATCGTCAATCAATCTGTGTACCAATTTTATTTCTGTATATTGTTTAAATATTGAAAGATATAAGTTACAAAATAATTTAGTTTAAAATGGTCATATGATTGCTATTAAGATCACTGACGTTTAGTTGGGATCCATTGCATTCCCTTCTTCAACACTTGCTCTCATGTCTGCTGTTGATGCGAATCGTACAAATCACGTTCTTCTTTTTAAGCACACATCCTGGTCGTCGGGATTGAGGGTGGTCTTATTAATTCATTTTAAGATTGAACGCAAAATTATGATGCTCCTCTATCAGACTATAGTCTGGAATTGATGTTTTCTTATTTTGAGTACTCACTTACATATGTGTACGTAAGGGTACCCTTTACTAACATGATTTGGCAACCATCTGGCAACTTCTTGGAAGAATCGATTGGTAAATGGTAATGTTTGAATTTATAAGGGAGTAAAGCTTGAATGATCTTGCTTTTTCGATTTCATTCTGCTGTTTTTAATATCTGGCACCTATTTCCCTCTACCCATATACCTATCTGTTTCTACTGCAGCTCTTTGATGTTCTTATCCAGAAATAAATATCTTGTTTTCACTTTGGACGAACAGAAACTTGGCTCTGTCAAGTACACTTTCTACTCTAGTGCCTGGGTAGTAAGCAAAGGCGGGATTCGTCTTGCACAGGAGGCTCCATCAGTCCATCATCCTGAAAGTTCCCTAGAACCATATTCGGCATTATTATTATTTTTATTATAATTATTATTAAATCTAAAATAGCTAATAATTTAATAAATTATTAACAGGCCCCTTAACGTGGGCAATAATATACGCTTTATAAATTATATAAACAAATTGAAGTCTATTTTCCAATGTTGTTAAGTGTCTCTTTAGATCTGTTTTGGTCTTTCGTGGGAGTTCCCACATTTGTTGGTTGAGAATGCTCAACATAACATACATGGTGCTTGACTGCTTTATTGACCCGGACAGGCACCGGCGCGGGGGCAGACATCCCAACACCAGTGCGTTGGGACATAGTGTTGGTCTGCTTCAGGACGTGTTAGATCCTAGAGAAGCCGCCATCCCCTCTACTGCTTTAGCTCAGCGGCAGCATGAGCCCTGGTTTCCTGCCACATTGGTACCTCTGAAAGTACAGAAAAGTGGTGGATTTCGGGGTCCAGGATACTCCTTCTAACCTCTTTGTTCTTTATGGTGGTAATATTTCTCTGAGATGTTTGCAGAGTCTTTATTTCATGATCTTTCTAGTCGGATAAATCCTGGAGAGCATCATTTTGTCCCCAAAGAAATTCGACTCTCCTAATGAATGCTTTTTGTGTGCTGCTTTTTGTTAACACTTCATCTAGATAGGAATGTGAGTCTGCCCCACCCAGCTCTTCTTTCAGTTGCAGGTAACTGGTGTCTTGCACCTCCAGACACATATTCGGCATAGCAAACCAACCTTATCTGCTTACCGTGGTCTGCTCATCTTTGAGTCTCTATCAATAGAGGTGGTCATCCCCTATTATTGTAAAGCAGTTCAAATATACTGTTGTAAGTTAATTACATATATATTATGTTACAACCTCAATCATTGTTGCTAACAACCTCACAGTTTCTTAGGCTGACAAGGAGGGACCAAAGTATTATATTTTAATTATAATATCTTACTGATTGAGTGATAAAATTGTTCTAGATATCAATTATTAACCTAAAATAAACCTATCAGCTAACAGTTCAATGTATTCAGAACCACGGACTTCCGTAAACCCCAAATACAAACTTGCTGCGTATAAGGTATATCTAAACCATAATTGAGATTGAGGGCATCTTGCTCCTTTGTCTGGAGCATCCTTGATAAGCATATGAGATTGATCATCTATGCTTTTTTTACCCATTTCATGCATGCTAACTTCTTATTTTCCCTCGAATTTTCTTTATCATATAACGGTTTATAAGCCATTCAATCTCATCATCATATTTCAGAGGCTTAAAAAATTATAATTCAGTCAAATTCATTGGAAAGGTGAGCAGTCAGTTTTATCTTGAAAGCTGAACTTTAATGGTACAACATTTTTTGTTTTTTGGGCTTGCTTTACATAAATTCAGGTACCTGTTAATATTAATATGAAGTTCTCACTTGTGAAAAACAGGTAAACGACAGTCCCAGTTAAAATTCATATTCTAAGTTACTTTATATAATATAATTATTTATAATATAGTTTTAAACTAATTACAACACTAAAAATCTATTACATTTATTGAAAATTATCTAATGTAACATGATGGAAATATTTTAAACGGGTCGTATCCTGTCCAAACCCAGGATGCATAACATGAAGAATTTGTTGTAACTTTGTATGAAAAGCATTTATAATGATATAGTTTCTCTGCTTCCGTTTTAGAAATTTTGTTTTATAACTTTTATGTTCATGATTCACTCACAAGTCACATCTCACCATCAGAAGAATCTTTATATATTTATTATATACGTTTAGTGTAAATTATATAATATATTATGTTGATAAATCCTCATTGGTATTACAACCTAAGAATTTAAAATAATACCTTAACATATCGGTTATATTATGTAAAATTGCCGTTCAGTACATATATAAATATGTTACTGTCCAATTGCATGTCAACATTTCACTTTTGATTAGAAATGACATAATCGAATGGTTGATAAGAGTACCTTAAATAATTGAGTAATCAGAGAAATAGCAAAACAGCCAATTCCGGCAAATTGTTGTGGTCACAACTTTTGGGGCGAGTTATCAACAAGTTTCAGTGCCTGCATGGCTTTAAACAACATTGCATTATAGATTGAAATATTTTTACAATGCATTCATTAAAATTCAGTAAATTTTTAAAAGTTGCAAGTATCATTTTGACTGGCCCAGCCTATTATTTTAATCTTCTAGTCAAATATAGCTTTGTTTTGGTTATTCCCATTTTGATTGATCTTTTTTCTACTCAGATCCAGATGAATTGTTTTTATTATAACAATTCAACACTCTTTCATCAAAAATATATCGTTACAGAAAACTTCATAATAGTTTTATTACTTGGCAGTCCCACCAGGGTATGTCCGACGCTGCCCTAAAGTATCTTGTTGCGGAACGGTCACTTGCACTCAATGCTATATCACAAGCTGAATGGGCCGAGAAAAAGTAAGTTGTCGATATTGTGGTGGTTTCTTCTCGAAAGGGAACATGTCAAAACAAGCTAAATAATTTTATAGGGTTATGCTGCTGATTTAGTTCTTTGATTTGATTAACTTCTGACTGTTCACGTGATACAGGTACATTTGGGTGCCACACACTGAACATGGGTTTGTAGAGGGACAGAAGATCGAAGAGCTTGGAGATGAGATTAACGTACTCTTCGCTGATGGATCCACTGCTTGTATCAGGTGTGTTTTTCTTAAGTGTTTCTTAATTGTTTCCTACTTGGTCTAGCAAGTGGAAGTGAAATGTTACTTCTATGATATTTCTATTGTCATATCTTTATTAATCGGAATACTATACACCTATTTACACCCAAAATCTCTCCCTCCCAGTGCGGATGATGTACAGAAGATGAACCCGCCAAAGTTCGACAAGGTGGAAGATATGGCAGATCTAAGTGTGCTCAACGAGGCTAGTGTCCTTCACAACCTCCGGGACAGATTCCAGTCTGACCTTATCTACGTGAGTTTTCTTAACGTTTCTTTTCTTTTTTACACGAGTTTGCTACAGGTACAACGTCTGATCAATAGTCATGATAGCTATAGGTTTCAAATTTTCATCATAATTATCTATACTAACCAAACACTAAAATTCCACATTTAAACCTACCTACTATCATTGCCTCATAGCATATTATATAATATAACAATCAGCTTACTTTTACATAATGGTGAGTGATGTCATGTTAGAACTAACTTACTAATAGGAGACCTCAGCAACATCAGCACGTCACTCCCGTAAATTGCAATGCTGCTGTAACCGGATCGTTATGAGTGGACCTGACATATTGATGTAATAATGTCATACTGTATACATCCACCAGTGAAATTCTATATGTGTGATGTGTACAATAGTCCGCATGTTGTATATATGTTTCCTAAGCGGTACCACGTGTCTTGTCTCTTGTTGGTGAGTATCACGTGTCTTGTCTCTTGTATCACGTGTCTTGTTTCTTGTTGGTGAGTATCACGTGTCTTGTCTCTTGTTGGTGAGAATATTTGGAAAGTTCTGGGAGTTTAACAGTGGTTATTTTATGACGAATTAAGCATCTGACTATTCTGTCGGCAGAGTGAGATAAAAATGAGATAGAATTCAAGACTTAAGGTATTCCAATTATGACCGTAAAACTGTCGCCGGAACATTTGGTAAAGACCCCGGCGCCTTTTGCTTACACAAACAAAACACACAAAAAAGAGTACATAATTATGTGACATATTTCTACACAAAAACACCAACATTTCCTTTCATTTCAGACATACTCCGGTCTGTTCTGCGTGGTGGTCAACCCCTACAAACGACTTCCTATCTACACTGAGAGAGTAGTGGACATGTACAAAGGAAAAAAGAGATACGAAGTGCCGCCCCACATTTTTGCTATTACTGATAACGCCTATAGGTCTATGTTGCAAGGTAAATTGTAAATAATTTTGTTTAAATTATAATTATTATCACAGCTTTAATGAAGAAATTTAAGGAATTTTGAATAATTCAAGCCTGGAAAAAGAAACGTGAAATTTTCTCGAGGATGTTCAAGGAGCTTCTTTAAATAATTGAAGTTCTTTGTAATGCTATATAAATGCGGAAATGTCATATAATGATATTGCTATACTACCTCAATTAGTAATAATGTTAATTTATTCTATGAATAGGCACACAATATTATATGTAGTTAACCTTATACGGCAATCTTTGTTAGTACAGTGCCTTATAAAGCAATGCTGAATGCAGTTATTGTGGATCTAATTCCGAATGACAACTGTATAATATGCAGTATAATATTGTGATATACACAGACCCACCCTTCCCTCGGAGCTTGACACTGTCGTACAACTAAATGATCTTACTCTCTTACAAGAGCTTTGTTTAAAATCAATCTGTATATTGCATGACGGCTAGCGAGCTATTCCTTTCCGCAATCAAATGCATTACTTAAGTACATACAGTATGCGTTAATCATAATTATCTGATTCTGGGATATAATCACATATTTTTCATAATCTCAATCAAAAGCATTTTAAAACTGTGCAAACCTCAAATTTTAAAATATCATCTGAATCTAGGAAAATAATAAATCACACCATGGCAATATAATAGAATTTAAAACAGCCGTCTTGCCACAATTTTGAATAATTGATGACGTCACAACTACTTAATGACGTCACAACTACATAATGACGTCACGACCCACCTCCGCAGACCGTGAGAACCAAACTATCCTGTGTACTGGAGAATCAGGAGCGGGAAAAACAGAGAACACAAAGAAAGTTATCCAGTATCTTGCCAGTATTACCAGTAGAGGAGGATCTGCTTATTTGACCGATACAGCTGTTCAGAATGGAGGGCCCGTGTCTCCTGTCAAACCTAATGTAAAAGTTTCAGCTAAGGTAAGAACTAAGAAGTTTGTATAATAAGCCTTGTGAAAACTTGAAATAGTGATGTCGAAAATACTCTTTATGTTGCGCTAAAGTAAACAACCGATGCAGATGCGAATACATTTTTAATGTGTAGCCGTGAATTCTCAGTACTAATTTTGTAAGTTCTCAGTACTAATTTTATAAGTTCATTTCAGCTTAAATTTTTGATATCATTGACTCACCAGTTTTGAGATATTGTTGTTGTTTTGAAGTATTATTATCTTATATCTCTTGTGTTAGGGCAGTATATCCTGTTTCCCATTCCTTACAGAAGAGGTAGTATTATCACCACTCTTAAACAGAACAAGTTGACCACGGTTACTATGGTTACCATGGTTACTACTTGTGCCTGGTCGCCTTGTTTTATTATGCATGTTGCCAGCATTTCAGGGACTGTCATTTGCTTCAAAGTTTAGATCAAATCTTCAGTTTTTTTGCATGTAAAAAATGGGACATCTCTTCAATGAGCCTAACTTCGCCTAAAAGATTGTACTTACTTACCTCACCACTTACCCTCCTTACTTACTTACCTCACCACTTACCTCCCTACCCTCTTATAGTCTTTACTAAACACATAGTAATAGTATAATAGGGAGGGCGAAATGGATACTTTTATATGTTACAACATTTTTCTTATCACATTAAGTGATGCCTACACCAAAGGGAGGAATGATAATTACAGGGCCTTTGAAATAAGACATCTGTGCTATCCGTGATGGATGAAAAGTTATGTGGTTTTTTCGAAAATTCCTATGACACATTTTTCTTAAGTTCGTCCCACGTCGGTTCCGGTCTTTGATAATTAGCAGTAAAAGGTGTGTTCCTCTCTTGGACATTCTCTACATATATATTCCCTAATTTACAGCCGGATGTGTCACAGACACAACCTTACAAAAATCAGTAGCATCGAGGTGCTTTAAGATTAATCACATAGTACGAGCATTTCTTACATACCTCGCATATTTCTCTATATAATTTTCAGCATGTTTTCGTGCATTTTCAGCACATAATCACATATATTATCAGTACTGACATATTTTCAGCAAAAAGCGCTGATGAAGAGGAAAAGCTCGATGTCGCTGAACGCTAAAACAGGAGCTCAAGTTAATATGGGTGATCTGGAGCTGCAGCTTCTGCAAGCTAATCCTATCCTCGAGGCGTTCGGTAACGCTAAAACAGTCAAGAACGACAACTCCTCGAGATTCGTAAGTATATACATGACACATACATAGAATATAGATGTAGTATTTAATGATATTGAATTGGGATGTGATGAATATTATTTTCACGTGTAATAGCGATCTTTATCATCAGCGATCAGCTTCAACATGTTAAATTTACCATACAAATGCATGCTACATGCATAACTCTGAACCTATTTATAATTCATAATATCTCTAATCCTAACGGGGTCTTGGTCGATTAAAGCGGTCCTTTTACAACATGTTTCTTAACAGACTCATGCTGTTCGCAGGGAAAGTTTATCAAGATCACATTCGATGTATCAGGATACATATCAGGAGCTAATATTGAGACTTATCTGCTGGAGAAAGCAAGGGTTATTAGACAGGCTCTAAATGAGAGAACTTTCCATATCTTCTATCAGATGCTCTATGGTGCTACTAAAGAAATGAAAGGTTTGTTGAGTATCTTTGTCATCCTCTTAGTCATTGCTGCCAGTTGCATTGGTCATGCTCATTCATTTAACTCTGATTAATTATAAACTAATTTATGTTATTATCTTAACTTTTGATTTGCCACGTATCCTTGAAAAAATGCCAAGGTAGCTGTAGGTGATGATGACATTGAAAGTGCTTCGGCGAACTTTAAAACTTAGTCGTTAAACTTAATTTTTCAATCAACTTAGTTGTTAAACTTAACGTTCGACAATAATATTGAATGTTTCTTTCAGAAAAATTCTTACTGGAGGATATAAACGAGTATCCGTTCATTTCAAACGGACACGAGTCCATCGCCGGACAGGACGATTCACAGGTACTTCCCCCTATTATAGTCGATATAAATTACACTCGATACGCTTGGCGATTGTTTATGTTACACAAAGGTGTGTTTTAAAATACTGATATAATTCTTTTGCCCGAGCTCCATCTCTGGAGGGATAAGGTCATTGATCAAGTTTAGAAACTAATGATGTGTCACACATACTACTCATGTGGATTGTACTTCTTTGTACAATGTACAGGATATCAAGTTTTAAAATGTCTCAACTCGCTCAGGTCCACTACCAATGGGCAGTGTATGCTAATAGTGTATCATAATAGTGTATCCTAATAGTTAACGCTAATATCATCAGTACGCGATGATCTTGAAACATGATCTTGCTTTCGCAAACGGGTATTTGCAATTATAGTCATTCGACGTAGATCGTGCAGGCAAAACGATAAACCAATTAACTAATCGCCAACTAATTAACTAATCGCACAATTTCCAGGACTTCCTGGACACGCTGGAAGCTCTAGAGATAATGCAAGCTGCACCCGAAGAGATTGAGACTATCCTAAAGGTGGTCAGTTCTTGTTTACTGTTTGGTAACGTTGAGATCAAACAAGAGAGGAATTCTGATCAAGCCATCCTTACTAACAACACAGGTGACTAGACAAGAATTTATGTTTCTGCGCTCAATTCGAAAGATTAAATTTGATCTGAATTTAGATTATTTTGTCGTCGCCATTCATATTTTTTATTTATTTGTTTTCTGGTTTATAATATAATTGAACAAGGGATTACATGTAGTACACGACTAGTATAGGAACGATGTAGACTGGATTAGAAGGACAAACAAAGAATTATCACATTATTAATCATCATTATGTCTAGTAGCTTTACACATCATAGCGCTGCTTGGAATGATGATGTTATGTTTAATGTTGATAATTATGATAATACAGTGTATGGTATGAGATATCTGGTCATGAAAAGAATGTTAAACATGTAGTGCTATATTGTGTTTCAGTCGGCCTTTTGATCCTACCCAAAGTGATATCTTAGCAATTCTCAATTCATCCAGGGAAAGTAATGTGTCTGAGAAGCTTTAATGATCAAAGAAGTTCTTAAGTTAAGATATTTTTACAAGACTTAGAGAATACCCATCTTAAAGGTAATTGACTTCAATTGTTGGGACCAGGGGGAGTATTTGAATGACGTAAGAGAGCTATATTAAGGTATATTCTTAGAACTAAAATATCTTACCAATACCACACTCTCGGACCGTATTCTGTCGGTATAGCAATGAGAGACATGAGATAAATGAAAATAATCAATTTAATGTACTAACTCTGTAGCTGTCGCGCCACGATCACGCCGGACTGAGCTGAAGAATATTATATAATGATCCCGAATATCTTTCAGCCGATTTAGTATTTTGGTATTTTTAGACCTTATCTGATCCGGTTCATACTCAATATAAAGTAATATAATTCGCTGTATTTGACACACAGTTATTAGGCAATATAAGTTATTAGGCACTATAGCGGTGTTATTGCAGCGTTGACTGCAAGACTGACCGTTCCAAGTAGCCGTTAAACCTATATTTCCGCGGTAAAACGTCATTCCCAGAACCGGTTTAAGTTCGTAAAAATCGAGATTTTGCCCGAAATAAGTCGGTTTGGTAATCTGAAGATTTAATGCTTGACGCAATGAATATGTACAATATACATAGGAGGATGTTTCACTATTATGTACAAAAAAGCTGATCATTGTATGAAAATAATATTATTACTTTCCTTCTTTTGATATGAGTTTACAAGATCCTCTAATCTATAAATTGTTTCAGTAACCCAGAAGATTTGCAAGCTGCTCGGAATGCCAGCAGTTGACTTCGAGAAAGCCCTCCTAAAACCTCGCATAAAAGTAGGACGAGAGTATGTTGTAAAAGCCCAAAATCAGGACCAAGTCCGGTTCTCTTGTGAGAGTATTGCTAAGGCAATATACGAGCGAACCTTCAAGTGGGTCTCTCAGAAGATCAACAAGGTGCTGAGCAGAAACCAGTTCCAGGGAGCAGCCTTTGTGGGGATCCTGGATATTGCTGGCTTTGAGATCTTTAGGGTGAGTCAGCTGTGTAGTCAGTAGTGTGCTGTTTTGTGAACTTTTCACTGCTAATTAATTATAAGAGAGCGCTAAATATAGCTGTACTCAGTTCGTCAGAAAAAGAAAAAAAACAAATTTAATATTGTCCTCCGCCTTTATAAACACCGCCATCAAGTTGGTTTTTATTTGTCACAGTGGCGTGATCCAATCCCGTAAAAGTTATAATGTTGTGTACAATATTTGATCAATTGATGGTTCTTTAATTGTTTGTTGTGCGTCACACATGTATTATTTATTAACAAATGTTAAAACCACCGCACAATGCGTCGGTGAGCAGGTCCTCTCAGCTTGCTTGGTAATCATTATGTATTCCTTATGTAAAATATGCTGAGCACGGATTGATGTGCGGTGAATGTGTCAGACTTTGTTTGTTAATTATGTGCTGTGAAACACATTTCTTAACGGCAAATCAGGAGTCCCTTTTACAACATCTTTAAAATTTGAATTTATTTTATTGAATTCTCTTTGCCCTGGAAATTATAGTGAACATTATAAACTTTCGCATACTAAATGAATGAACACCAGGGTTTGTAAGGTCCATCTAATTGAATTTCTAACTGAATTTCTAAAGCACTCCCTCTAAAATAAAACCAGCCACCTCTTCTCACATAGTTACAGAATTCCCCCCAGATTAACAGTTTTGAGCAGCTGTGTATCAACTACACCAACGAGAAACTCCAACAACTCTTCAACCACACCATGTTCATCTTGGAACAGGAGGAGTACAGAACTGAGGGTATCGAGTGGAAATTCATCGACTTCGGGCTAGATCTGCAGCCTTGTATTGACCTGATTGAGAAGGTAATTGTTGCAATTAATTTATTAGAATTAGTACTTGTAATTATTGGAACACGTTATTTCAGGTCAATTGCCGATTCATTATTGAGAAGGTATAGGACGCCACAACCGGAGCTTTGAACTGTGTCATAATATATTGCACATCAGATTGACAACAATTTAACAGAATACCGGTTTTATATTTATTTAATTTGCCCGAGGAAGTGCAATACTATAGTGACATTAAGATAAAGGGAGGGGTAGTTTTAAGTTTTACTGAAAATAATTGCCTTAAATGGTAGCAGTGCACTGTAGAGGCTGTATAAAGAATTTGTAATAAAGTTATAAGGAATATACTGACCCCTCTGTCCGAGCTGTGTAACATTATACAGTAACTCAAATTTAATGAGAATAAATAAATTGTCAGGTTTTCTTACACGCTCCGATAATTAACCTAATATATGATATTAGAATATTCTGAATTCTAGAGTCACGTTTTAATGGTATCTGTTAAGGAATGTTATTAATTCTACAGATTCACATTGAACAATAACGTTATAATATGTGATCATGCACACCCGTAAATTAAATCCCCGTCAACCGAATACAATCATCATTAACAGGGGTTTCAGGGCCGACTTCACTCTAAAATATTAACTCATTTCTATAAAAGATATTGTAGCTTCCGATTCAAACACACCGTGCGGGGATTTGATTTACGGGTACTTAATCTTCTAGGGTATTTAATTTAATTTACAGGTATTTAATTTTAAGTTGACAGCATAATAATAAGCGGGCCGGCTGCAGCGAGCTACAAACACTAGTTTGGTAGATCTGTCAGTATTAACTATCATAACAATAAATTACTAAGCAGCTCTAGGCTGATCTTTAGTCGCGATGTACATGTAAGTTATCCTTTACATCTTGTTAGAAACTTCTTTTTAGCCGTACCTAGCTCTTAGCCAGATATATCATAAATCATTCCTAGTACACGACGTGACCGGAGGTAATGAGGTTCGATTAAATTTGCAATTGCTAATGATTCACTAATGAGTTAGTAATTACTAATGAGTTCCCAGATGTTGAGTTTCATGACAGTTTAAGTGTAGTTCAATCGGAACGCAGCACGTTTTTTTCAATATTCAAATTCTTTCAAAAGAATTAAGATGTAAAATATGAGTAGAATGGATCGTGCTGAATGCTTTACATTTATATGGTGTTTACAATTCCTCTCTAACTACCGTAACAGTTATTGTTGGGGAGGGGTTACTACGCCCTCAGCTACGATACGCCTTCTACTAAATTATTCGTGTTCAGTAGCCTTAATATCGGCTGAATATAGCTCAATATGAAGCATTAACAGAGTTATTTTTGTGGAAATAAAACATCAAACATTCGTCCAGATTTACAACTGGTACGAATAAACTGAAAGAGAATCAGTAGAACATTCTAGTCCCTATCATCAAACACTTTATTGTTGTACCCCTATTAATATCTCTTTGTTTCAGCCTATGGGAATCCTGGCGTTGTTAGACGAGGAATGTTGGTTCCCCAAAGCTACTGATCAGACTTACGTTAGCAAGGTGGAGAATGAGATGGTCGGCAAGAGCAAGTTCGCCAAACCCGACTTCAGATCAGACGCAGACTTCTGCGTGCTCCACTACGCCGGATATGTGAGTATTTATGTGCATAATTTATGAGTACATGTCAGCATAATCCGCATAATCCACGAGAAAGTATTCAAAATGTGATAAGAAAGTGTGGGCCGCGGAGGAAAGAGACATTTTGACAGTCTGATAATCTATGTGACCTGATAATAATCCATTGGACAGTCTCACAGAATCAAGTTTAAAACATGTCCCATAAATAGAAGGTGTCTTATTGGTCCTCGTTTAACTCCGTCCTGACTATTAATTAAGACCCCGTTTATGAGTTATGACTCCCATTATTAATACTACTGAGATTGAGTTAGGGAGGTGACATGGGCACAACTAATTGAACTCAGATGAGAGGCTTTAAAGTTACACTCACATTATGTAGCGAGCACATGTAACACACATAGGCTAACAGGGAAACCTCAGGTTCATTGGGTGTTGGGTAAAAACAGCGAATAGTGAGGTTTGCAGTGAATAGTGGGGAGTGTTGTGATGCTATACATAGGGAGACAGTGCACAGATCTGAGTCAATCAGCTCACAGAAGTGGATCTATTCTGAGTTTTGTGGGTCATAATAGTTTTACATTGGATTGGAAGGTAGAAAAACCCAGTATTAAATAGTTTAAAACACCTGGAGACGTTAAAATAGCGGTTGTGGTTGATATGATATGAAATGTTACCCGCCTCCCCACCTGTGCTCCCCGCCTCCCCGCTAACGGGGTAACATGATACCGGTAATACACCAGGTAATTGTAACTGTGCTGTGAGTAGAGGATCAGGGGCACTGGGACGCGCGCTATTTCTACTTCTTGTGGGAGGTCTTAATGTGAAATGTGAAAATATGAAGTACTGGATAGTGGACGGACATTTTTAGTGTACTGAATATCACATGTACATTGTACACTGTAGGTATCTATTACATGATGTAAGAAAATCTCAGCATATTCTTGTTCATTTCATTACATGAAGACACATTTCCCCGTACTAAAAGATGGGTTTTATATCTTGTATTCTGTTTTTTGACTTAAGGATGCAGATAATATTTCATGAGAAATCAGAGTGAAAAATAGAGATGATGCGACTGGGACTTTCATACCAAATAATATATTCTTTGCTGTTAGATGGCCAGAACTAATAATTTTAATATCACCGATGTCTTTGACCCACAGCACAGAGACCTTGTTCCAAGGAGTAGGTTGAGCTCTAGTATGTTAACTCTTCTGGATACCTATTACTAATGCTGCCACAGGGGCCCAAAATGTTTATGCAACATATTTTGATAGCTATTGCTTGTAATGATCTAATGACCCATTAATAATAATGGCAACAAAAAGCGAAACAACCTTTCCCGGCCCTACCCTTGGAGTATTAATATGAATAATATTTGTCTCGTGTAATGTGTACAGATATGATTCATATCATTATGTGTATAGTGTATACTGTATAGTGTGTATTAGTATTTAGTGTATAACACATTGTAGTTTGAAGGAAGTCACCTGAAGACTTGTTGTCATAGAGATAGTATACTGATTATAACACACGTGAGAATAGTACTGGAAATAGTGCTGAAAAACAATAACTTTGACTTACTGAACATAAATTAGTGAGCGTTATATTCCGGATTCCCTGCAGACAATTTCTGGGGTTGCTGATTTAGCGAAATCATCCAAAAACCAGATATGGAGGTCCTAACATGACGTCACTTTATCCAAACTCACTGTCTTATATTGAGGATTTAGACATTTTGGTCCACATTTGATACAAGTTCGTCTGCTCTGAAAGATGAAACCGTAGTTCATTGATCTTGCAATTTAAAAACGTTTCTCACGGATCATTGCAAACCATTGCGACCGTATTTTAAAATAGTTAAATATCACCATTGGTATGTTAAATATTACCAGTTGCAGTGGTATGTTAATATGTGCCCAGCATCACAAATGAGTTTGTCTAGACAACTAGACAAGCTCTAGACAGCAGATGGCTTACTACCTGAATACATCTGTTAACGCTATCTTGTCACCAGAATCCAGAATCCAGATCACTGGGATATATAGTATATATACGATAAGCCTTACTATTATAAACTCTACTATAAAGAGTATTTACAGAGCACTTTAGAGAACTCTACTATTTGGAGAACTGAAACATCTCTCAAGATGATTTATAAACTCTATTGACAACTTATAGACATATATTGTGAATTATGTACAAGTTATTAACCTCTATAGTCTATATTATAGAGAACTTATAGATCTCTAACCTGTAAATTTATGGATCTCTCTAGAGAACCCTCGAAAAAACATGAGCTCTGAAACTCAACTAATAAACCCGTGTCTAACAGGTAGAGTACAAAGCGGACAAGTGGTTATTGAAGAACATGGACCCTCTTAACGAGAACTTGGTACAGCTGCTGTCTGAGTCTGCTGACTTCTTCGTTGCGGCCCTCTTCAGAGATACTAGCAGTAAGTATTTTAATTATTCGTTAATTAAAATTTGCATTTATTTTTGTAAAGTTATTCCTCTCTGTTTCGGAACATGTAGAGTCCATCATTGCTGCAAAGCTCATCAACAGATCTTGGTGTTTATGACATTTGCTTTTAATAACGATTAATTTTCACCGAATTTTCAGTTTACTCTAGCGTTTAAGGAATTAGTAAACAAATATTTGGTCAATAACTGTTAATTGATTAAAACAACTATTTGCTTTACAAGTAATTGATGGATGGTTAACAGCCAATTTGTTAAGAACTTGATGACAATTTGAACTGTATAAAACAATTGAATTTTTGTGATAATTCGAATGAACAATGAAATAGCTTTCTGTGGATGGTTAAAAAGTCAAAAGTATCCGCATAACGAAAAACGCCTTTTCTCTGTAACTAAGTTTACCTTTCAATTTTAAACATTTGCCTTAAGTTCATTTCAACAGATATTACATAGCGACCCACCCTAAAAGTTACTAATGGCTTTCTAGAAGTATTCTCTAGAAGTATTCTCTAGAACTGCTTTCTATTCAAGTTGTTCATACTCAAATTGGTGCGCTAAGCACTGTGAATGTAACGTAATAACATGCGTGCTCTTTTGAAACCCATCGACTGTTTGAGAATATGATAAATTCAGATAAAATTGTACAATAAAACTAAATAATAATATACTTAATACTTCTGCTACAGCTCTAATTATTGTAATACCATACTATGTTGAACCCTCCAAAGAATGCAAATGTGTGATATTACATTTAACAAAAAGTAACACAAACTGCCATCCGGTTTAAACACTCCTACTTTTATTAACTAACAAAATATAGATACTAAATTCAGCTTACTGAATCCTCTAAACATTTCACAGGTTTTGTGTGATATCACATTTAACATAAAGTTACGCATCTCCTTAATGTTAAACACACTTACTTTCATTATCTAAGACATGTAATATTTACAAAACTGAATATTTACAAAACTCGCCCACTCTCAACTCGTACGAGTCCGCTAAACCCAGCTTTCTGTCTTGTCCCGACCAAGACTGTTTTCTATTCAATCATGGCACGACATTAGCCGGCTGAGTGTGTTTACTCGACAAGTTTTCAAGGAGTTTCGAGACTTTTTCAAGGAGTTTCGAGACTTGATGGTCCAACTACATGATTGCTATAATGTCGAAACTAGCGTGTAACTCATCGCTCCACATCCCTTAATTTACCGTTACATAATATTTACATCTGTGAACTAGGAAGAAAGGGGGTTATGGTGATCCGACAAAAATGACCAACATTACTTAACATCTATCTTTACATGTGTGAGTTGCTGTAAGTTGCACACGAGTACAATAGCCGTGAATTACCGGTATATTGCTCGGAACAGGACAATTGTTGACATGTTGTAAACATACGTTGTCAGAACTGAAGACATTAACTAACAACTTTCTTCTTCTTGCAACTAACGTTGTAATTATGATCTAACACTATTTGTGCGGGAAATACGCAAACTAGCAATTATACGAAAGGGTGGAGCCGTGGCCTGGAGGATTATTATTGTTGCAGATTTTAGGATGGGGGCCTTTGCCAGGGCCCAAACACGCTGTGTATTACGTACGTGTTTTGTAAAATCCCGTTATCTAACCCTGTGGTCTGTTTAATGAGGAGCTCTGTATAACTTTTACCCTGGTGTATTTTCCGGAGAACAATCTTTGTTTCTGCGAATTCGGCATTGTTCTAATGCTCTGTTGATCTTCTTTTAGCGTAAATGATATCCTTCACCTCAACCTTTAAATACTTTCTCTTTAGTAAATTTGGCTCCTCTGTACATTTTCTTGAGAAAATCTAACTCCTTTAAACATTTCCTCCAGGTACTACCTGGCACCGCCTGTTACTTTCAAAGCAACTTTTTATTTCGTAACATACTCTAAATAGAACAGCTAACATTATACAACTTTACAAGCTCGTGATAGATTATAAACAGAGCGTATTATTTTGATTTTCACTGCTCACAGAACACAGAAGTTTTAATATTCCCAGCTCAAATCTTGCTTTAAAACTTGCAGCTCGAGTTAAACCGCACACTGTTCTTTTAAAAGAGAGAAAACAGTGCTTGATAAAGATAATAACACATATTTTTTCAAAGAACATTTTGTCAGGATGAGTCTTATATGTATAGTTGTAGTCCTATTAAGATGCCGATCGTCCATCCAGAAGCTCCAAATGAAACCAGATGTCCGATCACAAAGCGACCCTTATAATGGAGCCTATATTTACTATTCAGGCTTATTCGTCATCCATATTCTGTTTTAGGGGGTGTTAGTTCATAGTTGTGATGTCGGAAAACAACAAAGCTGCAGACCCAGTGCCCGTCTCTCCCTTGGGAGTCACAAATATCATGATCATCACATATATCAGGACTATAATAATAATATCGCAATAATGATAAAAAAATGTACACAAAGAAAGCTCTAATATAGCTAATATGTTGAAATGTTTACAGTATTTTATTAAATACGCTGCTTCATGACAAGGGTATGCCGACAACAGCGCCTATCTTTCTTTGTACCGGACACACGTTAGGGTTGATATCTTACTTGGTGAGTGGTGGAGTAATGAGGGCTGGGCAGCCCATTTAACTCCTTATAAGGAGGTTGCTGTTACCTTATTTGGTTAAGTTTCAAATAGTTAACACCATGTAAGGTAAAGTTTAAAATAGTTGTCACTATGTAAGAAAATGTTTCAATGATCTCTGGTTGATGAGTGGTTAAGTAAAGTAGGCTAGGCTGTCCACCCAGCCTGCGCTTTGGCAAATATTTTCTAGTTTAAGACTTTTGGAAATATTTTAAATTCTACATACTTTTTGAAAGTGCTTTATCAAGTAAGTGGTAAGTGTCCTAGCTCCTTATAAGTAAATATCACTTTCCAAAACTAGTTTTGGAGTGGGAAAAATTGGAAATTTTAAAGATTTCAAAAAGCCTCTTTGATCGCCTTAGAAGATTTGTTTTAAAAATAATGTCTAGAAACTCCACCTACATATTCCCCATCACTTTACTCTGCCAACACTGTAAGCAAAGTGAGAAAAACACATGTAAGAATCGTGTTGTCCTTTCTTTGACTAGAAGTATGAATATTTTACTCGATATAAGATTTCATAAAGCCATTCTGTTCACCTGTGAAAGGCTCAATTTTCAAAAGTTTTACTTTGCAGTTTATCACTTCCTTCAGCTCGATACACTCCTTTTGAGCCAAATATAGAACACTAGAAACCCGCTAGTCGAAAGCTTTGTTCGAGGAAATTTTAAAAATCAGTTATGTTTTAATTTCTCTTCATCATACAGCTCTGTTATACAGTAGACATAATGGAATTTATTTAACAATGGCGACAGCGTTGTTAGTATTCGGATTCCCAAAACGATACTTTTTACCGCATCAAAATATTGCAATCACAACCAAAGTTATGAATATAAGTCATAGCGTGAGCGTAAATGTGAGCTAGTTTTGAAATTATGACGTAGCATACAGCATAACAACGCGCGTTGTTAATCTGTGGTTGCTCGCGCACGTGCATTTTAACGTTGCTACGCAACAGCGCAGTAAACATTTGCTAAAATAACGCCATTATTCTAACGATTATTTAATCTCACTTCCGACGTTAATTATAAAAAATCTAAAGCCTAAATCAAAATTCTAAGAATGCTATAGCCTATTCCTATCCTTTTTCTACAACCCTGCTAAAAATGGCGAGGTTTCAACTCCATTTGCGAGCTGGGTTTGATTTCACCAGAGGGTCATTTTGAGGTCGATTTTCGGTGTTTTTTCTTCTATGTCCCCGTTGCCGGGGAAATTTCGTCAAGTTTAAAATATAATATAGATGAGTTAGAATGGTTTCACTACAAGAATGAACATTCATGTAATGATGATATTGAAGAGATAATAATATGATAGTCAAGACGTCACAAATGACTAAGTTACACTGGATTTAACAATTATCTTACAGTTAAGTAGGATAATTGCGCTGGGACACTCTACATGTTACACATGCTACACTAAGATATTTACTTTACTCTTCTTTCCTATGAGGGGGAGAATGTACATGAGAAGAGACAAATGCGTGTGAGATTCCAATCTCTGTTTATTATTTGGAGATCACTTTCGTGGGGGTTTTACTGGAAATCATCGTTTGTATGGAAATAGTTATCACTCTGAATAATTTGTAAATAAATATTTCACTCTGAATGATTAGAAAGTAGCTGTCGCCGTATAAGGTAGTGTTGCACATAAAAATCACCATATAAGGTGATGTTGAACCTCACCGAATCAGAATCAGTGACACATGAATGTAGGTTAATTACACAAAACAAAAACACCATATTCACACTCAGTGTTGAGTTTAGTCATTTTCCAATACAAGATAGGGGACGGGTTCTATAAACAAACAACACATATTATCATGATCACACACACAGTCACACACACAGTCACACATCTTGTGATGATTCCGTCACCCGCACGACACACTCTCAATTTAACATCGTGACTTATCTCGTAATCTAAGGTCCACGTGACTAATCACGCTGTATGTGTGAGTCATGATAATAATCTGACCACACATTACATAAACAGAGCATGTGTGAAACTTCTCCACGTGTGAAACGGTCATCATTATGATGGAGTTAACCGCTGTGGTGAGTGTAGTGGTGGAATGTGAGGTGGTAAATACTCCAATTACATGTCTGTGATTACTAGTGGTGTTATAGTGTGTAATATTATTATAGGCGAGGTCCTGGTTCCAGGAGTACGATTCGATAGCTATCATGTACGAAGCTCTTTAAGTAAGATCTTCGTGCTTGACAAGATGTGTTTTGTTTTGGATGACGTGATTTTCTGATTTTCTGATTGGTATGCTAAGAAACGAGAAGCTGCTGCTGGCATGTAGTGCTTAACAGGAATACTACATATTAATTATGATACATAATTATGATAGACATACTCAACAGCTGTAATTTTTATATTGTTATTTATGTGTATTTTAAACAATTAGAGCAGTTATAGATTAAGTAGATTTACAAATGGTATGTTCAAGATGCAATTCTTATACAGAAACTGGAATGTCAATTTTACATTTTTTAACTTTACTGTCCTGAGAACTAACCGTTTATTCTTGAAAAAAAATGTATTAACTACAAAGTAATTTATGCCTGGCACTCTGGTAAAATTATTTATTATAATCGCCTACTCAAAAGTAGGTTAAAATGGTTATAAAAATAGTAGTTGAACTATTAGCTAGCCCCAGAGAAGGGTGTCGCGGAGTAAAGTATCTAAAGGCTAGGCCTGTAAGTAGGTATTTCTGTAGAACAAGGCGTTGTACCATGTTTTAACTTTATAACCACCCATTACTCGTCTAGTCGTCTTATTTAACGTTTTCCAGAAGGGGGGAGGGGGGGGTTTCCAATGGTGAAAAATGGTGAAATTTTACAATTTGGAAATTCGATTCACCATAAAATTCCTTCACCATTTTACACAATTTTTCACCATTGGAAACCCCCCTTCCAGAACCCACCAGAGATATGAGTAACAACTGTCCGGCTTCCCCCTAGTTGGCCTTAGGCCTACCGCCTAGTAGGAACATTATTAGCAGGTTTCTATCCCGAATATATATCTGTTGTTATAGAATATATCATTGTGTACCCTCGGCTTGTGAAGGAAATGTGTACAGGTGTACCGTATTATTTTCATATACCTTACAAGACATATTTATGTGGATCATAATTAGCGGGGATCGAAATTATGGGGGAACGAAAATATGGGGATTTTTTTTCAAAAATACAGTAATTCAGTACGAAATTTCAGAAATTCAGTACGAAAATATGGGGATTTTTTCCCATTTTTTCCAAAAATCCCCAAATTTCGTACCATATAAATATGTCTCGTAAGGTATTATAGTATATTATATAATCTCTACTATAATTCAGAGAATTCTTTTTGTCTGTATGTCTGTACGACCGCCCACGTGCAAATTAGATAAAAATAGGAATTTAGTTAACAACCAAAAGGTTCCATAGCAACGGTGTTTTAATGCACACATTCACGTGCAAAGGTTGTTTTAACGTCATTTTGATCGGTTTTGTGGTAATTACGTTGTGTTTAAAGTGTTTTATATTTAAATCGGCTGTATCTTCGGTTGATATGGATATTTTTTGATGCGATTAAAACTTTCTTTCAAAGAATACTACTAGCTTCGTCCCTGTTACCACGGGCTTTCTAGTATAATATAATATAGTATGTGATAAATCGACGTTTTAACTTGCTACAAGATTGTGAGAGTTGAGTTACATGACGTAAACTTCCGACGTTGAATATTACAGCTGTAAAATCTAGAAGGAATTAGTGTTTCGAGCAGAGTTAAAGTTTCTAGGTTGTTCGCGACAGGACAAACCTAAGAAATGATATGTGATGACATTGAATCTTGTTTTATTTTGTATAGGCTCACCCTTCAGATTTCAGAATTAGCAGAATCACGGGTGTTTATATAATATTGAACATTTCTAACTGCATGTTCATAATATAATGACACACGGCCCTTGCCAAGACCTAACAAATACGGCCATACAACTTCAGTACTGGACTGAGAATCTTGTCAGCTCTGATATATTTTTAAAAGTTACAAGTTAATTATGATTAATTATGGAATGTTCTCAGGTAATCCCGGATTCAGCTCAATGTCTACAGCAAACGCCGGACAGACCAGTCGTGTCAGAAAAGGAATGTTCCGAACTGTTTCCCAGCTCTACAAGGTAATTTTACACCACGTGACATGACTTCATACCAAGTGACATGACTTCATACCACGTGACATGACTTCAGACCACGCAGGGTTTATGTGAAGTAAACAAGAAGGTTTCCATTCTACACAGCTCTTTGCCTGCCAATATTTTGGCGGTTGTAACAACTGGTCTTTCCTTGGTGACTGTCAATTGGACTGTTAATGTTCCTACTGGGTTCTGACTGAGAGTGGCATGTGAGGAATGCGGACTACAACATCTGAACTAATTTAATATTCGTAATGTGGTATCTCATTTTAACTACGTACACACCGCTTGTTACCAACGCCCATATTCTCGACTCTCTAACTATACACCGGAAATCTTGGAATACCTGGAGGAGATACGTGCCAGAATAAGAAATAAGAAACTGAAATCTGACAATTAGAAGCCCAAATTTGACAACGCAGACGCCTGAATCTCGTGGTTTAATGTTGAGTAAGTACGCAGGGAGAATTAGAAGCTGTATAAGATTATACATGGAGAGGACTGAGATTCCCACACAAGTCAGCCTTATAATGGACTAGTCTCAATATCTGATCAAGACTTTCCACACAGAGAATTAGTATTGTTGAAGCAGTGGCCTTCATCTTTCCATCAGCCGGCTAAAGTTGCTCAGTACACTAACAGTATAGTTAATGTTCACTCACCTGAGTAGCAGGAGAGTGGGGGGGGGGTATCCAAGCAGCCCGACCACAAATGGTAGACATTAGGGTAGACATTAGGGTAGACAACTTTCGGGTTACGGATAGAGTAAAGGAGTAAGGGTCAGGGTTAAATAAGAAGGTGTATCGTAATCTTGTGTCCCTAGGGCCTAGAATATACATCATACTCTGTGTGTTACATAGCCTGTGTACATTTTACTCATTTCCGGAAAGATATTGAGACGATTTGAAGTTTTAATATTAACATAAAAGATAAATGACCTTAATATACTTGATAGAACTTTCTCTTTATCAAAGGCTCAATGATTATAGAATAATTGCGTAGCACGTACAGTACAACACAGTGCTATTCCATCTTCGAGATTAGTAAACATACCCGACTTGAAGTATTATTAAACTTTAACATTGACATTTCCCGTTAAAAACGCCTTGTGAACATTGAATATAAACTTTATAAACAGTAAGCTGTAAGTATTATTATATTATAGGCATTAAATACCTTCACTCCTGAGATTATTATTGCTGTTATAATCTAGAGAACACTATGGGTTTATGAACATATTGTTCTCTCTTCTTCGAGACAGCTGTATACCTGGTTTCCTCCTAAATAATAAGCGCACCAATTATCTTTACACCCAGGGTCGAGGACCCGGGTGTATATTTCATATGTTAATCATAACAAGTGTATATCATAATGTTATGTGCCACTCATATATAGACTTACCGTACTGTACAATATAGCTGAATTTATAAGGATTGACTCCTACTGCTGTCCGACAAGGTGCTATATCTTTTAGTTTATTAATACAGTAGGCCGCCAAGTAGTGTCAAGTGCTACTTAAAGGTCCTTATATATAATGCCGGCCACAATGTTCGGCCACAGCCCAAATGGTATGCATTTAGTAAGTTGTTCCAGATTGGATACGTACCAAAGTGACAGGTGGCGGAATAGACCTTGTACGCCTTGTGGTATTGCCGACTGGTGGAGGTAAAGTGGCTGTTTGTACTGGCGAAAGTGACGGCTGCTTCACGCAGGCCAGGCACGCACAGCACCGAAGACCTGGCTATATCACGCCTAAGCAAGCACGCGTTCAGCATTAGACTCAAATACGGCAGCCCATCTCACAGACTTTAAACCTAAAGAATTTCCCCCCTATTTAGATATAACCTGGTCCAACCCGGGGGATATGTTATAGTTTAGTAGGTTCAATCAGGTCTCCCCTTCTTTGTGAGAGCAACATACCGCTTACTTCATTCACATGCACTTCCCGCACACTGCTCAGCTAATTGCAGTGAAGTGTAGATAACACACAGATAGGTGAATGCGACAAAATGTGTTACGGTGGATGTTGTTAAAGTCAAAGAGGTGGAATTATAACCTTTGCAGCCGTGCGCAGTAAATTACTAGCCTTGTAACGCTGCTAGCATTTCGGGGATGTTTCTCTTATCAGATGACACATGATTTACTGCATGCATTGTTCAGACATACGTCCAAGATTACAGATGGGGGAGGGGAGGGGGGAAGGACTCAATTTGACAACAAGATGAAGATCATCTTCTTATGATTGACATTAGACAATTAAATGTTGCTGGAAAACGTTGAGTAGATTAGAGCGTCTAAGAATGATCGAGTTTTATAAAGTTATAACGAAGAAATAACTGCCGTTTAGCAGTAATTGAAATCGGTGAAAAAGATTGAGTTCATCCCCTCGTTAGTTTTAGTTTTTGTCTATGATGGAATGTTACACCCATATCCTGGTAATTAAATTCCTTATGCTCTTATGGTATTGAAATTCAATTTTTAACATTTGTGAAAATTAAAGATGTGATTTTGTTGTTGCGGACCTAATGAACCCGAACATGATTCATTCATTCGATGTGTCACAATGATACGGATAATTGAGCTTTAACATAGGTAACACCTATAATAGGTGTGTTCCGAATCCTCTTTAGCATGTAAAATATGCTGAATCGCATATTTTAGTCTGAAAATCATGACGATTATGTCTGCATTCCTGAGAAAGAAAAAAAGCATCATGTTTAAAAGTCAACAAGATGGGTCACATTCACTTATTGAAGCTTGTCATATACTAAGTGGATATATACTGCGAATATTGGCAAAACTTTCGTCATCATCAAAGTTAGCTTTATTATATTACCTCTCCGTCTTGGATCTAAAATCAAACCTTGGGAGGCAATCAAATGATTGGTATTTGACTGAACCAGGTACATTTATTTCTGAGTAAGAATATTAGTGATTTGATATAGTAGACTACACACCCAATATAACAGTTTCATTGCTCTCTTTAAATATTGCAACACTTACAAATTTAGACTCAGTTTAAATATTGTAGCACCTATTTTAGAAACACCTCTTGAATAACCTCATATCAACTACAGTGTACACTATAACTATCGCAACACAGATTTTAAGTACATTTTAACTATCATAACACCTTAAATTATGAACGGTACTTTAAATACCGTTTAGATACACAGTAATGATTACTGGGGGAGATTATATTATTGTTAGGGGGATGCAAGACAACACAGATCAGACTTTGGGAGGACGCGGTGTCGGAATAACCTATAAAGTAACTATCATCACATCTCACAGTATCCCAACCCTTCACACTTACACTGAATTAAGCTGCGTATAATGTTATAACTATAGAATTATAGCGTTTATAAACACGACTTATAAAACTAAACGCTGCTAACACTCTATTATTACCATGTTGTGGTGACTTTTAACATACACTATACAGTATTTTAGAAAGTCAGTAATACTAGTGGAGTCAAGGGTAGCTACTTTAATGGCTGACATGACGTGCGTGTATAACACCACATACCGGATTATCGTTATCCGGGCCAATTTAGAACCGGACATAGATCTCGGAAATTTCAGCCTGAAAACATAGTCACATTGAGAACAAATCGCCGATTTGCTTTGGATTAAACTGGCCCGCTCTTCACAGTTTTGCGTAATACCCAACCTCACACAATATCTTCAATACATGTGCTGGACGCTGGTGTTATCATTAAGATTATTACTATCTAGAGAACCTCTGAGTTACACGAGTGTGGCAATGTAACTCCAGCCAAGTAAACAGCCGAACTCCTACAAATGTAGTCTCGGGGACGTCTGTAACTGTACAGATCATATTTCCTCCAATTAACTGGGGTTATTTGCGGAGATTCCTTATCGGACATAATATTATAAGTTAAAACTATACCCAATATGAATTACCATCACGCTATATATGTGTATTGTGTATACAAAATTGTGTTGATGCTATTGGTGATCATACTAATTTTTGATATGTAATGATATTGGAGATATTAATTGAAATATCACATGTCAATGCGAATAGTACTGTCAATGAATATACTAATATTAATGATATTAACACAGTGTACTTTCAGCAACAACTGGAGACCCTTATGGGAGTGCTCCACGACACCAGGCCTCACTTCGTGAGATGCATCATACCCAACCACGAGAAGAAGCCGGGTACAGTTCATTAATATATTCAGACATTCCCCCCTCATTACAATGGAATTATGCAAATTGTTTTGTTATGCAGATTATGATGGAGTAGTTTCAGAGTTTTGCAGCACAGGTGAGCTCTGTTGCGTGCTGGATAGTAATTTCAGGAAATCGAACGGTGGTTTGATTTCCGTTACCTAATCGCCATCCAACCTGCAGAAGCAAATTTGATTAATTGTGTTTCGTGGTTGGCGCGCAAATTTACCCGATTTAAAATGCAGGTAAAATGGTGGCACCGTTGATCTTGGAACAGTTACGATGTAACGGTGTTCTGGAGGGTATTCGAATCTGCAGGCAGGGATACCCCAACAGAATCTTATTCCAGGAGTTCCGTCAGAGGTTAGAATTTCACTTACACAACTATATTCAATTATTGCAAGAGGGTCTTAAGTTCGCGCGCTGTGTTCCGGTCACATTGGCTGACTAAAAGGTCTACTGGAATCGTTAGACTTGTGATGAAAATTGTGGCAGTCATCAGTCACTAAATGGTGCGGCGCGCGCGCTCACGCATGTTAATCTATTGCCGTTACAGCTTGTAGACCTATGCATTAGGTAATCGGTCACACAAACGATAATGAATTTCACATGTACCATCCACATGAGTATGTTACACAAATTCCTTAACCGCAGAACTTAGACGCCTGCTCATCATTCAATCAATATATGATGCATACATTCATTATGGAGGCCACTGGCCACCAGCGCTGACCCGTGAAGTTAGGTCAATCTTGGAAGTACGTCGATCTCACAGAAATTGCGGCACTCCAAGATTTAAGTCCTCATAAGATTCCATGTGTAGGAACTAAGATAATCATTTCAGATACGAGATATTGACTCCCAATGCTATCCCAACCGGGTTCATGGACGGCAGAAAGGCCGCCACTGCGATGCTAAATCAACTGGATTTGGATCCCCGATTGTATCGAATTGGAAAATCTAAGATATTCTTCAGAGCAGGTGTTCTCGCTAACCTTGAATCTGAACGGGACGAGAAGCTCAGAGTTCTGATCATAGGAATACAGGTTTGAGCCTTTTTTATGTCGTCTTGGATAAGAAAGCCATCGAAGACTCTTGGAACCTTGAACATGTTTTTTTCCCCAAGATAAAATGCTAATTCAGAATGTTCCAGGCACTTGCCCGAGGAAGGTTGGCAGTTGAGAACTTCAAGAAGCTTATCCAGCAACACAAAGCTATTCAAGTGCTACAAAGGAATGGAAAGTGTTACCTGAAACTCAGAAACTGGCAGTGGTGGCGACTTTTCACTAAAGTTAAACCTCTATTGCAAGTAAGTTTTATACCTATGTGACTGACTTGCTGACAGCCTGGACAAGAATATTTATTTTACTTATTTTAATTAAGTTTTGTCTGTTTCATAGGACTTTTAGAAATAATGTATTCAATATCTCAATTGATTAGATGAACTGAATATACAGTTTAATTTCGAATTTCGCGAGTTTTCAACTCGTCAAATAAAATTATAGTGGTGTTCATTTTTTCCGAGTGAAGGTTCATTTTCGCATTTTTGAGATACTTTGAATGATTGAACTGAGTCACATGGTAATGCATTATCTCTGTTACACATTACATCTGTCCTGAAAATATGGAAGCTCCAGCTTCTCAGATGACCAAAATATCAAGCACAATGTGTTTGTTCATTAGGTGGGATCAGGTAATTGGCTTGACAGTTGACACGTAATCATGAGTAATTGTGCTCTAGAAATCTACAGAGCAGATGAACAAGACTTTGAAACTAGCATCTCTCTTCTTCAGGTAACCTCACGTGACAAGGAGATCCACGAGCGAGAGGAGGAACTGAAGAAAGTACAAGACATGCACTCCAAAGACAAGCAGACGATGGAGGAGATAGAGGCTCAGCTCAAGAAGACATCAGACGAGCGAGCATTGCTGGCTGAGCAGATATTCAGGGAGAAGGAGATGGCTGCTGAGGCTGATGATGTGAGTTTTAAAGGTGGTGGGGTGCTAGCTGATATTTTAATCGATTAGTTTTACCTTCAGTTTTGACTTATCAGAATGTTGTCAACTTTAATTTCCTGGTAAGTGCTGTTCGTGCAGTACATAGCATAGGTCAATTTGTAAAGACAGCTGGCTTGACCAGACTACAGTTGAAGTAAAATGGAGCGCAAAAGCTGGATAGCTAATATTGCTCAGCATCAATCAGACAGTTTTGAATTAATTAATATTGGAGTCGGGTACCCGGCGGTTAACAGCATTAAATTCATGCAGCTTAGCTTCTTTTGGTTTGTAGTGCACCTGAATTATATCTGAATCTGGTAGGAGCTTAGTTAACATGTTCGGACACAGTGTACAGTGCAATACGGGTTTCCTGTGTAATTTACTTGCGTGAACGACACTAACTTAACAATTAGTAAATTAAGTGCTCTGAATGCATATAATTAAGGTTAAAATTGAGATGTAGGAATATTTATACGTTACTTCAGAGTTTGGTGGTTGAAAAGGCTTTAATAGTTTAATTTGTGTCCGTTTGAATACGAGAATGCATAATTGTGCTGAAGCTGCATTAATTACATCGAGTACTTAATCTGCCTTGTACTGCACGAGCTCGTCAATAATTTTTGTCAACTGGTTCATTTTTGTTTTTTGCAACAGAACGATGGTTTTCTGTTCCATTTCTTATCACATACTAAATCATCCCAATTCCTAGCAACGAGTAAGACTCTCTACGAAGAAGGCTGAGCTTGAAGAGTATATCCATGATTTGGAAGAGAGGATTGATGCTGAAGAAGAGAAGAATGTGAAGATTATGTCAGAGAAGAAGCGTGTCGAGGGAACCATTGGGGAACTCGAATCCACGTAAGCTACCTTTATACATTTATTATCGTTTATATGGGTGTCCAGGGCCAGGGTGGTACTTTCATAATGGGTGGACACGAGGGCGGATCTCATGATACTCACTTTAACATGGACATGACTATGAGTCCTAACTCCTAAATTATGAACCAGTAATAAACTTGTCACACAATTTGATTTAACTTTTATTAATATGCGTCAACCTAAGCTACTGCAGTAATACACATGAATTAATATCTTTTAGCTGTTAACTTTTAGCCATATTCAACAATTTGATTACATCTAACAATATAAGACTTTTCTGTCAAAACATAGGAATTTTTATGTTCTCAGTAGTGATGTTTGTTAATGTCCTCGTTACAATGCTATCTTATACCACACAACTGTATGTGAGGACATCAGAGTCTGATCAACTGTTTCCAAACGAAAAGATTGCACTGTGAAACGACAACTTAACATCACATAAGCCTCATGTTGAGGATAATAGTGGGGGGGGGGGCATAATATTATGATTTAGTTCATACATACATGGTAAGGTCTCCTCCTAGTCGTTGGAGTGGCCTGCATCACACACATCGCGTTGGCGGCGTAACATGTTTAGTTCCAGTTCCACTCAAACCACAACATCAACCGTTTCGCTCTAAACTCCTCCGGGATACTGCTACGGGACGGAATCAGGGTTCTTTTCATAGCAATCCCTCGTGTTACGTGCTCTACATTGTTATCCGCTTATCCCTTGCCGGCGTTCTGTGTTATATGGCAATATGTTAACAGCTAGTAGATATTGATTCATGTGTATAAAAGTAGGTTGACGCATATACACAAAATTTGAATCAAATTGTGTGATATCACAAGTTTATTACTGGTTCATCATATAGCTAGGACGGTGTTTGGTTCCGCTCTCGTGTCCATATGTGAGTATTCTGGGATCCGCACTCGTGTCCACCCTTTTAAGACAGCCCTTTTGTCCTCCGCCCATGTGTCATCCACCCTCCGGTTAAACGTTTAAAGTATTGTATTATCAGACTTTTAAAACTCACTCTACTAAGTTACGGTTGAAATTCAATGGCTTTAATATATCTTTCTTGGTTTTTCATGCCGAATCGTGTTGAAAATACAACAGTCAACAATGTATTTATTTGTTTATTCTTGTAAGTAAGTACTTTATCATTCTTTGAATTTAATACCTCGTGGTTTGTCAATCAAATCTAGATTTATCAATGAACAGCTACAGGTCAGGAAGCATTACTATTTACTATGTTATAGTATTACTATTATGATATAGTATCATAGTACTTCCATCAAGTAGTGAAACCATTACTAATTGATAAATATAGTCTCATTACGATATCCTACAGTTACTGTTTGCGTCAATAAATCATACAACTACAACAATGGCTATTTGATCATCTCATCTTTCAATTTCACTTCGATCTCTCATTCTTCTCGTAAAAAAGACTATCCTAGCTATCTTTTTTTTGCCAGATTTTTACGATTTGTTTCAAATGATGAACGAGATGAGCTTAAAACTTTATGATTGGCAACCCCAATCAGTAGCCGAATTTCTGGAAGAATTCAAGGATTACATCTGCCTTATCGCTTCTTATCAGTACGTCACAGCTAATGTACTAAGATACTAAAAATACAACACTGGCTATCTACGTCCCACGATAATTTTCTGTCAAGCTGGCAAGGCTGCTCATATTTAGTGATTTAAGTAATTTTAGTTTAATGCAGTATGTAGTTTGGCCGTATCGTGACATGGGACTTAAATCATTGTTTAAAGCCAAGCAAACTTCTGCTTCCGTCATCCAGTAAGAAGAATTAGTACCCGGGCTTTCAAATTTTACATTTTCAGTTGCTGATTTATAATTATCACATATATATAAGTAGTAATTATTACATATTATCCAGTTTATAACCCTAACATTTCAAGCTGGAGTTAAACATGGTCTAATTTAAGCTTTGTAACAGCGTAAACGAGCAGACTATGTTTAATTAAGCAGCACAACGCCCCGTCACCATTTGCCTGGTACAGTGGCTGGCACCCTGCACCTCCTGCACCATACATGATAACACGTCTACCCGTGCAACACTGAAAATAGCATCTGTCTAGTACCTTCCCTAACAAAAGTTAGATGCTCACTTCTGCTCAAGTTGGGTACTCATTTCTGATCAAATGAACACCGGACACAACTCAATAACCAGCCTAGGCAGCGAGCAGACTCAGCCCTTGGATTTGATTTTCTGGTTTAGAAACCCGCGGTTATAATTAGCATTGTTGGTAAAGGTGCTTAATTAGTGAATGTTATCAATTAAAGCCACAATGTACGTGTAGTTGTAACGCTCCAGTCGCCGTACAATTTGTGTAGTTAGTGTTGCATTGCATGAAGGGTGGTTTCTGTTGTACCCGACCTCTTGAGGATGAATCTGAGCCCCACTTGAAATTACTTGTGTTTGTTCTGGAATAATCCACGGTCATGAAGAAGGCCTTACTTTCTCAGAAGAGCCTTAATCAACGGTTTGGTTATGATTGATTTGCTGGAAAGACTTGTTTACTGTTTAGCGATGTTGTTTGAAAACTGCAGTCATATTATGATGTCTTAGTCTAATAATTTATCACATTATCAATATCATAAACAAATTGTCACTACCATCATTTCACTTCAAGCCCATATCATGTTAAAAACATCATCTGACATGTTCCTTTAACTAGACCCTCGTGTCCACCATCTTGCGGACGCCGGACGGCCCTAAGATCATCTGTACCCCCGGCCCCCTTCTTTGAGCTCCTCCCCCATTTTTACCTCTACTTACCTATTTTACCTCGTCTTACCTCGTCTTACCCATCAGGTTGGCAGATGAGGGTAATGCTCGCCAGAAGCTCTCTATCGAGAAGCAGCAGCTGGAGAACAAGCTTAAGGCGCTTGAGGACAGTCTCGCTGGCAGAGAGGACAACATATCCAAGGTAAGGCAGAATCTTTTGTTCTTATCTCTCTCAAACTCAAAGTGCTCATGAAATAAACCGCTTTTGTTTCGCATCTTGATATTATTATGATTGTACTTTTGATTTGCCAGATGCGGATGCATAAGTTAACACGCAGATGCCCAAAAAAGTAAACATCCCATATTCTTCAGATGACACGTGACAAAGCCCAGATGGATTCCCGACTAAAGGACACCCAGTCAGCACTGATAGAGGAGGAAGATAAGGGAAAAGCTCTGACAAAACAGAAAATGAAACTAGAAACTGTACTTCATGAACTTGAAGATAAGCTCCAGAAGGAGGAAAAGGTAGGACGAACAGCAAAAGAGTTTACTTTTCTAAACCGCTCAAATCTATATTAAAATACATGAAGTTAAGTTCTTCATTCCGTCGGGTAACTGACCTGGTTAATTCCAGGCACACGAAGCATTAGACAAAGCGAAGCGAAAGCTAGAAAACACAATCCACACTCTGCAAGACAGCTTGAATGACAAAGAAAACAGAGTGACAGAACTCCAGAATTCACTGGACAAAACTGTGGAGGATGTTGCCAGACTTACTCTCAAGTATGTGGACTGGCGCTTTATTTTTTATTTTATCGCACTACTACAGGAAATGGATACATTTTCTGAACATTTAAAATATAATTTGGAACATAAAATTACAATTACATTATTCAAATCTCAAACAGAAAAAATGTAATTCAGAGTTTTAAAAAATGTCTCTTTTAAAGTGGGCGCCTCTTCAACCTTCAACGGTAGAAACTGTAATTGCGACGAATTATAGCTGTTACTAAACACCCTCTCGTAGGTCTGAAGACGATGCCAGTGCGAGAAGCAACCTGGAGAAGAAGATGAGAGAGCTGGAGAACAGAGTGAGTGATCTCAGTGAGGATCTGGAGGCTGAACGAGCTGCTCACAAGAGAACTGACAAACTCAAGCGAGATCTCAACGAGGTCAGTGAGAAAGGCGTCAAGTTATTTTTAAATACGCCGTATTTTTGCTGCAGAATAATGTTCGTAGAATCTGTTGTTTGACTTTGATTTTGATTGAGGATTTTTGGGATTTATAGACAGAAGCCATTGCCATTTGCCATTAGCCAAAGGTCAGTTCTGTGAATAACAACTAAGTCTTCCCAAACTTTTGCACAAACCTAAAGGTAAGTTTTCTGAATATTATCTAAGTCTTCCCAATCTTGTGCAATGTGCACAAACCCGACGTTAAGCGTAATAACCATTAACCATCACTTTTCTTCTACTGTGTCTGTCTTCAAACTCTCATCGGTGTCTGTTTACTTTTTGTCTCTGGTAAGCAAAATGCAACAATTAAGACCTAAGTTGTTCGCAAAACGTCACAAGAGTGACAAACTGCTGACAATTATCCTAACTCGTCTCAAACTAACGGAAGCCGTGAAGCGGACTTAACTCCGTTATTAGCAGCTAACGAAGTGTCCAGTTACCCTGCCAAAACATTTCTCCCTGGAAGTAAACTCCCCGACAGATCTCGCTTTCATGACAGCTTCTTCCAGATTCTCGCAACTTTTCCGAGACCTCCCCCCTTTTACCGGAGAATAATGTCACGGACTGCCGGACAGCTGCGTGATAATGTCACGGACTCCCGGACAACTGCGTGACGGATATTGGAGCAGTCTGAAGAGTTCAGTGGTTTGCTCACTTTGCTGGGCGTACCGAGCTTTGAGCAAGTGTTGAGTCCACGTCACTCTCTCCCTCATGCTCTCTCACATAGGAGACGCGTATAAATACAAGAGTTGTTATGTCAGAGTTGCCGGTTACATAATACAAACCCTTCGTGCTAACTTTTATTGGTTTCCCCTTCCTTGTAACTTGGTGTGACTCTATTTTTACATCCTTCCCCTGTCGCCATCGTCACATATCGGTCTGTTCCTACTTCCGATCATTTGTTACTAGTCATATTTTGTGAGCCACGTTTTGATAGACATGTAGTCGGAAGTTGTTTTGATTTGTTTTAAGATGCCAGGAAAGAAAGTTATGGTCAAGTTTGGGATTCTCAAACGGTTGGCCAGTCTGGGATTCAATAATGTAAGTATCGTGATAAGAATTAAGTTTCTGTTTAAAAAAGTAAGTTTGGGTGTAACTGTTCTATCAACAGGTAATTATTGTGAGAATTGCCCATCCCAACTGTTAGCCATTCAATCGGCAGTTCAGTATTGCCGTTATGATAATCCCAACTTTAAAAAAAAAGGTTGAAAAAAGTTTAACTATAAATTTGCCTAACTTTGTAAATGTAATGTAGCGGCGTATTGTTTATCCTTGTGATGTAACACATCGCCCGATGGAACCTGGGCACAGATCCGCCTATAATTACCATGAACCATGTATCTGATATTCGAGATCTTGATGGGGTCAATATCTTGTTAAACTCCGTCACCCCCTAACATGATAACTCATTACCAGCAGCTCCTCCTTATCACTCTTTATAACCTGGTCATATTACGGTCATCATCTTCATTTGAATATTTTAGTAGTATCGAAGTTCCTGGGTTCATTTGATATTTTGTCGGAGCGGTTATGTCTGTTGCACCGAGAGTGAACAGATCACTGTCCGTAGTTACAATTCCACTCAGAACTTATCGGCATCATCAGGTAATTGCTAAGAGGGAAGAGGGAAATGGGAGGCAGGAAGTTGGAGTAGAGTAACGGGAGTAGGGAAACGGGAGATTGGAAGGCGGGAGATGCGATGAGAGAAGAGGGAAGTGGGAGGCTGGAGGTATCATCGTTATCGTTAAATGATTGGGATAGACACCAGTCTGCAGTGAGACTATTCCAGTAGATCTGATAATCTGATAACCTTGCTATAACCTAAGTAGTGAGTTTGTCATCCAGTCATTCCTGCCAGGTTCTGTGGCCGTGTGTCAAATTCTTATCATAGCACTGCTGATAGTTTTGTGGCTCCTTTGATCCGACTATCTGATCACAAACTACTCTTATTCACTCTGTAATAAGAGCTGAAATCAACAGATGAGTTATCTTGACTTCCTTTTGACGTACACTGATAATTATTCGGGACCTGTAAGACTAGCGTAAGAACATGAATACCATAAGGGTAGGACTGAAGTCTTGGATATCTTTTATTTGCTGTGTCTGTAGGTCGTTTTTATGATAAAGAAGAATTGGTCGGGTGCTAGTTAGGGGATTTTAATTGACCAATAAGGATTGAACTTCAAAGTGATGTTTGATTTACGTATACATCAAGTTACCAAGAAGGATTGAACCCCTAAGTGATGTTCGATTAAAGTACAAGTCACTAGATATCCTTAATTTATTCTCACATTCGGGAACTTTAGGACATCTTGATTTAAATTACAATAAAAACATGTGCAGGAGCTACAGAAGATAAACAATGAGTTGATGACGAGCGTGGACAACACGGCCGTGCTGCAGGACCACAGGAACAAAAGAGAACAAGAAGCAGAGGAGCTGAAGAAACAGCTGCAGAAAGATAGGGACGAGCACGAGACCATGTTACAGACTATGAGGAACAAGTATCAGGTTAGTTTAGTTTAGTTTAATTTAGTATAGTTTAGTTTAGTTTAGTTTAGTTTAGTTTAGTTTAGTTTAGTTTAGTTTAGTTTAGTTTAGTTTCATCTAGTTTTAAAATTGTATTAAGTTTGTGTCCTCACTGCTCATTTCAATTTGATTATAAATTACTCAAGTTTTCTCATAATGTTATTCCAGGCACAAGTTGAAGATTTGGAGGAGCGAATGGAGACTCAGAAGAAATCTGCGGCCAGCTACGAGAAACAGAAAACAGAGATGGGAAAAGAACGAGACCTTCTGATGGATGAACTGGAGCAGATGAAACAGATCAAGGTTTGATCATCGTTTATTTTCTGTATGTTACCGAAGCTACTCTGAAAAAGTTCGTTGGAATAAAGTACATACATGTTGGGTACAAGGGAACCTATCAAGATAATCGCAGAACCAATTATCTTTTCAGTCTTCGTAGTTTTTACCATAGATGTACTTAAAATTCCCGACTTTTGGAAGACGGCTACCCTTAGAAAACGGCTGTTTGGCGTGAAATTAACAAATCAAATCAATTGCCAATCTTCGATGTAAACCAAGCACCGCTAATTAATCATAATTGATGATCGTCGCAAGATAAACACAACCATATATCTTTTAAAAGTCTCCCATATAAATACAACTTTTGCACATCTAGCTTGCCCTTCGGGGCTGCCACTACATCATACATGTTTATGAAAGTGGTATCAGGGCGCAGTGTAGAACTGTTGAACCCTGTACCGTAGGCATTGTTCTCTAGTGCAATGTAGAAATTACTGAAATGAAAAGTAATTCCTGCCTACGTGTCATACTGGCTATAAGGAGTAGCCGTATGTGATCGGCGATATGCCATCAGTTACACACCAATATGGTTGTCACAAAATGTAAAGTAAAAATATGAAAAATAAGAGGAGTATCCTCCTCAACACTTTTCTTTCTCAGATAAAGCTTCTTTTTTCTTTTCACTTACAGCTCTTTATTTGACTGAGTCTCAATAATTGCAATGCTACGAGCTTCAGTCCTGACATCATGTATAGGATCAAAATTCTTGTATTTGAAGGATTCGGTAGCCTACACTTTTATTTTATGTTATGCTGGCATGTCAGTAATTACACACTAGTAGTGTGACACTACACTGTGGTTATTGTAAGGAAAGTCGCACTAGAAAAGAAGCTTTACAAAACGGTTGATGGAAATTGGGACCCATTCGGCATTTATATTTGCCCACTCATGTTTACGTTGTGCGTCATATAGTGATGTAATATGTTTGTTGTGCCTATAGGTTGCTAGATTGCTTTGGGAGGCTGTAAAATTCCCATCAATTAATAAAGTAACTTGATTTAAGGAAAATTATTTGGCCGAAAATTGAATTTTTCATCTGAGGTCGTTAGTTTTGGGATCTTCTATTGCAATAAATGAACTTCTCAAGCCATATAAGCATGTGGGTTTCTTCTGTATACAAACGAAAGTATCAAAACAATCCGTTTTTCTGTGTGTTTTCAAACACAAGGTATTATTTTATTAAAGTTTCTGGTATAAAAACAACTTTTGCACTAATTAATTGCCCTCGGGCAACCACTTAGTAAAGTGTTATCGGGACCAATGGTCGCGACCGACGAACCCAATCAGAGGGGATGTAATCCCTTGTCGAGGAGTAGCTATACTCTGTTGGCTTTCAGTCAGATCTGCCTACTACGCATAGTCGGTATTGAAAAGGAATGAACACAGAGGAGGGTTCTCCTTACCTTTTAGCAAATTCTTATTCTTTGACACACTGATATTAGAATATGTTACAGCTGATTATTTTTAATAATGATTGATACTGCCAAATCCCAACGCATGTATTATCAGTGCGGTTGTTTAAAAAGTCACCTTAGTAGTTTCGATTATTTCACATCAAATTACAAATAAAAGCACAAAATTAATAAATGGAACAAAATTACAGCTTAACCAACATTTTCTGTGATCTGATAACTATTTATTGGATTACAATAAACTCGGGATATTTCAGGCTGACCTAGATCGTAAGAAGAGAGTTTTGGAGAGTACCCTCAACGAAAACACCGTCAAAATCGAAGAGTGTGAGAAAGGCAGTGCACTTTTAGCAGAGAACAACAAGAAACTCACAGCGGAACTCGAAAATCTCCTTCAGGTTACTATTTACATTTTTGGTGTAGTAGACTGTTTTTACAGACAACGATACACGGCATGAAAAGCCACTGAATCACATACCTTCGTCCTTCACACCATGCAACAACCAGGCGTTTCTCAGCATTTGCTAGTAACAATAACATCTCTGTTACTTTGTTAAAATACCTATAATAATTAACACGCTATTAAATATATTAAACATTTGCAGAACAAATGAACCACATGGACTAGCTCAATTTCCTAGATTTTTTTACCCTCGTAAACTCTTCGAATTATACCATTAACCACACTATAAATTATCATATGTATAGTGTATACCAATTATGAATACATATCACTTTAAAATGATAATTTCATCAGATTACCCAAATGTATCAATTAAATATTAATTTATAGCTATCGGATGTTAATTAATAGCTCTGATTTCAAATAAGCTTGCTGTTGCCTTCTCCTTAATTGTTGTCTTCTACTCGATTAGCAAATAACTAAATTCCCGATTTTTGACGTGTAAGCATCAAAATTATATTCTGTTCGGCTTAATCGTAAGTTGTGGGAAGCCAAAAAATTGGTTGTTCAGTAACATACTTTGTGCCGCAGTGACGTGAACTGTATCGTCTTGTATTCCTACAGCATGGCCATGAAGCATGGAAATTTTGACATTTTGCTCGATGTACTAATGTAGCTGGAGTCTGGACGTGTTTTCAATGCAATAACTTCTAGGGGTTTTATGGAGTTTCTCATTGGTCTGTATCCAGCTAACTCTTGTTAGTCCAGGTGCTTGTTTTCGTGTCTGTTTAAACATTCAACACCCAATACTACACTGTCATGTTGCGTGATTCTACCTTGTGTACACGATAAGCTGTGTGGATTTTGGGAGCTTCTCCTCCCAGAGTTCCCTCACTGTAATGAGTGTCACACGGGGTTCCTATTTCGGCAGATCAGTCTCCAAGTAAGATATAGCTGATAATGTAGCTGCTAAGTAAGATATAGCTGATAATATAGCTGATAATGTAGCTGCCAAGTAAGATATAGCTGATAATGTAGCTGCTAAGTAAGATATAGCTGATAATGTAGCTGCCAAGTAAGATATAGCTGATAATGTAGCTGCCAAGTAAGATATAGCTGATAATGTAGCTGCTAAGTAAGATATAGCTGATAATGTAGCTGCCAAGTAAGATATAGCTGATAATGTAGCTGCCAAGTAAGATATAGCTGATAATGTAGCTGCTAAGTAAGATATAGCTGATAATGTAGCTGCTAAGTAAGATATAGCTGATAATGTAGCTGCCAAGTAAGATATAGCTGATAATGTAGCTGCTAAGTAAGATATAGCTGATAATGTAGCTGCTGCCAGGTTTTCCACCTAATTGTAGCAGTATGTACTAAATAGCTAACAAAGCTGTTAACTAGACAATTGAGTGATAAGAGTATTATTACTCTGTCGTGCCTTTCCAATTAGTATTCCGCAACGGATAATTACGAAATGTCTAGCAGACTGTCTTAGCCTCAATTAAAGTTATGAAAATATGTTAGGAAGCCATTCTTCTGAATACCACTTCATGCAAGTTGGACAATGAGACAGACATTTTCCACAGTTTCTTGGCATTGGTTGTGTTGTTTTGTGTCGGGGAGGATATGTCACGAGACGTCCCTAATTAAACCAAATTGATCTAACAAAAGCTGTAGTGTTGTACTACAGTAGCTGACTAATGCTTGGCTACAGTACGCATTCTACCGCTATGATTGATCAGTAAAATAAAACTTCCGTGTTTATGATGTATCCCTGGACGTGGAGATGATTGTACAGATTTGTTACTCAACATGTTGCTCAACATGTGCTGACACGTCACTAATTGTTGAAAATCAGTGACATTTCGTCTTGAGAAGTTGTTTCGTCAGATTTTAACCTTGCAGAGCTAACTAATATAACGGCCATTTATAAAAAATCTTTAAAAATGTTGAATTCTGAATATCATGGCCCAAGATATGAAAAAGCTGTTTTAGTGTTTTACGGTAAAATGTAATCTATGGTATTTAATTAATGGTAAAGCTTTTTCCAGTAATTAAATACCATAGATTACAGATCACGTATTGCACTTCAGTCCTGGTTTTATACAATGTACAATGTAAGGTATCTTTAACTACACTACTATCATTACTAGGAGTAGTAATAGTACACACACCGTATCTCCTCTCCGTCCACTCGTTTACTCATTGTTAATATACATCTGTAGTCGTGTGGACAGTGCTAACAAATACAATGAGAGAGTTTGAACTCCTCAACTACTCCGCATATGCTATATTTTGAACTTTGTATTACTTGTATGTTCATCACTCTGCATAGTACAGCCTGTAGTGTTACTGCTCCATTTTAATGTATGTGAAATTTTAAATAAATCCTTTAAATCCGTTCCGCCAGCCGCATTTTACGTGATATTTGTAGTGTTTGATGGATTGTTTCGGATAACGGCTGACTTTTCTCAGCTCCCGAATTTACATTTCTCAAGTTTGTAGTTTATACTACGTTTGCATTGTGCAGTTTCACTACATAGTTTGCAGTTACCTCCTAGATCTTGGCTCCATCTCCTGCCGATCACCATTTTAATTTCCATGCCAGGATCCTGGCGGTATTTGCCTTAATACGACCAGGCACGCTCGTGTCCGACCGCTAACTCCTTGTCAGACAGTATCACTAAATTCTCAAACCAAATATTTTGAGTATTTTCTCGAGGCTTGCCGTTAAATTTGCCGCTCTTGATGTTACTACTAGTGTGAAATTTAACATTCTCGTATTTTGGACAAGCGCTGTGTTTAAGATTCGAATCAATCTTGATATCCCTTTTATAGTGGACTTCAACACTTTCACAAATAATCCCGAATAATTTCGCACCAGTTGTAATACAATGTTAATTGTTAATGGTTGACCATTAATATTAACAAAGGAATAAGGAAGGTGTAGCTAAAAGTTAATGAGTGTTTATAGTTACAGCCCGCCGCCAGAAAACGGATTTGACAGCGGATATCATGATATCCCTTACTTTATTTGTAAAGTTTGCGCTGAGGAGGTTTGTTTCCAGGGGTAAAGCCACTTTCACTTTCACTTTCACTTTCACTTTCACTTTCACTTTAGCCTACTTTATAACCTGTTGAAGTAAACGTATAGATATTCCATTATTATTCCATGAAAAGTTACTTCCTGTAGATTTGTAGCACCATCATAGTTTAAAACTATCATCGTGAGTACTAAGCCTTGATTTTTAGTTTTAACTCTTTAAATTTCAGAAACAAATGGACGCGGAGAGCAGAGTGTCGACGTTTGAGCGCCTCAACAAGGACCTAAACAGACAAATAACAGAGATCCAGGAGAACTTGGAGAACGAAACCAGGGATAAGACTACCATGGCCGCTAAAATGAGGTGAGATTGAGGGCTTGTTGTTCTCCTGCCTCCTGGCCCCTATACACTCACTATACAGTAGAATTATCAGCAAGATATTTCAATTTAGGTCTAGAAGAAGTTGGCCCGGAATTATTTGCGTACCACTTCCAGTAACCTTCGGGCAGATTTATTAGGCGTATTTACTATTGTTTACTTATGTAATACTATCATTGACTCACAACCATACAGGGACCTACAAGCATCACATAACCAAACTATCGAGTCATTAGAGAAGAACAAGATGCCAGAGAAGCTATTCAGAATAAACTTAATCAGACCTCACAACAAGTATATTTAATTTACAATTTATTGTAATGGCAAAATCAGTTTTTAAATGTAAGTTACATTAACTTGTTGCAGAATGAACGGTTTCACCTCTCTGGGAGTAGCTTTGGTGACCATTTAAAATAACACCACTGTCTACCCCCAGTTAGCGGATGCAAAGCGCGTCGCAGACGAGCACGCGAACTCATTGGAAGAGGTTGAGAACGCGCGCAGAAAACTGTCACGAGACCAGGAGGACCTTAACTCTCAGATAGACGACCTCAGAAACCAGATCCAGAAACTGGAGAAATCCAAGAAACGATTACAAGGTTTGTTTACGTTTACAGTGTTATAACTCAAAACTTGTGGTAAAGGCAAACTATAAATATGGGCCCTAAATAATAGGAGCAGTCTCCTTGCTCTTAATACATACGTTCTCTCTATAATATTTAACTCATACCAACGACCGAAGCACAACCATCGAAATTATTTGATTGAAGTGAAAATAGATAAGTTAGTGATCCTTGATTCTCCTGAAAAGATGTATTAATTATACCTGCTACAGTATTGTAGCATTACAGAACTGACGTATTGTTCATAACCTGTCGCAATGAAACGAATACTGTACAGTTCCATTTAATCAAAAATATGATTATCCATTTTATTGTCTCAATTATCCTTTTCTTGTTTTTAAAAGGATAATTATTATAATTTGATTTGAATATGATGGCTCGAGGCTGACAAATGTAACATTTGTTGTACAAATTTCGACTCGAAATATTAGTCGATGCCAAACACAAGGAAAATATCTTTATATTTATCTCTTATATATTTAAATTTTCCATATGTGTTGTGTCCTTCGGGGCAGCAGTTGAGCACTCAGCTATTGAGCACTCGGCTGATTGTGTATCCCTGAGTAGTACTTTGGAGTTGTGAAATACTTGAGAGCAGAGAAAGTACTACTAAAATGAAGGAAGTTAGTCATTGTACCATCTGAAATTGAGGTGGCCACACTGCAGCCGGCAACTCGTCGGGAATATGAAAACTAAAATGATGAGCTCAAAACAAGAGGAGTATTCTCCTCACTTTTCTTGACAAGAGGAGAATTTTCCTCACTTTTCTAAACAAAATGAGCATTCTCCTCACTTTAAACATCCTGTTGAGACAGAAATATCAATATAATCATATAAGATCATAATAATACGTATCGTTTTTATTTATTATCATACTCAATTAAAACTAATATTATTTCAGGCGAAGTTGACGACCTGCAAGTAGATCTCGAGAAAGAGAAAACCATGGTCAACTCCCTGCAGAACCAACAGAAGAAATTCGACGCAACTTTGAATAAGGAACGTGAGCGGGCGGACGGACTCGAGGGAGATAAGGACGCGTACGAGAAGAAGTGCCGAGATCTGGAGAGCAAAGTATTGTCTCTACAAGCTGAACTCGAGGATAACAATGAGAAACTTTCAGACAGCGAGCGCATTCGTAAACAGGTCAGTTTTTAGTTTTCGCGGTAATACTAATAGTAATATTTTTAAATAACGTTTAAAAACGAAACGCGATTTTACAGCAACAGTGTGCAGTGGACCACTCCCATCGGCTCAGTATGTACTTTTTTCGTTATTTTCCAAAACAAGGTTCCATACTCTTTATATCAGTATGCTTTATTTCTCTAAAATCCATAGTAAGTTAACAAGGATTACAACACGTATTTAGTGTTCTCATCTCACACGAAGGGGTTTCCCTACAAATACTGGGAATTCTTTAGCCTTAACTTCTACACGCTGTATTTAATTTATCTGTGAGAACGGAGTGACCCGTTCCGGCCTGCTCTGGTCCCCTTACTTCACCCTCTTTAGTTGTTTTACGGGCACATGCAACAGTCACCATCTCAAATTTGGCGGCAAAAGAATTGTGTTGGGAAGTTCAACATGTGCTCTTCTTCTCTTTCCCGGTCCTGACTCCGTGCTAACCGACATAATTTTATATTCTGCAGCCTCCAAATGTTCTGTATTGTAATGCAGCTTTATCGTAACTTGTGCTAATTTTAATTTTCCCGGAGTTAGAAAGATGAAGCTAATTTATACATTTCAAAGGTAATCTAAGGTCTAACTCTACTGCACTTTCGTTATCGTCTTAAGTAGACCGATACATTTTTATCTATACAGATAAATTTTTGTCTGTAACGAATTTTACCGGCAAAATAGATCGATTTAAACACTGTCGTAACTCTGTTGTAACGATTGAAACGATGGTAACGGTTGTATCTTGCAGCAAGCAGCTGAATTGAGCGAGGTGATGGAGAGCAAGGATGACGCGGGTAAGAACGTCCACGAGCTGGAAAAGAGTAAGAGGGCACTGGAGAACCTGGTCCAAGAACAGAAGGTTCAATTAGAGGAACTTGAGGATGAGCTGCAGGGAATCGAGGATGCTAAACTCAGACTTGAAGTCAACACGCAGGTATCTGTGAAACTCATCAGTTGAAATTAAGTAAATTTATTTTAACTTATATGGCACAAACTGCCAAGCGGAATATATAACTGTAACATTAATTGTAGTGATGCCCAAAAATTATGAGCTTGGACAGAACTGACGTATTGTTTTTAACCTGGCACGCATATTGTAGTTCCATCTCATCAAAATTTGATTATCCATTTTGCTGTCTCAAGTTTCAATCTTAGCATTCAGCATCATTATAAAAAGGATAATCTTACTATATATAAAGCGAGACGATATATATATATTTATCTGTGCCATTTTACTGACACCACGGCATCAACTTTAACGCGAATACAATTCTGCAATAACCGTAAAAGATATACAACTGAAACTTTTTTGACTGGGTCAAATGCTTTAATGGCCTCCAAATCAGCATGAAAAAATAAAAAATTGGCCAAGAAATAGGAGTTTTAGAGCCCAAAATTTGGTACCCCAAGTGGTGTCAAAAACGCTAATTAAATAGGTAATAATTGTTTTAGTCTCTTGAGTCTTGACACCATTTTAGGGTTAGACGGGTTCCTGCTAGTTATTATAATTTACTAGCAGGAACCCGTCTAACCCTAAAATGGTGTCAAGACTCAAGAGACTAAAACAATTATTACCTATTTAATTAGCGTTTTTGACACCACTTGGGGTACCAAATTTTGGGCTCTAAAACTCCTATTTCTAGGCCAATTTTTTATTTTTTCATGCTGATTTGAAGGCCATTAAAGCATTCGACCCAGTCAAAAAAGTTTCAGTTGTATATCTTTGACGGTTTTTGCAGAAATTCGCGTTAAAGTTGATGCCGTGGTGTCAGTAAAATGGCACAGATAAATATATATATATCGTCTCGCTTTATATATATAGTAAGATGTTCGAGGCTGATAAATTTAATATTTGTTGTCTCATTACGTTACAACTTTGTATACTAGATAATTACGAATTCCAAAGTGATCACAATATCTTTGCTTTTGCATCATGGGATAATGGATGGACAAATTTTGACTTGAAATCTTAGCCAAGGCCAAACACAAGGAAAGTATTTCTATACTCATCTCCAGTTGCTCGAGTGAATACTCGACTAGCTGTTGAACGAGTAAGCAAATGTACTCTTGTACCGCGCAGTGCAGGTGGTGCATGAAAGAAGCTAACCCGTCAAGCATGGAATATAACCGAAAACTATAATTATGAGCTCTAAACAAGAGGAGCAATCTCCTCAAGGCTCAACTTTTCCGACCTTTTGAGACGGAAATACCCGTGGCTACATATAATAATAATAAATATATCGCTTTTATCTTTTATTCACGTAGAATAAGTTATTTTAAAAGTAAAGAATCCTACGCGTACGGATACACAATACACATGTACATTTTTTCTTCTGCATATTTGAACTGCGGCCTTTTTTCTGAATGTCTTACAGAATTTTCCATACTTCCCGTTTTGACCATGGTGCCTGCTCAGGCGATGAAAGCTAACTTCGAGCGAGAGCTGGTATCACGTGACGAAGCGAGCGAAGAGAAACGGAGACAGATCCTGAAACAGCTCAGAGAACTGGAACAAGAAATCGAGGACGAGAGGAAACAGAGATCTAGCGTGAGTTTTATTTTAACATGTTTGAAGACTACGAAAAAGGAAATAACATGGGCATTCCTTACTATTGTTTCGGTTAAGCTTTTAAGTGCTTCTAATGCGAAAAGTAACCTTAGATAATATGACTACAACAGTGCTTTAAAACTTTCTTTCGGCCATCCTTTATTTTTGCTAGAACGTTTGTATTTACTGATACTGATAACAGGCGGTAGCAGCCAAAAAGAAGATAGAAGGAGATTATCAGGAACTTGAGATGATGCTTGAAGGAGCTACTAACGCAAAGGAGGACCTCCTCAAACAAAACAAGAAAATCCAGAACGCCCTCAAAGATTATCAAGTAGGCTTTCCTCAACTGTACTGATAAAACGTATTCTCATTTTCTTAGCAGCTCCATACAAATGAAGGACCTTTCCTTTACTGAATTTTAAGAAACATTACAATTCAATTATGAATATTGACAGTTAATGTAAATACTTACCACAATAATCAAAGCTTTGAACTCTATAATATATAGACATTTTGAAGGATCACACAATCATTATGCGTACTGTATCGGTTGTATCGGCACAAGAGCTTTAGCTTGAGTGTCATAGAAACCCGATTCAGCAAGAATGGTAATATTGTATAGTATAGCTGCATTCCATAACGATCTTATACTAATAGAGACGCCTCCGCAAACAATTAGATCCTGCCCACGTGAGTCTGCAACATGGCCTACAGAGGGTGTATTTCCGCGCTCGTGCTGATCCTTTCAGCATGGCTAGTTTCATAACCCGGGAGTTATGAAGTAACAAGCGGATATTGATTAATTTCTCAACCTCCTCAGCACGATCTGGATGATGCCAGGCAGAGGGCTGACGAAGCTAACGAAAACGCCAAGTCAAGCGAGCGCCGCGCTAAGGACTTTGAAGCGCAGTGTGTGGGTCTGCAAGAGGACCTGGCAGCATCAGAACGAGCCAGACGACAAGCTCAACAGGAGAGAGACGAACTGTTGGAGGAGATGAGCTCAGCTTCTCTTGGAAAGTAAGTACTGGTTTACATGGGGCTTATTTTATTGATAGTTTTAGCTGAACGCGGAATAAGAATACGACTCAAAACTAAGTTATTACTATAAATTATAGAATTTGATTTTTAATACATAAAATCAATGAAATAAGTTAATGCTGGTTAACTCATAAGCTTCAAGTAGTATCTTCAAGTGACTAGTAGTAGTAGGCCAGTAGTCTCGTATCTTTTCCCTTTAAAATAAAGCTGTAATTTCCTTATTAATCCGAAACCAGTCACATTGTTTACAGTCCTCGATCATCCAGTTTTCATTTCCACGAAAGCACGTCTCAGACTCTCATCACAATACGTCTACAATTATCTCGAAAAATCCTGCCAACAAAATTAACTCGATACTTTCCGCTAGATTGCACTAGTTAAGAAATGACATTTACAACACTTTGAAATTTTAAAACGCGGTGCAAAAAAACTAACGAGAAGAGTGAGAATTAGCCTCGCTGATTGAAGGGATTCTTTGAAGGGCATTGTCAGGAACAAACGGAGCCTGAACCAACAGAGACATCCTCCTGGTCGTAATAGACATTGCTCTCCCAACTTGAGAGGACGCAATCCTCTCTTTAACATTAGGGTTAAAGCAATAGTAGATGAGTGGGTCAAATATAGGAGTAAGATAGAACAAGACGACTGTAAGTATCTGGGCTAGTTTGTAGCTCATCCTGACATCAGTGTAAAGCATGAGCTGAGGAACTGCCACTACCACTCCCACAAAACATATCAGGAAGGATGTCCTGAGGAGCTTCCTAGCGTCCTTCTTTAGCCTGATGATGGCGATTAACATGATGGTGTAGATTATGATGAGGGCTTGGAGGGGTATGAAGTAGAAGAGACCTGCTTCCAGAGCGGCTGAGTCGTGGGAGTTGAAAGTGCAGCGATGGTACTCTGCTTGGTACGTCATCTGGGGACATCGTGAAGGTTTACTGGCTGCCATTATTGAGATGTTTTCATTATGCTGATGTTTTGTGAAAACAATTGAGGTAAAGTTGAGTTGTCAGGAATTTAAAATAAAGACTACTCGCGGTATCATGACCAGTGAAGAAGTTGAACCACTCAGTCGCTGTAAAGCATAGAGATGGTGTCCACTGAAGTGCTATCATCAATCTACTGGAACATGGTGTGATCCAGATCTTGTGTTTTATAGGATACAGCACAGCTATCATTCTGTCTACAGTGAGGGGCAGTAGAGTTGCCAGTGGGGCGCACCTGGGAAGGAATTTTTTTAAATTGAGTTGTAGTTATTTCTACGCGTTACTATTCCTTGGAAAACTGATTGGCAAGGTTCTTACCCTTCAAGGGTTCCTTTGGTAAACTGATTGGTAATGGTATACTTATAATTAAAGTCTCACCAGAATATCTGAGCGATGAGGGTGTAAATGTAGCAGAACAAATGAGTCTCCTCACCAGGAGGAGCCCCAATAAAGTTCCTGTTTATGATACCCAGACCTCTTACTCCCCCTATCACAGCTATTGCTAAGTCGTTAAGCAAAACGTTCAGGATAAATAAGTTCTGAGGATGAGGGATAAAATTTTGAGATAGCTATCAGAGATACTCAAAAGAATCCATATTAACTCAAGATGGCATGGCTGGTACATCTGAAACCATTCTGAATAAAATAAAATGTGAACTGTAGTAAATCCCCTATATCCCCAGCTCTCCACTAACCTGACCCCCGGCTAGCCGCATAACTCCGGACACGATGTTGTAGATAATCCAGCTACAGAGCACACAGCCCACCACCGCCATCAAACACACAAATACCCCCTGCAGAACACGTGACTATAATGTGACAGCAAGACTCACGGTTTGATCTAAACAAGAATTTGGGAGAGCAAACTTTTTTGCTCAAGATATGTATTTCGGGGATATTTGTTAAGAAACCAGGATCTTATCGAACTTAAGATTGGGTATAATTTGTGGTATTTACCGTAGCAATGTGAAAAACACATGTATCACCACCCACATGATGGACATGCAGACAAGACTCCGTAACAATGTTAAACCCAGAATTCTCCGGATGTGAGATCTCTGAGAAACTCTCGGTTTTGGGGCGACTGGGTAGGTGGTGCGGCAGACTGTCGTTCCCCATGTTCATCGTGTTGTATGACAAACGCCATTTAGTTAGATATTATCCTGGTTTGAGATCTCCAGCTCTTCGGACTTAGTGAATAAAGTGTATTAAAAAATAACTATTGATAAATTTGGGTCTCGTCACATAAAATTAGGCATATTTATTACCGACAATTAAGTAAATGAACAAGATTATAACTTGGCTAATATCTGAGCAGATTTAATCAGTGACCTAACTCTTGGTCCGCAGTCCGTGTCATGAGATATGTATAATACCGATTCAGGATATGTAACGTTAATGGTGAACTATTAGGATTGATTGGACAATGGCTGGCGTTAATTAAGTTGTTACAATTGTGGCCTTATCCGGGTATTTCATGATATTATGGCCTTCACTCTATAGAAACAGATTAAATTGTGTTTCTGGATCTAATTTAAAAATACCTAATTGCTCATTTGAGCGCACGTCTCAACTTGTTGAGATCACTCAAAGCTATGAACTAAGCTAAGTTTCTAAAAAGTTTGGTTTAGATAAATTATGAATACACGACAAAATGTAACTCTACAAAAGATCAGCCAATGCCAAAATTATATGAGCCGAAGTATGCCAGATGCACAACAATGTGGCACATTAGACAATTAAATACAAAGTTGAGGAAAACAACCCTCAGTGATACTTTAGACTTTAGAGGCTCGAGAAAATGTTATTTACACAGACCCATTGGCCATTATACTCTCAGCATCACTGTATTCGCTCCAATTATCTCCAATTGCCTCCTTAACCTGTGTTCCAATGATGTTCAATAATGACCATTGCTAAGCAGCCACTTGCTCTAATTGGTTAATTACTGTTTGTTCGGTGAGTCATGGCGTCAAGATCTTCAACTGAATGCTATTAAACTTGAAAATCCGGGAAAGCTTAGCTCCGAAGTCCGAACAATTCAAAAATTTACCGATATTCAAAATTTAGTTAGAGTGTGCAACAAATGCTTGACAATTTAAACACACACAACTGCAAGGAAATAGAACATATTTCAAACTGAAATTGACAACTTAATTAGATGCATATTATAAACACATACATAGCAATAAACAATTTCCCACTCTTTAATAACTGCAATTATCGCCACATCTTAAATTTCCATTTTGAGAAATTGTGCTAAGATGGCCAAATTTGAAATTATGATTAGGAAAAAAGTTTGAAAATGTTAAAACTTCTTTTTCAGGGTTCGTTAGATAATGATAAGTAGTCTCCTGCGCTAGCTTCTCCTAAACCACTCTCCTACGTAATCTCTATGTTACTCTGTCTTAAAATTCAAGTCGATTGACCGTGTCATCTAGGTTGAAGCACAGAAATTCAGAATAATTAATACAAAATATATAGGCAATGAGTTAATATCACAATTACAGTGGCTCGTGGTCGACTGAGATAATTACTGCGCTACTAAAGTTATCAAGTTTCTCATGGTTACGATTTAACCTGGGCCAATGCCCAATAGCTATGGAAGTTAAGCTATTTTAAGCTTCTTTGTTACTGGCTACTGCTAACAATTAGATGATAATTTTATTCTGGAGACAAGCAAATACTGGAGACAAGCAAATTCTGGAGAAAATTCTGGAGACAAGCACATTTAAATACCAAATATGATTAAAATCAAAGAAGTAGGACTCATCACAATCCAGGAAAATTAGCCACTATCAGATAGACAACACGCTAACACGGCTATGAGTATAGGAGATCCCAACACCTCTCTCAATATCACTGATCCTCTGAAAGCGGTACGAGTTACCAGGGTGACGGTAGCAAATACTCGGACTAAGCCGTCCTGCAAAGCTTCTAACACTAGTGGGGGTCCCCGGAGACTCTGATATTTCATCAGCACTTGGGAGGAAGGTAAAGGACAGTCTCACGTTCAGGTTGAGGTTGGTTATACTCTGAGAGAACCTCCGAACTGTTTGACCGATCCCAGACTCGGGTAGCATCTGCTGGACCATGGGGTTAACACAGTAGTAGATGAAGGAGTCGCAGAGCGGGGAGATGTAGAAGAGAGTTACTGTGAAGAACTGGGCTACTTCGTACCCCATATGGAGGTTAATGTAAAGCAGGGTCTGAGGGATAGCTATGAGTACCCCCACTGTGCAGATGGACAGGGAGGTTAGGAGCAGTTTCTTGCATCTAGTCTGCTGTTTGATAATGTTGACTAACATGATAGAGTAGAGGGTTATAAGGGTGATTATGGGGGTGAAGTAGAAGATAACCGCTTCAGCTATGCCCGTGTCGTGGTCATCTAGGGTGCAGCGGTGATATTCTATCTGGTAGGTCATCTGAAGAATGTGGGTTTAGTATTTAATTAAGGGCATCGTATTATACCTGAACTTCATCGACTGTCGACTGTGATACAAAACTATCTAAATTGATAAGAAGGGAGAGGGTCCTACCGCACTAGGACCGATATGGTACTTTGTTAGCGGATAGAGCGCTGAACACATGGCAGGTACCCACCACGCTCCTATCATAAGGAACATGACTCGCTGTGTCATCCAATTCTTGTGCTTGAGAGGGGTGATCACTGCCAGAAACCTGTCTATTGTCAGAGGCATCAGCACCATCAAGGGGTTGTTCCTGTGAGGAGGGGGTTTTAGGAGGGGGTAATGAGGATCATCGCCGTTAACCTCGACAGTTTATTTTATATAGATACGGTATTTCTTAATTATCAGTCAGATGGGTTATGTGCGTTTGTGATACAAGAAAAAGGTGAACAATCATATTACCAGAAAAGATGGCCGATAATCGAGAAAACAAAACAGAAATAATTCTCGTCTCCATTAGCATTCACACCAATAAACATCTTGTTGATGATGCCCAGTCCTCTTATTATACCGATAACTGCTACAAAAGTGTCATGGAACAGTACGTTCAAAACAAACACATTCTGAAAAAGGATGGAATCAATTAATTGGTGGTTTGGACTTTGGATGTCTAGTCATATAAAAAAGAGATATGTTAGCAAAGTTTGAGTAATTAGAGGGTATTAGACATAATGTACGATAATATCTAATCAAGCGCTCACCTGACTGCCCTGAAGTCTGATTACAGAGAAGACAATGTTGTAGATGATCCAGATACACATTAGCAGACCCGCCAAACTCATCAGACACAGGAACGAACCCTGGTGGGAGATATCGATAATCGAAGGGGCTAAGATATAAGCATTCTAGTTCAAGGAAAGTGTTGGATGTCAGCCAGGAAATACATCGGAGAAACTGAAATACCTGTTTAAACCTACATCAACTCACGCTTAAAATCCGGAAGGAACATAATTTCTCTGTCTCGTTTAGACAAGAACTGTAAGCTATATTGTAGCCAACCATCACACTAGCAGTACTTCAACAGAAGAAGTTAAAAAAGAGCAGATGTTTGGGATTATACATATCAGTTTCAAGGTATCACAACCAGCAGATAGAGAATGGAGCAGGACAAGAGTTCGCTGATAACGGAGAAAGGGGGCAGATGTAAAACTTTAATTGTATTGTTCTTGCTTCATGTAGTGGTTTAATCGTTCAATCTCGTCATAATTATAGTCATGCTCGGCAGATGTACACGAAACGCATATAATAATATTATTATGAATGAAGCTAAACTGGATTATTTAAGACAAAAGTAAAACTTAGAAACAAAATGCTCGATGACTAGGAATCGAGAAATTAGGTGCTCTATGAATATATGAAGTTGGATCCAAGAAAAGGGATCTGCTCCATGATCAAGGCATAGTTTGGAAAGAATATGCTTCACCGTTACAAACTGACTAAAACTAGTCCATCTTTAAACTGTTCACAAAAACTGCAATGTTACTGTTATAGCTTTAAATTGTCTAAATAGTTCGCCAAGCTTAACCTAGAAAGGTCTTTAATAGTCCGAGAATATATATTTTGTAGAAGACCTCGTGCTACACAAAAGATAAGCATTCATTTGTTTGATATAAATTCTATAATTAAATGATTAGCGTAAATGTGAACGAAAGGGTGGTCGAATAATTACTGATGTTAGTGTCTCAGTAGCATAACAAATAAACTACGCTAAGAGTAACTAATTCTATTGAAGATGGTCTTTACCTTTTTACAGCGATTTGAATCTGTTAGGAAGCCACACCAACAACAAGTACCGGGATGGTTCGTTCCAGGTAGATTATAATTACTGAGCTAACTCTCAATCATGTTTATATCTTAGGTAAGGACTTCTGACTTAGTTCGGCGGACAAATTTTTTTCTGAGTGCTTAAAATTCAGCTAACGTGGTAAACCCTCCCTGAGTGCCCTGATTTAAGAGTAAGACTAGCTTTACTAATCATTCATGCTATTTGCATTTTGCTGCTTCATATGGTTATAATTTCGCTAATCACTTAGGTCTACATTCTACATATCCAAATTAAATTTACTCAATGAACATGTTTTGAATATGTTTATGAATGTCAGAAACTATACATAAATTAATGATTGTGCACTGTGCAGCGAGTGGTTCATGGTGACGAGCTTATCTGCGCGCAATATATTATTAATATGAAATAACATAAGACCATACCGTATGCACTGTAGACCCGAATCTCTGCTATGTTGAGCTTCCTGTTCATTTTCCCAGCCAGCAACAGCTTCACTGCTCTTCCTTCCCTCATATCACAGCTAACTCTGCGGTGGAAGATATTTTGTCACAATATCAAGCAGTGCCTTGGAGGATATGTATCCCCGATAACATAACCAAAGTTCCAACTCTAATCTTAGCATGTGTCCAAATTCCCATCCCTTCACATTTTACAAGCTCAAATTCTTGTTTCATGATTTTCACCCCTTGTACATCAGTACCTGTGCGTATTATCCTCCAGTTTGACACTTTGTTTCACCCCCTCAATAGTCCCACACAACACCTCCTCCTCCTCCTCCTCTTCCTCCTCTTCCTCCTGCTCCAGCCACACCTGGGCTCCCTCCAGTCTCTCCACTTGACAGTTGTACTGATTTAGCGTGTCCTTACACCAGTCATCTGAGAACCTGCACAATCCAGATCAGAGAGACAGATTTAACAATCAAGTCAAAACTTTGTCGGAAAACGTTGGTCCAAAGCTAATTGCTCAATATTGCCTTGAAGCAAGTCCGGTGTAACCGGTTAGTGAATATGTCACAATTTTAGTGGTCACATTTTGTACGTGTCTGCAGATCAGCCCATGCTATGATCTGAGGACAGACTGTACGCAGCAGGTGTCCAGCTCACGATCACGTTATAAATTTGGTGTGCTTATGGTCACTTGAGTGTCACTATATTCAACTGTCAGTGTTATTAGTTTGGAACGTTTTAAAATATAAAATATTTCAAGAGAGGAGAACTTAAAACTCAGAAAAATATAGAGTGCCTCGACATCGACCAGAGGTTAGAACCCTGCAGCTGGATTCAGGAAGAGCTGTTCAAGCTCTGTATTCTGGGATAGAAGCAGGGAAAAAGCACAAACCTGTTGATAATGTGCACATACAGTACAGGAGATACCTCCTCAAACAAACCTGTTGATAATCTGCACATACAGGACAGCAGACACCTCCTCAAACAAACCTGTTGATAATGTGCACATACAGGACAGCAGACACCTCCTCAAACAAACCTGTTGATAATGTGCACATACAGGACAGGAGACACCTCCTCAAACAAACCTGTTGATAATCTGCACATACAGGACAGGAGACACCTCCTCAAACAAACCTGTTGATAATGTGCACATACAGGACAGCAGACACCTCCTCAAACACCACCCTGATCCAGGAATTGTTAGAAGCTGCTGTGTGAGCGTAGGTGGTGAGATCCCCATCTAATGCTAACTCTGCTGTAAAGTTCTTTAATACCTCACTCATACTACCTCCAGTCAGGTGCACCTCATTCTCTGACACCTTCCTTCCTGGTTTTAAGTGGAATTTCAGGTTAAAATGGGGTTTAGCAAAGTTTCATGAAGAGATAGGAATAATTTAGCATGGCGTAAGATTGGTAACAGCTACAATTAATGCTTCTTAATGTCTGGCACTGGGGCCAGGGGCTGAAAGTGCTTCTTTTGTGGTCGGGTATTTGAAATGAGAAGTTGCAACTTGTTCAGTTAAACATTACACACTATGGTGACTATGGTTAGATACTCACCTAAAGAGGCTACCACCAAAGTTATCAGATACGCAACACTGGCTGTCATCTTTCAGGGAGGAGTCACTTTAGCTGCAAGTCTTTTATTATTTCTACTAAGTTAGAATAATAGCCACACACCAAGTCTCAGCTTTATTCCGAAATATGTAACAGCAAAAAGTTGGTAATATCAGTCAGCAGTTCCGAACCACCTCAAAAATAAAATCAAAGCTGGGGTAATGGACCTGACCGAGTTGCAAAAACACGCCAACAATTATCGTGTCTCTAATCCGAACTCTTGAAGACGACCAGTAAGAGTGGGAACACAATTACCACAGCTGCAACTATCATCCCTCATTTTTAGGTAGAACAACATTGTTAGTCGACACAAAAGAGAGGAAGTTATAATTCAATTGGGAGGGTCCTTTTTTAAAATATCATATTATGCAATGTGGAATAAACAAAGCCCGGAGTTGCTAGTTCGGTAGTTTTTCGAGATCTTTAGGACACTTTTGTCTGCTGAGGACGTCCCATTGTTGACTGTGTCTAGATGAACAGTTATAACAATATCTAAGTTAAGGTATATCTTGCCGACAAAATGCTTCACTTTCACTTTCACTTCACATCACATGCACCATCCCTCGGAATGTCAACTTTTTTCAATTCACAACTTCTCATGCGCGTGGTAGCTATCAGCAGATCTGGTCATCATGCAGGTTTTGATGCTAGATGGATGATGGTATGGCCATAAACTTCCTAAGTCTATAATTGTATATTGTGTATATTGTTGATTATTGAAAGATATACTGTGATGTTTTGATACAGGTTGTTTTGGAATTTGTGGAAGAGATTATATGCTGGATGAATATTTGGTCACATGACTGTGTCACATGACTGTGTCACATGATTGTGTCACATGACTGTGTCACATGATTGTGTCACATGACTGTGTCACATGACTGAGTGATATGACTGTGTCACATGATTGTGTCACATGACTGTGTCACATGACTATGTCACATGACTGTGTCACATGACTGTGTCACATGACTGTGTCACATGACTGAGTGATATGACTGTGTCACATGATTGTGTCACATGATTGTGTCACATGACTGTGTCACATGACTGTGTAGGTTACCTGTGTTCTCGTACCCATACACTCTGAACTCTGCTATGTTAATCACGTTGTGTGCCAGACCCTGTTTACCAGTCCGAGTTAATTTAATCTTGTCACCGTAGCTAAGATATTAATTGTTAATCTTGTACAATATTAATATAGTAACTGGAAATCTGATAGTTATTTGCTGTAGAAAAAGTTACTAAAAACTAATCTAAACAAAAAGAAAAGAGGTAAAGTAGTCCTTACTGTCTGTTGCAGTAAAGAGTGTAAGTCTGATTTTTCTCGTCCAATGTATCGTTGTACGTTTCTATCTTACCGCATTTACCTTGCTTACTGCTGGTGTCTCTGTACACTACACCCTCTATAACTGAGAGGGGAGAGGGAAACGGATTTGAGAAAGCGGGGATTGATTTTAAATCGGGATTTTTTGGGTTTGGAGAATCATGGTAAAGGTGTAACGAAACAAAAAACACTCTAGGGACACATTTTCAAAGAGAATCTCACATTGGATTCTAGAAGCACATGTACTGGTCTGGTTAGCACACCATTTGTTATCGCCTGTCTCCGCAAACCTGCATAGAATAATAGATTTAGATGTTTTTTAAGAATATCATCAAAATTATACAATAGGGGCTGTCAATGTCGAATCTGTGATAAATTTCCCGAAATAAAAATGTATATGGTTTACCTGTTCACTATTTCGAGTCTAGCAATGTCATATCTATCTACAAGTGTGAATTCTATCCAACAGTCATCCCCCTTTTCATCCTCAGTCAGTGAAAACGTCGTAACGTTTCCTGAATATGGAAGTAAACGTAAAATTTAGTATTTTTTAGGTTGGACGTCCATCAATTTTTCATGCCTATTTTCTAGAGTTAATGGAATGTTATCTTTAGACCATGCTCAGTGCTCTCGGCTAAACTATATCACATAATTTTCAGTACCTTATTATTGCTGCAATTTTCCATAAATTTGCTTACCATCAAAAGCGTAAATGGCTTTCATCTGGTTATTAGTAGAAACTTGTTTAGCTTTTAATATCTGTATCTCCTGTGGGTCTGTAGGTCCGCCTGACACAGATAATGAACATTATACACAGATACATGTGGATGAAAACAAGATCAAATTAACCGTCTCCACTTATCCATTCTCATTGGAGCGCACTTGGGACATGTCTCAGTAAAACAACCTGAAAACGTTTCCAACAAAAGCGTTACTTCAACGATACCTTAGAGGGTCAGGAAGGGAACTAAACGAACCTGCAGTCTGTACCATTACAGTGAGGAACATAGCTAATGATAGAACGTTCCTTCTTCTTCTTGTACCCACAAACCTCATTCTCTTAACCCTTCAGACTAACATTCACCTAATAACCTCTCTGATATAAGGGATGTCAAGTATCAACTGTAATTTAAAGAAGCAAATAAGCAGAATTTTGTTAAGATTGAATAATAAACTACTTACACTAAGTGTTCTGAGGTACATAGTATGTAAGATATTGCTGCTGTGGTTTGACATATTCACGATATTTAACTAAATATATAATCGTCACAATGCGGTCTGGCGGTCATAATACAGGAAAATTATTTGCTTAAAACACTCGTTTAGTGGATAATAACGTCTATGAGTAACAATAGCGACGTAGTCTATTGCAGACACATAAACCTGTTTATGTTATTATTCTTTATTCACGTTAAACGCTTTCAGCAATGTCTACAATAGAATGTACCACTGCCATAGTATAACATAGCCACGGTTTAATGCTCATATTAAGACTAAAGACTATCATTATGTAATTTAGTGATAAAAAATTAGATATTTTATTATTATCTACCAATTATTTAAAATATGCTTATAACCAACTCCTTCAGGAACGCAGTAGCAGAAGAGAACAAGAAACTGCTACACAGGATCGCACAGTTAGACGATGACCTGGAAGAGGAGCAAAACGAAGCTCTCAGACATCTAGAGAAATCTAAGAAACTCCAGCAATTGGTAATTAGAATCAAGTTCTAAGCAGCTATAGTACTTGTTCCAGCAAATGGTTCAATGTACAAATCGATGCGAAAATTGCACTAAAATTGGCCGAAACTACCATCTTACGATTATAAACCATGAACTTTGAGGGCTTTTTTAGAAGATAGCAGAAAATAACTTGACCACTAAAAACTGATCGGCGAATCTTAAAGTTCGTATGTGGTTAAAATCAACAATTTACATTTCGTTATGTTCTTTATCTCAACACTGGAAAGTGGATGTAGGTAATAAGTATTTCAGAATCTATTTTTAGCGTCCATATGGTATATGCTATTGACTTATAGCAGGTTCTCTACTTAAAACTATCACTATATTCATGTAACGCAAAATATAAAATATCATGATCTACTAATAAATTCACGTCTTAAGTACTATAACTGCACAGAATCCAAATCGAGCCTCTAGGCCACGGCCTAATTGAACAATGAACTTGAAGATAGGCGGCTGGCGAAAATAAAGCAAGTTAAATTTGCGAAATTTCAAACCCCCTCTAATTCCAGACTGAATTACTGCTGGACCAGTTTAGTTCCAGCTGTGACCCTATTTAACATATAATAAGAAGGAGAATTTATTCATCGGACCAGCTAGCATTCGGATTTCGGAAATATCAAATAATACGATTTTAACGGGGCTACATAAATTGGTGCGGGAATAAAATGTTCACTGTAACTATTCTCGAAGACGTGAAACCACTATAACATGCTACCCTGCTCATTGTCTTAAATTTACCATCTTTGTAATTATGGCCGATGTTTGGATTTTTAGCCATGATGTCATGACAAAATTACTATGCTTGATGAATTCAATCCTAAATTCAGGAATTACTCCTAATGCTCGTCTCAGTATCACACAATATGTACAGGTTATAGATAGGTAACGGCTGCAAATAATATACTGCATGGCCTAATGCGTCACGTCTGGAACCTGTTAGGGATCACTAAATTTCGGACATGTTCACAGAAGATCAAACAGTTGTTGGTTTTGTGGCGGGTCACGGTCTTTAGTTTTATCAATACCCCCAGGATCCAATTTCTAAACAATACTTCATGCTATCGGCACCTGCACCCCGAATGTAGAAAAGTGGAGACAATTTTTTAAATTAAATTGTTCAATGCTCGCGGATGTACAAAAAACTGTTCCTCGGAAAGGCCTAGGCTTACTAGCGCTCGATTTAAAGTGTGATAATTAGGAAAATAAAACTTTACTACTTTTATAAATCCGGCTAAAAATACGAAAACGGTTTTCTAAATTTTGATTTGAGAGACTATATTAATTATAAAGTAATACCAATGAAAATTTCTTAACACAAGAGGAAGGTAACAAAAATATATTTGCTTAAAACTGTAATCAAATGCAAACACAAGGAAATGTTTTCATCCATGTCGCTATTATATAGTCGACTTTTGTACACAAAGATTGCCCTTCGGGGCCAGTCAGCTGCTGACTGTATAATAGGTATCACCTGATCTGATCAGGCAATCTCAGTGGTAGCTAGTCCGAGACTACGCTAGTCACAAGTACTCTAAAGTACGCACTTATCCATGTGCTAATCTCAAGTATAGGCATCTCAAGCCAACAAGCAAACATCTACTACAAACACACAAACAAAGGGAGAACTCTCCCTACCTTTTGATCTAGTTTATCACAAATCCTCGACTTTATACCTTATTGTAACAAGAATTGCGCCCGTTGTTTCGTTTTGGCGGACGCTAGATTTCCATTTCACATTTACTATAAATTTAAGTATAAGCTCCAATCAGCTCACTTCAATCTTCATGATAATAATATAGATAAATTATGCATCAAATAGGGACAAATTCAGTTCAATTGCCGTAGAACTTAACTTGTATCTGTAATTCAAGAAATTATCAGCAAAGGTAAACTATACTCGTGTACACATCAATACACTACGCGTGCCACGTACAAATTGGGCGTATTACCTAATATGTAATAGTAATATTATACATTACATGCATCGTATACAATAAAACACAGTCGCGCCGCGCATTCATAGATCACAGGCTATCTATACATCACATCTCCGCAAACAATCCTCGCGCGCGCGCGACTTTTTCGTTGCTTGGTAACGAACGGAAGCAAGCAAGCAAGGAACGTAACACGACATATATTTGACCCACCTACTGCTATCTCCAAAATCCACGTTTTTCTGCAAAAACCTCCATTCGTAACCTTTCACTATTGCCTTTTTTCAAAAGGGTGAAAAGGAAAAAATTGCTGATTAATTAACTAATTAATTGATAAACCTTTTCCCCCCTCAACAGTTGGATGACATGAAGGAAGAATTGAACGTTGAGAAGAATAACAGCGGCAGATTGGAGGCTGACAAACTTACATTCGAGCGACAAGTCAGAGAACTCCAAGGTATATCAGTAAAAATCCTGGTCAAGATCTGGTTTCAGATCTAGTTTCATATCTGGTTTCATATCTGAAGCCTCTGTGATATTTAGAGGATCAAATTGGTCACTAATTATTCAAATTGGTCACTAATTATTCAATCAATGTAATTGTTGGAATTGTAATAAATAAGTAACCAATAATTGATCCACTAGGTAAACTTGAAGAAATAGAAACGCAAGTGAAAGCAAAACAAGGAGCGGCTTTAGTTGCACTACAGAACAAGAACACCAGTTTGGAGGAACAGCTGGAGAACGAGTCAAAGTAAGTAGAGCTAAGGCAAGATCGTATAGTAAGACCTTGGGCGACTGTGTATATAACCCCAATTTTATGCATTTCTTGAATATGGTTGGCAAACTTTACTCGTCGGTATTATTTTGCATTCACGCGGAACCGTTTTTTAATAACCTACAACCTAATTACTGATACAGTTAACAGAAAACAATAGTTTTCGCTGAAAAATATACCAACTCTCAGAAAGTTGAAAATGTTAAAACATTAGAGAAACGAGGCTACCATTTGACTAGAACTAAGGTTATTAGCCATCACGAGCAGTATAATATAGTCGACAGTAGCCCTGAATACTATAAATTGAGCCAACTGCTGCCACCCTATAATTCAAACGGAGCCAATAAAAGGACGGATATTTCAATTAATTCACGTTACCAAGCTCCCTATTTACGGTCCGTTACTCTAATTAATTATTCTCAGTAACTGTAGGAACATGTTGTTACGACACCTTTTGTTCAAAAGAATAGATCTTCCGCCACAAGAACTGACTACTGAATCTAACATAAAATGTCGGCTTTATACTACATAATATTATGATGTTTAATGATATGACAGCCACGTCGACAATTAATCCAACAATTAAAGCAACAAAGCAAACTCCGTAGTAAATATTTAAATAGCCTTGATGTATAAAATTAATGAAATGAAAACCACACTTGTACTGATTGAAATTGAGTTTCTCCATGAGGGCTAGGTACAATCGCTATGTTGTATTTATAGAAAATACTAATCGATCAAGATCAGGTCATGCTATATTTTTAAGTCTGAACTCTGAACCGAAGTTTTTGGAATGATTTTAAATCTGGCAATTCCTGTCGGCCTGTATTTCTTTGATGATATTGCTTTTAAAAACTTAATTACAAGAAAGGGATCAGTATTATATATACTACAACGGATCCCCACCAATATTCAGGACGGTATACATAATGCCGTGATCGCAATTAAGAGGTCTGATCTGTAGTCAGTATCAGGTGACGGTTACGTTAGAAATGAAGTCTGTCTGTACTGGTAACGGCTGTTGCCACTGGCATCATATAATCACCGGATAACGACACAGTAATAACCATACCGTTTACCAAACCAATTTTACTTTAAATGTATAAGATGTCTGATTGTGTAGTGACTTATTCATCAATTACAATAATTTGTCTCTTTCTGCACATTTTGTTCACCGGGGTGTTACAAAATTTACTGCACCTCTATTGTCTCTTATGCAAGAAAATAAAAATATGCAACCGCTGCATTCGTATCACGATGTGACATAAGGTCATGAGTCCTGAGTCAGACCGCTAAGGAACTGTTCATCTAGAGCTGAACAGCCTGAATTACCATTTTAGTCTCAAAAATCGAGGGATATTTTACTGAAATTAGCTCGAATTCTGCTAAGAACGCCTAGCCACCGTTTTCAAAAGTCATGAAGTGACGTGACTCGGTGACTGGAGTATAATACCACCCATTACCATACGTCTTTAACATGGACCACATATTGGAATTAAGGCCCCAATACGTTAAATAAACCTAAGTGAATTAAACATATTAATACTTAATAACCTTGCAGGGAGAAACAAGCGCTGAGCAAGACAACGCGCCGCGCGGAGAGGAAAATGAAGGAGCTGGCTTTACAAGTGGAGGACGAGAGGAGACAGTCAGATCAGTACAAGGACCAGGTACAGCAGTTTTTAGTGTTCTGTTAAGTGTATTCTTTACAACTAATCTACTGGAACCTGCCAAACTTAATTACCTTTATAACAGAACCAGAAAACAGAATTGAAATTAGATATCTGAGTTCACTGTCCAAACTCAGTTATCCAAAAATCGTGACCGTTTTACGTTGTGGTATTCAACCTTTTGTTATTTAACCTTCAAGTACTGTTTTATAATCCTAATCACAGCCAAAAACAACTCACTCCTCTCAGATGGAGAAAGCAAACAGCAGGATGAAGGCGCTCAAGAGACAGATCGACCAGAACTACGATGAGATGAGCGCAGTTAACGCAACCAAGCGGAAGCTTCAGAGGGACCTAGACGAACAGATTGAGACTAACGACTCCCTTCAACGGGAGAACAACACTCTTAAGCAGAGACAAAGGTAAGAATAAGATAACTTAAGCGATTGAGGAGAAAAAGTATCAAATTTGGATTATACTTTAGGTGATCGAAATTGAGAATTACATGTTGTTGAATTTATGTGCTGTCTAAAGTTTGGTATTCGATTATATAGTTAGTTGTCAAATAGTTCAAGACACGTTCTTTATTATGTCCCCTATAGCTGATTGTTTCACCTGTAATCAAATAACACTGGTTTACTATGAAACTTCGTATATTCGACGTTTTCTCTTGTACCAACTACATAATATAACAAAGAACTTAATTATGTAACTCCTTTAGTAAAATCTTTGTGTTAAGTAAATTAGAAATTGCGTACAAATAACTGTACTGTGCTGCCTGAAGTCTTGTAAAAGATGATTTTATTGACATTATTTTGTGCGTGTAATTTTAGTAGTAGATCAACCGATGTATGCTTTCGATTTGTAATTGTTAATTAACATCAACACTAAACATAATATATGATTATTAATATAATTAACATAGTTAAAGTACAAAAACTCTATTTGATCTGTATTTGTGAGATATAAACACCTCATAGATCAAACACTGTGGGCTCAAGGAAAAATTCTAGGCAGTCTGTAGAGTAAGTGTTATCAGTGTTGATCTCCTCCATCTCCTCATTTAACGTCTAATACATTATCAGGTACTTCAGAAGTGGATTTTTAAACAAATTTATCACGAAAGTTATGAAATATTTACATTTTGCGCCCTTTTATGTCCACTTCTGGAGGCACCTATCCCAGATCACAAAGAAATCTTAACTAATTAAAAGCATGATCAGTAGGCATGATTTTCCTGTTACCAAAAATATTTACCAAATATTCTCAATGTTTGAAAGGTGCTGATTACATTATCATTAATTATTTAAATATTTAATTACAGCAGTCGCTCCATTCGATTCCAGTACGTATCAATAACACGGAATATCAAGCTATTCTCTTCATTTAATTCACTAAACGTTTGTTACTTGCTGTGTGTTCTCTTATCAACGTTATAATTAATGTTACTTACCAATCAAGAACTTTTACTACGTTAACCATTACACAAAACGTTATGGAAAATCAAATCTCACTTAAATTTCTCCCACTTAATTAACAACTTAACAACATCTCTTCATCTCAACCCCAGAGCCAAGTCCCACTTGCTTCAAGACTCACAACTTAACACAAGTCACCACTCACGAACATTTGACCACGATAATTCGAGAAACATCAACATCTCCTCACTTGACAGCAAATACACCAGTACACCAACAGAGTGAGTTACAATCACCAGTTACAATCACCAGTTTGTTCGTTTTGTTTGTTTGTTAATTTTATCGGCGAAAGACTTTATATCGAGGGTTATGAAATCTTATCATCGGACAAATGTATGTGTATGGAAGTGTGTGGAAGTGAGTGTTGTGCCTAGAAAGAGTGCAGTGTGACTAAATGAGATAGTAAATTGTAGTGCTGTGAATTGTAACCGGTGCTTTTGTAGAATAGAGAAATTCTTGCAATATTTGGTAATCTTACTTTAAAATTGTGCAGTCAGTTGAGAAATCGTTTTTACCGAAAGAAACAAATTCTTCACGGTTCGTGAGGAAGTGAGTATTGTTTGAGAATATCGTGAGGTGAACTTGAAGCAGTGTGAATCGTCACAAGTGTGAATTATTGCTAGTTTGAGTTATCACCGGCCCTGTCTGAATAACTTCCAGTGTGAATCATCGCCAGTCTAAATTATCGCCAGTAAAACCGATATGTTATCACTAGCGATTCATCAAGCCAGCATTTGGTGTCAAACCCATCACAAGCCAAATTAACTACTTGAAACCAATATTATAGGCCCCCCCCCCCCCCCCCCCCCCCCCACCCCCCATTATAGCACCCAAAACCTCTGAGTGAGTTTTCTGCACCTGGTTTTACCAAATTATCCACTTTAACCAAGCGTGTTCATCTGTTATGTTTGAAGCACCCCAAAAATAAATTACCACAACCCACGCACGTTCTGATTTCCCACCCCATTTTCAAGATTTCAACTTAAATCGAGTGTGATTGCTGTTTTAAAGAGATGAAACTAGCAAAACTAACACGGGTCCTTTTCCCAGACGGGGCTACGGCGACAGAACCTCCACCGTCAGCAGGAAGACGACCAGGAATCCCAGTCCTGAGGAGGAGAGCGACGACGATATCTGATCACGTGACCTGACGACGCGTGTACGTGCGTTATGTCACTCTACTTTGTTACACAACATTTTATAGATTTTTAATAAGCAATCCTAAGGGGGTTAGTTTCATTTGAAAATTGTTCTTTTTGTTTTAAAGTTTTAATTTTGTCACCTGATATGTTGCCATGATTGGTTTTATGATAAATTTAATAAGTGTCACAGCGAAAATTTATAGCTTATTATTCAATGTTTTTTCAAGAAATCAAGAAATTCCGATATAATACTGTATTATAACTATAGGTTTTAGGTTCTACCATATAATGATATGAAAACATTCTTAACCTTCTGATAGACGCACGCTTTTTGTGCTTGTACAGTTGCGCGCATGTTTGCACTTGTGTTTGTAAACTTGCACGTGCTGTTCTTTTGACAACCGAATGCTCAATTGGAGAGGGTATTGAGGTTTATTAAGTATATTTAGTAACTAACTTAGTAACTGAACTAAATGTGGTAGCATTTTCATGGAGAGGTTTGTACATAATTCCCCGACTGTTGTAGAGTTATAATATAGTGTCACGTAATTAATATTACACTACATAATATATCTTGTATCTGTACACACTGATTTACGTTTAAAAAGAACAGTTTTTGAGTTGAAAGTGTAGCTTTGTTTTGTTATTATATGAATTTTCAATACAGTCGATTTTTGCTAAGTTTGAACGAGGAACGAATATTGAGACGCTTCTTTGGAAAGTTCCAGATGTTTTCTTGTGAGATCCGTAGAATTATGTGACTAAAATCATGTGCTTGAACAAATCTGTCTGTTGATGACGCGCTTAGTTTTTAGTGTTTTTTGGAATTATTGGAAATAAACTTTTTAAAGTTCTGATAAGTATTTTAAGGGGCTGAGTTTTTAACCATCAAACTCTCATACATAGGACACGCAGTAATTAATGAATTTGGACAATTAATTAGTTAATTAATTGATCAAGTCCCCATGGGAATTTAAGAAATCGTTAGCCAAATGGTTCTGACGTGCAGTGTCTCGTTTTGCAACTAGAGCTTCTTAAATCGACATAAACATTACGATAACACGCATCTTACAAATACGAGCAACTTTTTACTGTTGAAATTTGTATAATTTTAATATAGTTTATTTCAAGGAAATACTTGTTTTACTTTTCTTTGTGGAAATCCAAACGTGCTAAATCACTCTACACTCGAACTTCGAGATGTCTCTAAAAAGGCCTTCGACAGTTGAAACTTGGATCGATGTATTTTTGTACGGAGAGTCCGAATCATCCCACATGACATAGGGTTAAAATGCTCCCCTGGCGAGTTATTACAGTTATTACAGTTGTCACGTGACATGTCACATGACCATATAAGGAAGTTGGTCTAATTTATAGTTATGGTTGGGTTTTAGCATATGCCTCAGTTAGGAATTGGGTCTGGTCGAGATGGGATCAGAGTCTGAGTAGAGCCAGAGGGTTATGGTTCTGAATAAACCCTCAGGGCCACCATCCGACTTCAGGGCACTATAATCATAGTTAACTTTTTTCGGAGGCCTGTGTCCTTTCCTAAGGCTAAAGCTAACTTTGATCTTACACACTACAACTCTGTGATCAGATCCCAACGACTGAAAAGTGTTGTAAACTTCAGTGTTCTTGAAAGAGTTTTTCCACTTCGCCGTATGAGTGATGGGGATATAGTCAATCAGACCTTTGTTTAGTGTCCCATCGGATAAGAAGGTCCACCTCTTGTTGACCTTCTTTCTGTTATGAAGCGAATATTGGTAATTTCCATATCGCACTCCAGGGCATTGTCTCTCAGTAGCTCTCCATTCCGATTGGTACGAGTATGAAAGTACCAACGGGAATCTTCTTCACTCTCCTTTCCAAGCCGGGCGTTCATATCTCCCTCTGTGATCAGCAGGTGGTGCGCTGGCACATCGTTCATAGCCTGTCTAAGGGTGCTATGAAAACTAGTGCTGCCTCGGTCGGACTATAAGCAGTTATAGTTGTGAGTCTGGGATTCCCGTTAAAAGAGATAGTCAGCACCCTTGAGCCATAGGGTTTAATGAGGCTGATTGCGCTGTATGCTCTTCTAGTCAGCAGAAAGCCCACTAGCCACCAGTGGCTGCTCCTGCTCCATTCCTCCATGCTGAAACAGTTACCAAGCTAACCCCTTTCTTGAACTTTTCAATCTTGATCGGCTCCTGGTGGACAATCCTATATTCTTGTGTCTTGGATCCCAAGGATCTCCATGCCACTCTCCAGAAACTGAGTCACGAGTTCAAGGCGCTTGTAACCTTCTCTAGCAGTTCGGACATTAAATGTCCCTACTAGAGCTACCTCACTTATACAAGAAACCAATGCATCCCCATCCATTTTTTTTGTGTTTTATGTTTTTTTTTGCGCCGGGTCAAGGAGCCGGCATATCATCTGTCACCCCTCTCCTAGGGAGTTTTAGGGTGAGAGAGTCATCATTCCGGTCCCCTCCGACATCTAAATCAGTGGTAGGGACTTTAACCCTAGTGTTATTATAAGACATCATCAAACTTTTCAATGGCTGGTGTCTCATGCGCAGTCCCCTGTACATCAGGCAAAGTGAGACACCTACTTAACGCCGGGCGCCACTTGAGCGTTAAATGACTTATCCATCTTGGCCACGTGAGTGGGTTTTGTGATGATGCCCTGTCGTTGTATTGTTTCTTCTTTCTTCACCAATTCCAATAAATGACTATTGACTATACGCTTTTGTCCCAAAGCTTATAACTTAGGGAGATTAGAGTGAGAGCCAAGGCTCCACTATTACGGGAGCTAACCTTCATAAACATAGAGATTATTCCGCCGAATAGAGATTATATATTAGGCGAAATGACAGGCTGAGCGCGGCCCAGTAACAATAGACAAGTGCGTTCTTTGAAAAAGTTTAGCTTAGACGAGTATCACTATCATCTGTCAGTGTCAATGCAGTATGCCAAACATTTATCAATTGATAACATGTACGATATACATACAAAAACAAATACTATTGTTAGTGTTATATTTAGCTTCATTAAGCGCTTTTATGAAATAAATGCAAAGATTTTTTGGCTCTTACTAAATCGCTCGCCCAAAAATTTCACGTGACTTTGGTTTTACATAAACCCTAATCCCAACCCTAACCCTAACCATAACCCCGAAGCTATCCATAATCTTAACCACAACCCTAACCCTAACCCGAGCCTTAAATAATCGAATTCACGTTTACTAGCCTGTCACGTGACCAAAACGGTTTTTTGCCCATAACTCTCCAGGGAAGCATTTTAACCCTACGTCATGGGGGGTGATTCGGAACCAGCTTCCAAAAATACACCGATCTAGATCACTTTCAGGCCTAAAGGGCCTTTTCACAAGAATTTTCTTAAAATTTTGGCGAGCGATTTAGTAGGAGCGAGATTTTTTATATGTTATTAACGCCAACGGGTGATACTCGTAAAATGTCTGTTCCATATCCATTATCCAGGACCGTCGACGAGTCCAACTCGGCGCGCGTCCTGGTAGCCCACATCCAGAAAGTTTTATATTTCCTCCCAGACATGCGTTTTTTTTTAATTCTGTGGCCCACTCGCTTCGCTCGCAAGTTTGCATTTTTTTCTGTGGCCCGCTCGTTTCGCTCGCAAAATTTTAACACTGGACCAATTCACGAGCAGGGACGTAGCCAGGATTTTTCTTTGGGGGGGCGGCGAAGCGAGCTGACGCGACCAATTATCCAGTTGCGCAGCGAGCGAAGCGAGCAAGCTATTACTGGGCCGCGCTCAGCCTGTCATTCCGCCAAATTCCGCCTGTCATTCCGCTATATCTTTATTTATGTTAATGAACATAATAGCCTGGGGTCCTCAGGTAAGCAAGCTATGGCAGGGGTCTGGGGGCGCAGCCCCCAGCGTTGTCAGTTGTAGCGCGATGCGTTACTGTGCCGCGCCGCGCACTCAATAAGGCTTCTCACAGCGACACTCAATAAGGCTTCTCTGGCTAGATCGGCGAGATGCGCTACTGTGCCGCGCCGAGCTGCCATGAATTGACATCGTCAATTAACCCCCAGGGTCCAGGGGCAGAGCCCCCGGAAAATTTTTGCGAAATAGGGTGTTTTAGACGACATTTAACATTAAAGAAATTTGTAGGACAGCAATAAACTGGGATTGAAAAGAATCAAGTACTCACGTAAATTTGGTAACTTCACAACAGCAATCTGCATTCTCCAATCAAAACATTTCACTGTTGACTGTGTTCCAAAACTGACAGGATGTTCCTTTTTGATTTTTTTAACGGGTGATACTCGTAAAATATCTGTTCCGTATATTGGACCGTATATTGGACCGTCGACGAGTCCAACTCGGCGCGCGTCCTGGTAGGTTGTAAACCTACAATGATTTTTATACAATTGAAACATTTTCTTCAAAAATTTCCTCAATTAATTTGTCTTTATTCCAAAAAAATATTTAGAAATTTAGGAGTAACTTCTCAACAATTTCCTCTTTTTCCTCCCGTTTTTTCCTCCCAAAAAAAATTTCCTCCCAGTATGCCTGGCAAGATGGCGTGTTTCTGGATGTGTGCCTGGTAGGTTGTAAACCTACAAATATGTTATAGATTATAGAACTTTGCTGATCAATTTTCAATTTTTCAGCCTCAAAAATTGGCCTACAAAATGTTTCCATTCGATTAAAATTTCGGGACTCGGCCAAATAACATTATCAGACTGTTATTTGATACTTAGCTACTAAAAGTAATTAAACGTTTCTAAAATGTAGAAGGAATTTCTTTGAATACAAAATAACAAATAATAGGTGCTCAGCTAGTTATAGCTTTAAAAAATCTCCCGAAATCAAACAATGTTTGTTCCTTGAACTTGATAGTTGATTAGGGCTGCTGTTGCTGCAGTCACGTGTGATCCTGGGCTGCAGCTTCACGTGTCCCCCGTAGTTCTTTCTCTGTTTTGTTAGCTATCCGTATCGCTCTCGCATGGTGAGTCATCACGACTCACTAAGTGAGTGTCCCCGAAGTGTTCATTTATCCCCTTTGTCAATTCAATTCCTTCTAATTGTACTGAAAGCAAGGTTATTGTTATTTATAATTATAGGTTGTTAAAACTCAGTCTTGCATGTACAATTACATAAGCTATAATAATGTTGAATAAATCGTTAGAAAAAAATGAGGAAATGTTGAAAATTGAAATTTAACTGTGGCGTGATATTACCTAAAAAGTGAGGATAAAGTAAACCTTATTATAGGTTATTATATATTGTTTGGTTAGAATCGTTAACTTTGTAAGGTTTTTATTAATAAATAGATCAAGATGTCCCTGGCCTCGGCTCCACGTGCCTATTTTCCAGTTTCGGATAAGTATAACTTACTGAGCATTGGAAGTGAGATTTGCTCGAAGACGTCGCACACGGGTTCTTGGTGGTACTGGCGGAAGTGTTCGACAACACCTTCAGTTATGTTCATACCTACCAACTTCCCTGAAAAAGTCATGTTAGATTAACTTGGACAACAGAGAATGTCAACATGCTCCAAGTGAACGATAAGTTACGCAGTTTACCTTGATATCATACGTTAATACACAATACAAATGCAAAGAGTGTAAATGATAAAGGAAATTTACACTTACCCAACATTCCCCAACTGGACGAGAGTTGCTTGAACGATTCCTCAGTGAGCACCTTGTTGAAATAGGATGAGGTGTATAGGATATCCCATCTGGTGATGTTGTGGAATGTTCTCGCGTCCTCCAGTCTGGTCAGTGTGCTTGTTAGGGAGGTTGAGCAGGTATCCAGCTTCTCCCCTGTCTTGTTGTGTTGGGCTGTCTCTGTCTGTAGCTCACGCTCCGTTCTTTCCAGTTCAGCTTTCACTGTCCCTAGCTCCTCCTGGGTGGAATTCAGCTCCTCCTGGTTGGAATCCAGATGACCTTTCACTGTCCCTAGCTCTTCCTGGGTGGAATTCAGATGCCCTTTAACTGTCCCTAGCTCTTCAAGAGTTGTATTCAGTTGTCCAGTAATATTTACCAGCTTCTCTTCAGACACCTCCAACTGAGAATCTAGTTCTTTCTTCCAGTGCTGACACCTCTTAAACTCCCCAACAGATCCGATCGAAACCTCACTCACAGATCCACTTCTTGACTGGGACAGGATGTGTTCCCATTTCAGAACCCTAGTTTCAGCGAATTCTGTAAGGTCAAAACAGAGTCCACCATCCGCTATTTTCAATACCTCAGTCGAGCTTAAGGCTTTGCTATACATATTAAGCTGGTAAAGTTGGCCTCCGAAAATATAGCTAGAACTATGACTGTAAGAGAGCTTGTTGAAGAATAGCGTACCTCCCATTTGCAGTGTTCTTCCAGAAGCCGTTGTAGCTGTGCCTACTAAAGTACCATCAATATACAGCTTATTGCTCCTCGAGGCTAGTGACCAAGTAAAACAATAACTAAACCAGCTGCCTGCAGGCTTTGTTACCGCACTCCGTATGTCTGCACTCACAGCTGTACCAACTGCTTGTTTGTGACTTCCCAGTAGCATCTAACAAGATCTCATTGTCCGAGCGCCCTATCACGTATTGAAAAGTAGCTGGTAGGACGGAAGTGTGTATACGTTTGGCCCAAGTGCAGATTGAGAAGGAGTCTTGGAAGGGGGCCATATCAATCTTGAATCCAATGTAGTCATTAGTGGAAGTACCGAAATGGAGAGCAGTGTACTGCTCATCATCAGAGGCAACAGTTGGTAAGGCGATGACGACGATTATCAAGAGGAACATAACTGCGGTTTGCGAGCGAGAAATGGTGATAATATTATCTAATCAGGGTATTCGGAGGCGTCACAAAATATTTGGGACTTTCAGGGCAAGGACTAATTGCTCTTAACTCGAACTTACTTTGAACCGCAAAGGTTTTAAATGCTAGATAATGTAACAGGGTGGCACGCCATGCCACATAGCCTGAAATTCTCGAACTTTGTTTCCTTAATATTGAGCTGCTGCTCTTTATTTCGAATAAAATGTAGATAAAGTTATGTTCTTAGGTTGTCCTTATCAAAAAACTAATTTCAATCGCCATTTATTAATCTAGTTCAAATTCACTTGCCGGCTAAATGACTTACCCGGCCGGGGACCCCAGGCTATTATGTTCATGAACATATTAAAAGATTCGGCGGAATGACAGGCTGAGCGCTGCCCAGTAATTTTAGACGTATATTGCACTGTGTTCTGAGACCCCGACCCTTAGATGGAATTGGAAACGATATAGTTATACCAGCATGCAAGCAAGGAAGCATGACAACATAATGGCCCTACTACAACTACAGTCTACACTTACAGACAGAGCGTAGTCACAGTTTGGTGCTTCACAGTCACTCGGTCTTTTCCTCCGAGGATTAAATTTAAGGTGCACGTACCTTGTCCTGCCTGCCATATGACTATGGCTGAGTTGCCGTAACTTGGTTTTCGGCGATGTTTCCTCTGAATCTCGCTAGGTAATTTCTGCAGAGGGTGACCTTTGCATTGTGTATGTTCGCAGACTGTGTGCTTGAAATGTAAGGCCATAAAACGTTGCTGGAAAGCTCTTGACCACTCCTCGTTCATTTGCTTGGAAGTTGGCCAGTTGGGGTGGCTCCTCAAACCCTGCACCGGACATCTCACAACTTGTCTCACGTAACCATTTCTTAGCTACTAATCTTTGGTGTGGAGACGGTGCACTAGATGGTCACTGAACTTCCTATGAGGTCATTTGGGTTGGCCGGCACAAACCCCTGTTTTGGTGTATGCCCCCTTAATCTTTTATTCTGCACCTAGTTCTAATATTATGATTCAGTCATTTGTAGCACTTCGCCCTCTGATTAGCTGATTATTCGGTCCGTTTACTCGGCACAGTGCCAATTACCCTCACCACTAGCAAGAACAATCATTTAATCACCTCTATGTTTTTTTTCATTACTCATTTTCTACATGTGGCATCTTCAACACGTGACTACATCACGAGATATATCCACGTGGTATCGTTTCACGTCTACCTCTCACCTCTGCACTCTTGATATAAATGAGTTTGGTGTCAGCGATTATTATATCCTTCTACCACCCACAACAAGAGCCTGTAACCGGCACCACAGACAAATGATACTCAGAATATCAACAACTCAGAAGATACTGTCTCAGTCTGCCATACTCATAGAGTCGGGCGATCTTTATTAGTATTCACAGGTTAGTCAGGCAGTGGCTCAGCACTCTGTTGATATCTCTTTAGGGAGATTTGAGGTGTCTCAACTTTACTTAGTTGAGTGTGTCCCACAACCAAGCCCCGTGCCCAGGAGTCTGGTTTCATACATTATGATCCTGGACCTATGTGCAGCGAGTTAACTCTATAAAAAAATAACAGCCGAGATGAGCTCTGCAATAGAAATAAAATAGTACACTATAATAAAGGTTGCAATTTGCAGACGACACCACACACCGGTGTTACTGTTGAATGTACATTGTACCCTCTACTGTCTAAAACGACGTACACAGTACACGTTGCCACGGTTTTCGTGAGGCGTAATTTTCTGCGTGGTGTTGGACTTTACGTATGCACACCGCAATTTCCAAAACTTGATTCATCGTTTTACTTGCTTTTAACCTTTATCATTTCCCTTTTATCATTTGGATATTGAAACTGTCAGTGCTAAAGTCGTTTCAATGATGATACAAGGTGCCGAGCTATTATAACAACACCACAATTCCAAAAGCCTACATTTGCCTCCAATATTATCAGACTATCTTCTCTTGATCGTCAATTTCAATTTGGTGACGAAACTTGCTGCTGAAGCCTGTAACGGATAAGTTTAGTATCGATCTATGCTGATTAACAGTTTCTGGAGAAGGAGGATGCTGACTAAACGCAAACTATCAACTATTGGGGGAGTGTTTTTCTTGTTCGTCTACCTGTTCATAACAACTCCAGAATACGAGCAAACTCCCTCAGTAAAAGGGTATTTTGGGAAACAATGTACTTCTAGAAAACACTTTGGTAATCTAACAGACTCCCATTACTTCCTCTTCATCAAAGCTAAATACGGAGATGACGATATTTTGTCCAATTTGTTCTTCTTTTTGGGGCTGAAGTACGGGAAAACGTTTGCTATGAACATTGAGAGACCGATGAGCTGGTACGGTTTGTCTACTGGAGAGTACGACAGTTCCTATCTTCAATACACCAAGGATCCTCCTAAAGTTCTAGCACAGGAACTCGACTACGATCCTCTTAGTCTAGATAAACTTCTGGGCGGGAGTTATCAGGTCAGTCCTAAAGTGGTGGTTGGGTTCCTGAGAGACCCCTACGACGTGTTCATGTCTTGTCTTCTCAAGATAACCCAGAACCGGAGACGTAAAAATCAGGATGTTAGTATGATGTTGGAGACGAATGTAGTGGATTATCTGAACCTTTATGAAACGGGCGGACATTTCAGAAGAGGTGATATCTATATTGGTCCGAGTACTTGTAATAATCAGTTAGCTCATTCTCTTGGTTTGAACAATAATTTGTATCAGGAAGATTATAACCACCACATAGATCCTAGTGCTGCTGAGAAGTTCGCTGATCTCGTTGAGAGAAGGGTCACTAATTTTCTCATATATGAGAAACTGACCAAGTCTATGTTTATGTTAACAGAAGATTATTGTCTAAAACCTGAACAGGATTTCCTCTTTCTTTCTAGACTTCCTGAAAGCTTTGTCGGGATTGGTTTGGGAACCTTATCAGATGAAACTAGAAAACGTCTTGAACACTTCTTACAATTTGACTATGAGATTTACAACAGGATCAACAAAAAGTTCGACCAGCGTTTCGCAAATTTGGTTAAAAACCCGGTATTTGTCGAGAATTTCCAAGTATTCCAGGACAAGCAGGAAATGTTCAACAAGTTTTGCTGCCGTAGTACACTTTCTCTCCAAAACGAGGCCATGAAGCAACGAGCGTACGGTCTGACAGAATCAGGAAGTAGAGATATGAGATGCTCGATGTTAAATGGCGGAAACATGCTTCTCAGTAACATGGTCTATCAGATACAGGAGTTCAACTTGAATACCAAGGTGGTGGATTTGATAGAAAGAGGGTCCGAATTCCAGGACTTCCTACAGATTATATCAGAGACTTTAGGAGAGGAGGAGGAGGAGGAGGCAAAGACGGGAGATGAAGTGATTAAAGAAGTGATGTGATCTGGACTATCTTTCAGACCGTTGACGAATGTTCAGAATTTTTATCGCATGGGGTAAAATAGTTTCAGCTGATTTTTATAAGTTTGATATTAAACATTAATTTTCTAATTTCATGAAACTTGATCAAACAATTCGTATTAATCGGATAGGAGTAACAACGAAATCCAATAAAATCACTACAAATTTCAGTGATGTTAATATGCTATTGCTATCATGTTATACTTGCAGCGCTAAAAATTGTTGAATGTTGAAGCTTAAGCAGGCTAGAATGAAAGAGTTAAAAGTCGAAATGAATTGTACACGACAACTTAGCAATGGCTGATATTAATAAATTAAATAATATAGCGATTGGCCAAAAATTTATGCACAGTTACAAGCAGCAAATTTCCTGTAAAAACCACTCACAACTTTATCATGAATGTGCTTAAATCCTGTTCTGATTTTAGAATTGCACACGAAATGTATTACTGGGTTCACACTACTCGTCAAGAAAGTGGCATAATAGAACCAGCCGTTAAGATACGTCAGAACTACTTTATTGTCCCTGGCGATTGTATTTAAAACTTCTGTTGAAGGTGAGACCGCATAAGAAAAGTAGTAGAACAATAAAATACAGTTCCAAGTCACAAAGTTCAAAGAAAATAACACCGTAACCATGACAATGTTCATCTCACGCCGTCCTTTCTCTTTTTTCTTCCTTTTGATAAACTTCTTAACCCTGGCTGGGGCGGCGATTGTTCTGTTCATAGGATCAGGAGTCAACCGGCCTGATATGTCGATACTGCTAGTGCTGGTGTTGACGAAGAACGACTTCCTAAATCGGGCCACTACTGATGTGCTGGACGTTACAGAGGCTCTTGTACGGTTATTTCTGTACGCTAAACCTGGGGAGTATTTCTGTTTTAGATATGAGCGCAATTAAAACTGGAACATATTCATTATTATTACTCTTCATGTTAAAACTCGCATTATGCTATATCAATTGGTAAAACTGACGGAATCAGATTAATATTTAAAATGTCGAAATAATAAATCAATGCAATATAATGCTCCGCTCCGTAAACCACGAACAAAAACTTACGTGGGCTGAGTCTTGAGGCAGAAATAATCTGACCAGGACTACCACACCGACGGTGGGGCTCCAGAGATGGACTTAACGGGCCTGTATTTAATCTGTTGTGAGAGCTAGGGCTGTACGAGCACATTCTGAGTCGTGTACTCTTGGAGAGTTGAGGGCTGCAGTGGTGGCTGGACTCGGAGGTACTGACTAAACTACCTCCTGGGGAGTCGAATGCGATCCCGCAGTGCATTGAGTCTGTGAGGACGACATTCAGCTCGAAGACGTTGGTGTTGATACGGTCTCGGTATACTGACTTCTGTGCTGGAGTTTCAGTCGCGGTGATCCTGGGGAGGTTGATGATTAAGGGGGAGGATTTAGTTCATATTTCAAGTCATGCTGAAAGCTAAATGTAAGCGATAAGGAGCATAAGATACACTGAAATGAACCGTCAAACCTAAAGTCGAGTGAAGCGGATAAGAGAAAATAGAAAGAAGAAAACAGAAGAAAAGAATAACACGGTTTGATAATGATAGAATCAGCAACATAAAATTGGAATTTAATGTCCTCTGGAACAATTTCCTGTAAAATTGAACTCTTGTTAAATTTTGTTTCCCATCATTTTTATTTTGAACTGCACCTCTTTTCCCTGAGGCTGAACCTCGTAGTTTTGGCGAAGATCTTTCTGGTTGTAGCAGCAAAAATTGGGCTATCATTAGCATTAGCGACCCTGGTTTGCAGCGCTTCAAATCTGAAAACAGCGCATGCTGGCATTGCTGGGAAACAAAAGGATAATAGCGGTAATCGATCATTCCTAATAATAAATATAATTTGAGCAGAAAACGGTGAGCAAATAACGTAAATAACAAGCGGGGGATTTTACTTTCACTGAGTAAATCCAAAACATGCAAGTTAAAAATAAACATTTATAGCGGGCGAATAAAGAAGTCGGCAGTTTCTAAACTTCTCATTATTATAGAAATATAGCTCGTTAAAGTGTAAATCATATGCAATTAAATTTAACCTAATCAACAAACTAATCAACAAACTAATCAACATATACTATATATCTGGAATCTGGATACTGGTGTGGACTTTATTGAGGTGAATTATATTTGTTTTTACTAGTGATCATTAGCTGACACTCAACTAAAGGCCATATAATATATGGGTATGGAGTGTAGCCCATCTGGAAGGGAGGTATTTATAAAATATAAGGATATAAGGATATAAGGATCAAGGATGGAGATTGGAGGTGAACCATATTTTGGATGAGGATTGAGGTCACATGTCATATCTTACTATATATAAAGCGAGACGATATATATATATTTATTTATCCGCACCATTTTACTGACACCACGGCATCAACTTTAACACGGGTTTCCGCAAAAACCGTACAAGATATAAAACTGAAACTTTTTTAACTGATTCAAATGCTTTAATGGCCTTCAAATCAGCATGAAAAAATCGAAAATTGGTCAAGAAATAAAAATTTTAGTGCTCAAAATTTGGACCCCCAAGTGGTGTCAAAAACGCGAATTAAATAGGTAATAATTTATTTAGTCTCTTGAGTCTTGACACTACTCAAGGGTTAGACGGGTTCCTGCTAGTATTTATAACTCGTATGCTTATATAATAACACTCGTGTATTTATAACTCTTGTAGTTCTTGTAACTCTTAAACCTCTTGTTACCCTCTCTACAACAAAAGTTCGGATTTACGTAGCATGATCGAGCATGATCGAGAGCTTAAAAATAGCCGGGAAAAAAATCGACCTTAATATGAATTTACATTGATGACCCGGCCAAAAATTGCTCGAGAAATTGCTGTATGAACAGAATAAGTATTCTCTTATTAACATTTCTAAATTGAGGAATTTACTGTACCATTCCGTGGAGGGTAAAGGCACAGTAAAATCGATATCTGAGTAGAAACTCATACCTCAACTTGTTCCTACGATTCCGAACTAAACGGGTCTGATGCTCAGTAGTAGAAGTAGTACATGGGCTTATTACGTGTTCCCCATTCTGTATATTATATTAGTTCTATCGAATTCACAAGAACTTATTTCATGAATCGTAATAAATGTGTCTCCACGAAATTGTATGAACGTTTTTGGTGCTTGCTTTGTGTCCCTTGCCACTATCTGTGCTTTCGTGGTCACAGTTCGCATGCAGTAAACATGCAGTAAACATGCAGTAAACATGCAGTAAACATGAAGTAAACATACACTCTTACATCTTACCCTTATGAAATCGGTAAATAAATTGGGCGCTAGATAGATGGATCATAGATAACCATTTCTGTTTGAGAAGCTCGATGTATACCATGAGTTAACATTAACAAACTGTAGATTTATTTACAACCGCTAGGTATTGTTTTTATTTGACCTCGTTGTATAGATCAGAGGAGACTTGAGGGATTGAGGAATAACAGTCTTACACAGATGTATCATGTGTTCAAAACGTACCACACGTCAGCTAATGGACAAACAATGATTTGACAAATTCCTGAAATAGTTTTCAGATTTAAGAACAATAGACTTCCATAGACCTTACCCTCTTGAACTAATTGAAGATCCCCCTCAGCGTTAGTTATGATTTCTTGGTAATGTTTTCTATGTTGTTATTCGTTGGACTTAATCATTTAATAATTAATTCGTATTAATCGGATTTTGAATATCTGAGCTACTCCAATAACTGTTCTTCAACGTTTATAATTATATCGGTTATATTGATTGGTTCTTAGACCCTAGCTAGACGGTACGTGACGCGTTACGTGATCGATTACGTGACGCGTCACCTACCGTATAGCTAGGGTGTAAATGGTCTGACAGTCTGATTTGCTATTGTCATCCAAAATATGGTTCACCTCTTTGCTCTTATCCAAATATGGTATGGCTTGTGACGTATTTCATAACTAGTTCACCTCCGTTATTTTTTCCTTTCACGGCATAATCTCAGTCTTATATTCCAGATGAGCCACCTTCCATGCACATTGCACATTGCACATATATAAGCATTGGCCAAGTGCCAGATTTTGATCACGTGTCAAAACAACTCACTCCCCACCAGCATACAGATCTGTAGACCTATCTGGTCTTATCAGTGATATGATCTAACCTTTTATCTGGTCTCACCTGCGGGCCGCTGAAGCATCTGCGACTGCTATGTTGGTTTGAAGAGCTGCCCCCAAACCGTTCGCCACAGAGATCTTCTTGTTCATTCGCTTTTGTGCTTTAAGCCTCATTTGCAGCAACTTCAGGGTGAAATTGTATTAAGTAGATGGAAATTAGAATTGTTCAGAACAATAAACAGATACTGAGACGATTGTTTGCGTGACGCTTTGTTTTGAGATTTCTTGATTAGGTCTATCTTTGGCTTCAATTTAATTAAGAGAATTCATGAGAATAACCGCAGAAGGTCTTAATTGGATCTTAAATGTTAACTGAAACTAACTTTCACGCAGATAGCAGAGTTGCAGAATACAAGCAGGACTGTAGAGAATACTAAAGGTATTGTGTACAGTGCTGTGACTATAACTTTTGTTTGAAATGGTGTGTACATCTCTATCAATCTGAAACACAAGGAATAACCAATTCAAAAATGAATTATTAATTTTCGTTAATCTGAAACACAAGGAAATATTTTGTTCTATCAATCCCTTACAATACGATGTAATCAGTTGTTTCCAATTTAAAACATCTAACAGACTCTACATAACAAGATATAAACAAAAGTTCCTTTTTTAATCTTATGGTTTATCTAATAGTAATTCTTTATATTCGCCAGAAGTCAGAACTACTTTATGCTTGTGGGAACAGTTTGATATTATAATTACGAATTGGAGTCACCTCATAAAATTTTTAGTTTAAGAGTGGTCTATTTATATAGAAGCAATGATCAACACCGCTACGCCTACACTGTGTACCCCTATTATATTACACTTATATGACGAACAATCAGGGGACATTGGTTAAAAATAATTCAATATCCAGGTAATCATAAGATATGTCCAGACTTACAACATTTTAAAATTCCGATCATTGCTGGTTAATTGGAGTAATCGCATTTTCTAGGATATTCGGGATACGTTGTACAGGATTTTATAATTTGTCGGATAGATTGTGCATGAAAATACGACTACGTAAATGAAGTTTCCGTGAAACTTACCCTTTTTCATCATTCCATGTACAAACCTAATTTAGTAAGTTCTAGATGGATGACGCCTATTATTGGCATGTTTTGATACGATACGTTTCTTGTTCTGTTACAAGACTTAGTGCGTTTTTACTTCTTACAATCTTATTGTCTCAAGTTTTCTTTACAAATTAATGCGAATGCAACCACAAGTCGCTTTGTTGTTATGTGCAAGCCAGCTCAATCTAGAGATGACGGGACCCTAGACGATATTATTATCCTAAAATATTATTGAATATGGTGTGGAGGCAGTAGGCACACTCTATGAAATCAACAACGTCTAAAATTTTATAACCAATATCATAACGATACATTAAATCTCTTCCGCCTTAATATTCTGAATTTTTGAACTGTCAATTTAAATTCAGTTCTCCTTCAGAATGGATGCAGAAACCCCTACTACACTCGAGATCGGCTGGTTACGGAACGACACGTACTGTGAAGGGTATGCAGAGGTCGGTTTGGGTTGGTTTTTCTGGGTTAAGAAAATCATCAAACTTCTGGAGGATTCTGTCTCCTTGATCACAATTAATCACCACCTAGACGGAACCTTGGAAAAGCTGATTTTCACGAACAATGCAGGTGATGAAACTAACCGGAAGACTATCATGGACAGTGTGATAAGGATTCAGAAGATGATAGAAGAAGCACAGTACCGCTTCACTAAGTTAGCCGCTGCACTGAACGACTCTGCGCGGGAGAGTATCGTTAGTAATAACTCAGGAGGAAGTCCAGTTGATGGAGGGCTGATGTTTAATACCTTCTTAAAAACCCTGTCCCAGAAAACCTCGTCTGAACTAAGAGACGTTGACGAGGGGATTGCGGAGGCGCTAAATAGTGTAGGCGATGTTCTCGTTGAGAAAGAGCCAAAAAGAGAAAATCAATCAGATGTATCAGTATTAGCTGACCGAGAGGTGAAGACATTAGTGTTAGGAGTAGCGAGTTGTGGCGTAGCTACTGTCTTGGTTGCTATTCTTCAGAATCAATTGGGGTTTTCGTTCACAAAATCAGTGATGACAGTTTTGGTGGGTGTAGCTTCTATTGGGTGTACCCTTTATTTCGGGCTGAAAATGCGATGGAATCGGGCCAAAGGGAACATGAAGGAAACGAAGGAGAAGAACGATTCAGCCGATACCTCGCTTGAGGATGCGACATTTCAGGCTGCTCATACCTTTTCCCTTTGAACAAGCAACTTGAGTTAATCATGCAAGATCCCCCTGATGTGAACGAAATGTTTTACCAATCAGCGATTGGGCACTCTTTAGTTGAATGTCTAGAGAAAATCGATGCCGTTTCACGTCAATATTTGGATTTGTCTGAAGAGAATTACGGTAGTTTGGACGATCGGGATCATTACCGGCATCTTTCATCTTGATCTCAGGACGATACTTTTCATGGTATTGTAGAAGAAACTGAGTATGGAGAAACAGTTATAAGTTCCACTAAATGGCAAGTATATATGCCATGGGTAGACAGGGGTCTGGGGTAGACATAAGAAACAGTTTCTATCTAAACCTTTGAAAGACATTGATAGAGTCATTGCTATGTAGCTTTTTGCAGATCTTGTATTTATAAATTGTGTTAATTAGATTGTATTTTGCAAATAATTATACAGATTACAAAGTTGTATGCTTTTCAACATGTGGGCTAAGTTTTAACACTTTGACTTATTGCTGAGATCTTGGTTTGTACTAATACTGTTACGATTAAACTTATTAAATTGCAATTCTAAACTCTGGTTTTATTTCTGCCATACTAAAGATATTCTTAATATTTAATAGTGATATTAAAATCGTTAAACCAATCAAATAAATAAACCAATGAACAAAAAATCAGACCTATAATCGCAGTAGCCCCAGGCGGGCTCCATTCTTGTATTTTCCAGTTTGTAAAGGTGCATCGTGCCCCCAACCGAGCTGATGGTCCAGAACAGTCCCAGACACAAAATCACGTTCCTTTTAGAGAACATCCCCTCATACCTGTAGATCAATACTTAGTTTTCCTAATTCCCAGGAAAGAATTCAATCTCATCATCAAAGTTCATGGATTCATAAGAATTTGTGAACTGATAACTTATAACTTAAATCGTGTTCAGAAGAGGCTAATATATAATATAATATTAATAACTGACGGAGACAAAAAATGTCATTTAAAAACGTCAAAGACCAGGCATACGTAATAACCCAGAACAATACCCGAGATAATGAGAAAAGTTTTATAATCTGGAAGTACCTGTGAGGGGTAAAAACTGCAAGGAAGCGTCCCAGAGACGTGAGGGACAACATGAGGGGTGTTACCACTGAGGTGACCCGCCACGTGATAGCTAGCATCTGACAGATAACATCATCTGAGAGGGAAATAGTAATTTGTAATTTTAATTGTGTGTCATCTCTCATGCAGTAATTTGTAATTACAGTGTGCTGGGTCCCACACACTATTGCGATTAGTAATAAATGATAGTTGAACTTCAATGTCGATTCTAATTGGGATCTGGAGGAGTAATTTTAGCCAGTAATACAGCCAGTAGTACAGCAAATTCCTTCGTTTTACAAAATGTTTTTTCAAGAAATTTTTAAAACTTTATAGAATTACCAATAAAATAAAAGTCGAAGAAGGTTCTTTTGGCAAGGAGAATATTGAAGGCGAAGATGGCATCAAGACCACCCACAACATCAATCACAGCTATGTTCAGGAATATCAGCTCAGAGTTTGTTCTTTTTTCGAACTTGGAGATTACAGCAATTACCAAGGTATTGGCTGAAAGGTTAGATTGAAATTGAAAAAAACGTTTGAAACATTTAGGGGTTATAATTTGAAATATACATCTACATATTCATTACTCTTCCCGTAAAAACACTGGTAATGAACATAATGTACGGAAGGCTAAAGAGAAGCATTTTACCAACTATGGTGCAACTTCCCAGGAGTACCCCAAACACTCCTATAGTCAGATCTGCAGTCCGTGAATAGTCTGTGAAGTTAGACATTTTCTCTTCTCAACCGTCACAACTCCATGAGAACTTTTGTATAACTATACCTTGTTAGACATAGTGCCACATTATATTAATTAATTATATTAATTAATTATATTAATTAATTATATTAATTAATTATATTAATTAATTATATTAATTAATTATATTAATTAATTATATTAATTAATTATATTAATTAATTATATTAATTAATTATATTAATTAATTATATTAATTAATTATATTAATTAATTATATTAATTAATTATATTAATTAATTATATTAATTAATTATATTAATTAATTATATTAATTAATTATATTAATTAATTATATTAATTAATTATATTAATTAATTATATTAATGTTTGAAAGAGTACAAGTTGTCTGGGAAGTTAATGGAAAGAAGTTTGAAACCGGAAGCGACACAACAGTGGAAAAGATTCTGGGTATGGAAAAATAAATCCACACTGAATCAGCAAAGGGCATGCGCTATAAGTATAATGTCCTGATAGTTACAAGTAAAACTTGCATTGAAAACCCAAATCAGGTTAACATTTAAAACCAACACGAAACGATTTGAACTATGAGTATAACTAAGTTATAAGAATAAAATGAGATCATTGAGAAAGCAAATACAATTCAATACGACTATCAAGATGCTTAATTATTCCTTATTGTAAATTATCTTTTGAATAGAACTGACTGAAAACAATTCGTTGCGAGACGGATCAAATTAAATTTTTAAACTATCGTAATAATCATAAACAGATCAAATTTAATTTGTTTGCGATCGATCATTTCGTTTAATTCCTGTCTAAAGTCTCGACAAATGTCTCTTCAGTTAGCACGGCGCAACATATTTCATAATTTATTGTCCTTCATTATTTCATCAGTCAGTCACCACTTATACCACATTACCAAACAAAGTGTGAGTGTGACTGGTACAGCATCAAGTTAAAATAAAACAAAAAACGGAGAGAAAGTATGTCAATTTACCCCCACATGCTTTGTATCTGTAATACTAATTATAACGTTCATTTTAGGAATCTGTATTTCACGACACAGCAATTACAAAAAATTCGCCAAATTTGCAGCCTTTAGGTACTTTCAATTCAGGTTGGATTATTCAACAGCGTGGTATATATAGCGTTGCTTTACACGATTGTTGTGTCTTACGTAATGTCTTACGCTGAGTTTTCTGATAATTCAAAATTTATAAACCTAGAATTATCCTCATAGAAGGTTCTACAATTAGATGGGCAGGATGGCTAGGTAGTTACGCATAATTGTAGTAAAGTATTCAATATTACTCTAGAATTACGGACGGAATCCGGATACAGGTCACCAAATCAAGCTTTCATTATTATAGAGCTATAGAGCTTCGAGAATAACACGGGTGCATACAGATTTGGGGTGGCGCCCACCCATGGTGCAGTAAAAGCTGTACCGAAAGGGCTGTGGCCGAAACGCCATTAGACAGGGAAATCCGACTGCGGTCGCCCAAATCATTATTTATATTATTCAATATTATAACTTTATAACATAAGACTCCAACACATGGTGCGTATAAGCGACTAACGTGACTCAATTTCAATTCGTTGAGGGATTGCGATCCAGCTTGACATTTGACAAGTTATTCATTTGTTCCTGTCAAAATTCACCCTTATTTGTCTTTTTAATCGAATATCGATAGTATTGAAAGTCGATAAATTATCAACTTGCCATCTGATAATAATAATAAAGAACTTCTGGCAATATTTTAAGGAAGAAAAATTGCCATTATACCCCCTGTATTTATTATAAAACTAAATACAGCTATTCATGAACACGAGAAATACATCAAATGGCCGAGTAGTCACGCATTCTTTATACTACTACTAGTTACCACATATTACACTGTTATGGGCCATATGAACCAGATTGTCAAAATAAGTCAATTTTAAAACTTTATGACTAAAAAATTATCTCTTTAAAAGGTTTTTAATTAACACATACAAATTGGTGGGATGAGCTCTTTCTCTCCCATTATAGACCTTACACGTTAAACATACAGATCTGAATGATAGGTAGGTGCAGGGGTGCTTTCACAACTCCTTAGTACGTGCCCAAACATTTTCCATCTATAAGCCTCTGCGATCCTACCCCCTATATACTATTATACAATATATACCCCTTTATTTTTTTTCCAGGCATTAAGACTGATCATCAGAAGTCGTACAACAGGTTTATTTTTAGTTCAAAACATTATTATTCAATGTCAAAGATGACAGTGCAGGAATAAGAAATAGTTATGTGGGGATTTTCAGGAAATTTACGCCAGCACTGTTAGTGTTAATGTTATACAAAATTCGGGAAAGTGACCGTCGGAAGTGAAGATCTATTGATGGCCAGATACGAATCAACAGAAGTCATCTGAGAAAACAATGTGGGTAGTTGCTCCAGCTCCTCCACCATCTCCCTGACTATACAGAACGTGAGGACGGTCACGGGATCTACTACGCTCCAGTTCTCAGATAGTGACGAAACTAACTGGGGCGCTGAGGTCTCTTTGGCAATAGAGGTGTCTGACGAGGTTTTCGGAGCGGGAAGTTCTGGGACCTTGGGTGAAGTATGTAAAACCGTTTGTAGTAATCAATTGTTTAATGATAATAGTATTACCAGCTCCCGTTCGCGTTAAGATGACATTTACAGAGTTTATTTGAAAATTGTATTCAGATGATAGTACATCTATTCACTGGCCTATATCGCGTGTTTAAAACTTTCTTTAAATAGCTCTGATAGACAATTCAAAACTCTACAGTCCCTCTGAGTCTGATCTACTCTGTCCCTCTGATCTCCAAGTTCCAGTGTAGGGTCAAAGTGATTGACTTTGAGGACACGCCTGATTTAATAGAGCATAAGTTATAAGACACGAATGCGTAGGACACAAGTGAAACGTCCATATCTCAATTTTATGTTATTCACCTGGTATGGGGACAGTGGTGCAACGTATTTGTGCAGTACCCCCCCCCCCCCCCCCCCCCCCCCCCGCAAATTTGTTTGCCGCCCCCAAAATTGTATAGGTCCTAAAAAATAAGAAAAGGTCGGGCCTTTTTTTTTCCCGCCCCCTACAGTTTTTGCTACCCCCGTGGAAGCAAAATATACCCCAAATATTTGTTAACGTTGACCGACCGTTAAATTGGACAGCATAATACACGAATTGGGCGTTTTTTCTTAGAAAAATACCTGAAATTCGGGAAAAAGCCGCCACTTAACTTATTAATAAGTTACAATATAATTAATCAAAAAGATTTCGGGCATTCTGCATGAATAGAGATATTTTTCTTAAAACAATACCTTGGTGTACCACTACTATGCTGGCGCTGCCACCTTACCAAAATTAGTGGTCAGCTCTGCCGCCGCAACCAGGGACAAATACAAAGCAACAAGTATAACTGCATCGTGCCACTCGCCTATTTTCTAGATTATCAGATAATTAGAGAATTAGAGACACTAACCAGAGACATTAGCCGCAAATGATACCCTTTATTCGCTATTAGCGTGTTCCCAGGAGATCTAAAGAATTTATCATGCAAGATACGTTACATCAGTGCTCTACATTAAAAAAGGCGTTTATAAAACAGTACCTTGCCTGTGGCCTGTTCCAGTTTACTAGCGCCGCTACTAGTTACCTAATTCAAACTCATTATACTTACGATGATCGATTGCAACATAGTTGTCCTCATCGGCCGATCGACAGGTTGCTTGAAGCATGTTTGAACTTTGAACAATGATATATTATTATTTGGTCAATACAAGTTGTGAACTCTCTATTCCACTATAATAATGATTATTATATTCATTATAATTACTATTATTATAACAATGCTAAATGTAACTAGAAGAGAAAACATTATCGACAAAATATTCTATAAATCAAGTGATAAATATGCATAATAAAATAATAGCAATTTATAGTTTGACAGTCTCATAGCAAGAAATGTTCGACCTCGACTCAAATAAAGTGTGAGCCCTAATTTCATATAAATACAACAAAACGATTCAGCGTTTTAGAGAAACATTTTGACAGAATGATCGTAATTCTTAAAAACAAGGATTTATGAATGATCCTTTCCGGAGACTATACCGAAGGTCGTCCTGGTGACGTCAAAAGAATCCAGGGGCATACTATTACTAATCTACAGATATTTTCAATCAAGCAAACAAAGAAAACTGGCAGAATATTCCGTTTTATGTCATCAAAAATATAAAATATCAGGATTCAGGGGTTGCTATTGGCAGCCACTAATTAGATAAGATATGCGGACGTCGACAACAAATGAAAGAACAGATGAAAGAACAGTTATTAGCTATATTTAATGATAGAATAATCGCACAAGAAGGCTGTCTATTGTAGTCTATTGTACGGTACAATAGGCTAATACAGCCTTCTTGTGCGATTATTCTTTCAGAGCAACTAAGATTCTGGATTCTCAATGCGATGTTCATATTGTATATAAGTGGCGGTATTTTGCAATTAGAGAAACCATCAGTTCGTCTCAGATTTACAAACTATCGGAATTTCAACTGCAATAATTTCCTTTTGGCAGACTTTATCTGTTCCTGAGGGATGATTACCCGTCGAGGGAAATTGTGAGGAATCAGTGGTACTGGGTAGCTGGACGCCGGTAGAAGGCTTTAATTCTTAGGCTTCAGACCAAGGTCTGAGACAACTATAAGTATAAATGATTGCGGTATAAAACTAACCGAGATGCTAGTAGTAGTAGTAGTAGTAGTAGTTAGTACGTAAAATGTTATAGCAACTCGGAATAATAGTAGCACGATATTTAGCTAGGTACTACTACTCCGTGACCTGGTTTCGTTTAGAGCCTAATCAAGTATCGCTATCTACATCAATCGATCGAATTTCACACCAACTCCGGTTGGTTTGCATAAACAAACTTTGAATACTCGATTGACTATTTAGCCATTACGTCATCTTATTGAATTAATATCGCAGCGCAATCACTATCAGTATCATAGTCAATACTGTTATCATCATGACGCCCTACTCCTATCAATTATTCAATCATTATTAATTAAACAGGCATAATTGAGTATGATGTCCTCCCTGGACTATTGCCATTTATTTTATGGTTTTAACTGGAAATATGAGCATGTCTGTATCCCCGATTCCCCTTTAATTCGATAGCAGCAATAATATCATTGATCATATAAAAATCGATTTACCTTATTTATTATTACACGAAATTTAGGGGACATTTAATTGTGCAATTTAGATAAATTAAATTTATATAAACAACCCAATAATAAGATTAAAATAAAATATAAGACGGAGAAAAACGAGCTACCAGTTTATCTCTCAAAACTGAACTTAAACATATTTTAGTTTAATAAATATATCATAAGAATAGAGCTTCTCCAAATCATATTGAGACAAATTGAATAATTATGTCTTTAAACCAATTTTAAACATATCCACTGAATAACACATTTTAACTGAATTCAAGTTGAAGATAAAAAATTGCGATAATAGGTCTTGTTAAATCAATCACTCATCTTCTAGTTCTACCATTGCTATGCCAGTGTCTTCCACTTCCAGCTCAATATTTATTTCGAATCGAATGAGGAATGCGTTATACTGCTAGTCACTAATCCAAATACTCAAATACTGACTCAAATTCTATATGGAAAAAGACCTCGAATTGAACTTCCTTCCAAGAAAATGACACAAATAAATACTGTCGGACTATATAATATAAGTGAGGCTTAAATTTCATGTACATAATAAGATATCGTATATGCATTATAATATTACTGCTATCGAATTAAATGGAATACAGAAATGCTCATAATATATCCAGCTATTACCATAAAATAAATGGTCAGTGACCCGAAGCGTTCCGAGGGCAATAAAAATATTTAGAGATAAATAATATCACAGACGTTGGTTTCAAGCTTTATAACGATACTATACTGTTATACTAGAAGGTGTGCTACGTGATAGCAATTTGGTGATATAGATGCTGTGTTATGTCATATGTGAATAGTGACCGACCATACATGTCATTAATGATTAAACTTGACATGTGTTACTGTTCTCACTAATGGTATACATCATATCATCCCCGACCATTCAAGTTCAACAAAATTCATGGCCCAACTGTGCATATTTTATTAATAAATTTGTTCGCACCAACAAAACTCGACGGAAACAATAAAAGAGACATAATAAAAGAGACATACAGATTAACTTGTCTCTCTAAACGAAATGATGTAATATGTACGTCTCACACACATACACAGTGAAGTTAGATTTAATAAGTTAATCTGATCTTATTGGCAGGTAATGCGACACTTGTATTGTGGTAGGATAATCGATGTTACAAATGTCTATCAGGATATCCAGCCTGGATATTGTCCAGGTGTGTCCTGGGATCTTGGGAGAGAGAGAGAGAGAGAGAGGGATCTTAATCATGTGAACTGTGTTAAACACTGTAGTAATGGTACTGGTAGACGTTACAATTCTCTGAACAGCAGTAATGGTAGACGTTACAATTATCTGAACAGCAGTAATGGTAGACGTTACAATTCTCTGAACAGCAGTAATGGTAGACGTTACAATTCTCTGAACAGCAGTAATGGTAGACGTTACAATTCTCTGAACAGCAGTAATGGTAGACGTTACAATTATCTGAACAGCAGGAATGGTAGACGTTACAATTATCTGAACAGCAGTAATGGTAGACGTTACAATTATTTGAACAGCAGTAATGGTAGACGTTACAATTATCTGAACAGCAGTAATGGTAGACGTTACAATTCTCTGAACAGCAGTAATACTAACCCGACTAGCATGACTAGGCTCACAGTCATGATTAGGAGCCGTATCATGGCTATTCCCTGAAAATTATATGGCAGGATTTTTGGCGATACGGAATTAATCTTATGTTATTCAACAGATCTAACATTCTTTGATTAAGCATGGCCGTACGGCGTACATCTCGCGATTAACCGTACCTTTTCCCTTTCAGTTTCCTCTTCAAATGCCTAATTTGTAGTATGATATCTATCACATGATAAGTCATAATTATAGCATGGCTGATAAACGAGATGTCAAGCAAGCCTGTCAGGCTAGTTAGTTAACCTCTGGTATACCACTAATATCATGTGCGGAGGGAAAACCAGTTTTGTCAAAAAATAAAGGCCATGTTAATAACATGGCATAATATTAATATGCGGCTTGGAATTTAAAATTTAATTATTGTTACCTACCCTGACCATACCGATACACCGCGATTTACGTAAATTTACCCGTTAAATAGTAGGACTAGGAAATGAAAATAGTATTACTATCACATTTACTAGTACTACCGCTCTATTTTCATTTTCTACAATTATTGGTGATAGGATGACGCCCAAACAACAGACTAGATACAGTAAGTTAAGCCTTACTTTGAAATGGTATATACGTAAACTTAAAGGATCATCAATGGCTACATCTCACTCTCAGTAAATTCACGAAGCAAGATAAGGCACTAGATAGTAGGAAATGGCATAAACCGAGGGGACCGGGATTATCGCCAGGCACTGAAGAAATCCTTTCCAGCCAACTAAAGACCAGTCCCAGCATTTATAGGGCGGTACTTGGCGCTAGATAAGACGGCTCAACGATGAGCGAAGATCAAAGACAAAGCGGACTTGTAGTAAGATAGGGCCAATTACATCATTTACAAACCACTTAAAATACCTCACGGAAAACCACTAGCGGTAAATCGTAGGAGAGGTTGCCACCGAGAAAGTAATGACGACATGACTTGCTCTGTATTGTTTTGTAATACCACGTGAGGTCCTAATATAGTCATAAAACGGAATGTCGTGCAAGGAATTTGCTCGTTCTGAAATGTAATATAATATAACTCTTTATCACCGAATTTAATTATAAGACTAAGAGATAGTGAATAGGGAGACATGATCGCGCGGCGCAAGAAACAAAAGTGTGCTTCAGTATAGGGAGTTAAGAAGAAGTTGTGAGTTTAGAATAAGTTGAACTACCAACACTCAACAGTAATACAAGAAGTTAGAATGTGTGGAGTCAAAGCAAATTACGAGAGGTGGAACGCAGCGCATTGAAATGACGGTACAGTGCACTATGGCAATAGTGATTTGTGCTGCCATGGACTGGCTGTTATTGTGATGAGGGCAACAAGCCAATTGCCTGGATCTTCCAAGTTAACCTAACGATCTGGTCTCTTATATAGTTCTGAACCAGAGACCGAATGAACCCCGTCCTAGATCATCATTACTTAGAACAAAGAATAGAATCCTGAGTCAATTGAGCGCTAATCATTCTGGATGTAATATGTGACCTCCGGTCGTTGTACTAAGTGGTTCAATTTGAGACTAGTCGTTGTTATCATAACCATGTTAACAAAGACACATTCGGTACAGCCAAGGAGTAAGACACTTACCAAGAGATGGTCTCGAGATGCTAATCGTTTCAAGGAATCATGATGTGGATGCGGAACAATTAATCTGTCACAATTTTAGATTTAAAAGTTAAAAAGAAGTAACCAGGAAGCATTGTTGGTTGGATAATTAAAAGTTGGTGGTATTTTTAAATACATTAGATAACATACAATATAATTATACACTACCCAACACAGAAATCAATCCAAATTAACTTCATATCACGGTTCATACATGTGTACTATTTGATATGTATGCCCCCATCAAGTAAATAGTAAATGTTGTAACTGTTCAAATAGCAAAACAATAATAAAACTGATACAAATACTAACAAATGGGGGGGGGGGGGGGTCCAACCCGATCATTTCCGATCATTCCGATCCCGATTTTGGCCTCATCAACCCTCATATCGGAAAAATCGGGAAAATTTAAATCTTTCCTCTGAGGTTTCTAGGCGATATAGGTAGCTATTTCTGTACTTAAATATGACAAGAAATCGATTGGTGGTGGTCCCAGAACCCCAAAATGGTTTCTAGTTCCAAACAAGAATCGTTTCGTCCGAAAAACAACACACTGTCGTATCAACTCTTGTTTGACAGAAACATCCACCCCGGTCCACAATTGAAAGAGGTACGGTTGGTAATAACAATAGTAACAAATAGGGAACGCATTAGTAACTTTTGATTTAAATTGTCTCCACAATTTGTAACAGGCTATCTGCAGAAATGGGTAGCACGGTTAATGACCATTGACCATGGTCCTTTCTCAAACTTCCAATCCTCAGTTAGATACAAAGAATAGTCTACACAATTTTAAATAACATTAAAAGAGAGGAGGAGGAGGAGAAGGAGGAAGACTGAGGAGGAGGAGGACTGACGAGGAGGAGAAGGACCGAGAAGGACAGAGGAGGAGGAGGAGGACTGAAGAGGAGGAGGACTGAAGAGGAGAGGGAGGACTGAGGAAGAGGAGCAGGATTGGTGAGGAGGAAGAGGAGGACTGAGGACGGGGAGGAGAAGGACTAAGAGAACGCGAGGGCTAAGGACGAAAAGGACTGAGGACGAGGACGAGAGCGAGGACTGAGGAGGAGGACTGATAAGAAAGAGAAGGAGGAGGAGGAGGAGGACTGAGGATGAGGAGGAGGAGAAGGAGGACTGGGGGAGGACTGAGGAGGAGGACTGAGGACTGAGGAGAAGGAGGACTGAGGAGGACAGAGGAGGACCAGGAAGAGGACTAGGAGGATGAGGACGATGACTAAGGACGAGGACTAGGAGGATGAGGACGAGGACTAAGGACGATGAGGACGATGACTAAGGACATGAAGAGGACGACTGAGGAGGAGGACTGATTAGGAGGAGAAGGAAGAGGAGAAGGAGGAGGAGGGCGAGGAGGAGAACTGAGGAGGAGGAGGAGGAGAAGGAGGAAGACTGAGGAGAAAGAGGAGGACTGGGGAGGAGGAGAAGGACCGAGGAGGATTGAGGAGGAGGAGAAGGACCGAGGAGGACTGAGGAGGAGGAGGACTGAGGAGGAGGAGGACTGAAGAGGAGAGGGAGGACTGAGGAAGAGGAGCAGCTGATTGGTGAGGAGGAGGAGGACTAAGGAGGAGGAGGACTGAGGAGGAGGACGAGAGCGAGGACGAGGAGGAAGACTGAAGAGGAGGAATGATAAGAAGGAGAAGGACGAGGACTGAGGAGGAGGACTGATGATGAGGAGGAGGAGAAGGAGGACTGGGGGAGGACTGAAGAAGAGGAGGACTTGTGGAGGACTGAGGAGGAGGACTGATATGAAGGAGAAGGACGAGGACTGAGGAGGAGGACTGATGATGAGGAGGAGAAGGAGGACTGGGGGAGGACTGAGGAAGAGGAGGACTTGGGGAGGACTGAGGAGGAGGAGGACTGGGGGAGGACTGAGGAGGATGATGAGGAGGAGGACTGAGGATGAGAAGGAGGAGAAGGAGGACTGGCGGAGGACTGATGAGGAGGTGGACTGGGGGAGGAGGACTTAGGAGTAGGAGGAGAAGGAGGAAAAGGAGGAGAAGGAGAAGGAGGACTGAGGAGGAGAAGGAGGAGGACTGAGGAGGAGAAGGACTGAGGAGGAGGACGAGGAGGATGAGGACGAGGAGGAGGAGGAGGAGGAGGACTGACGAGTAGGAGGAGGACTGGGGAATGAGGAGGAGGAGGACTGAGGAGGAATAAGATGAGCGCTGAGAAAGAGGACTGAAGAGGATGAGGAAGAGGAGGAGGACTGAGGAGTAGGACTGAGGAGGAGGAGGAGGACTAAGGAGAAGGATGAGGACTAAGGAGAAGGATGAGGAGGATGAGGAGGAGGAGGAGGACTGAGGACGAAGACTAAGGAGGACGAAGACTAAGGACGAGGACTAGGAGGATGAGGACAAGGGTTAAGGAAGAGGAGGAGGACGACAGAGGAGGAGGACTGATTAGGAGAAGAAGGAAGAGCCCGAAGAGGAGGATGAGGAGGAGGACTGAGGACGAGGACGACTAGTGTAGGACTGAGGATGAGGACTGATGAGGAGAAGGAGGAGGAGGACTGAGGAGGACGATGAGGAAGAGGAGGAGGAGGACTGAGGAGGACGATGAGGAAGAGGAGACTGAGGAGGAGGAGGAGGACTGTTGAGGAGGAGGAGGATGATAAGGAGGAGGACTGAGGAGGACTGAGGAGGACTGAGGAGGAAGACTGAGGAGGACGAGGACGAGGACTAAGGACGAGGAGGAGGAGGAGGACTGATTAGGAGAAGAAGAAAGCGGAGAAGGAGGAGGAGGATGAGGCTAGGAGGAGGAGAAGGAGAAGAATGAGGAGGAGGACTGGGGGAGGACTGAGGAGGAGGATAAGGAGGAGGAGGACTAAGGATGTGGATGAGGACGAGGACGATTGTGAGGAGGACAGAGGATGAGGACTGATGAGGAGGAGAAGGAGGAGGATGAGGAGGAGGAGGACTGGGGAGGACTGAGGAGGAAGAGGATGATAACTGAGGAGGAGGATGAGGAGGAGGACTCAGAAGGAGGACTCAGGAGGTGGACGAGGATGAGGAGGAGGACTGGGGGAGGACTGAGGAGGAGGATAAGGAGGAGGAGGACTAAGGATGTGGATGAAGACGAGGACGATTGTGAGGAGGACAGAGGATGAGGACTGATGAGGAGGAGAAGGAGGAGGATGAGGAGGAGGAGGACTGGGGAGGACTGAGGAGGAAGAGGATGAGGACTGAGGAGGAGGATAAGGAGGAGGAGGACTAAGGATGTGGATGAGGACGAGGACGATTGTGAGGAGGACAGAGGATGAGGACTGATGAGGAGGAGAAGGAGGAGGATGAGGAGGAGGAGGACTGGGGAGGACTGAGGAGGAAGAGGATGATGACTGAGGAGGAGGATGAGGAGGAGGACTCAGAAGGAGGACTCAGGAGGTGGACGAGGATGAGGAGGAGGACTCAGGAGGAGGATGACGACTATGAGGAGGACTCAGGAGGACTGATGGGGAGGAGAAGGAGGAGGAGGATGAGGAGGAGAAATGAGGAGGAGGAGGAGGAGAAGGAGAAGGACTGGGAGTAGGACTGAGGAGGAGGAGGGGACTGAGGAGCAGGGTGAGGAGGACTGAGGAGAAGGACGAGGACGAGGACGAGGAGTCAGGAAGAGGATTGAAGAGAACTGAGGAGGAGAAGGACTCAGGAGGAGGAGGAACACTTAGGAGGAGGAGGAGGACTGATGAGAAGGAGGAGGAAGACTAGGGAGGAGGAGGACATGTAAAAGTTTTGTCTGTTTTTGTCCGTTTTTGTTCGCCCTACTTTTTTTCCGTTTTGAAAATATAGGGTACCGAACGGACACAAAACATGATCCCCCAGCCAAGCATGTGTTACGATACAAATGTACTTGACTACTACTGGTATACATTTAAGGTGCAGTGTACTAGTGATATCATGGTATGTTTAAAGACCGGACCACAAAATATAACCCGGTACCTAGTGTTGTACTAATACATAATAACAAGTAACTGGGATAAAATTAATTCAAGAAACAATTTAACAATCGATGTCACGTCAAAAGGCCAAAGCACTCGGGTCTGGGAGTACATGACAACTCCAACTAGTAGTGAGCATACTAATAAGCCCCTGCAGTGGAAAAACACATAAAACATACTATTGGAATGTCCTTGATACATGTTTCGTATCCCAATATCAGAGATAAGAATTTGCACTTCATTTTAAAACGTTCACTTTGACAAACCATAACTCTCCACCAATCAAGTCAAATTTCAATTTTAAAATATCAAAAGAAAGTAGAGAATTTCGCCAACAAGAAAGGGGACTCTTGGATGGGTAGGTAAAAACGCGATCTTTGCCCTCAAAATCGACTTTTAAAACTTCATACATTTTCCGCCGAAATTATAAGTCTTATATCGCAAAACATCCCCCTACCTTCGGCGGCGGAGGAGGCGCGCGAAAAGTGGCATGCAACGTATGTCAAGAATGTCCAATTGGTTTGTTTTCTTATAACAATATAGCATATGTAGGGGTTCTGGTTGAATTATATCACTTCTGAGAGGTTTTTGAGATCGATTCTGTAAATTTCTCAATTTTCCGATTTTTCCGATTTTTCCGATTCCGATTTTGGCCTCATCAACCCTCATATCGGACATCGGGTTGGACCCCCCCCAACAAATAGTCAGAAGTAAGGTGAACCAGCCACTGAATCTCACATTTTAACATAATATTACCTCCTCTGAAAGCACACGTTACCCGATTCCAAGCAATCCCGAAATTCTTAACAATTTAAGCTTAAATTAGAAGTATAAAAAATGAAAACAGCTTTAATCTCTGCCCAATAGGATTTTATAAACACAGCGACTTCTTAAATCTCCAAAGATGTTTGATATCGGAGCATCTCCGATACCAAACGTCCTGCTAATATCTGATTTATACCACCGGAATAAACAAGATTTTTAAGAATCCGAAGACTCTAAACAAAGGTTTTAGTTAGGGCAACAATAGAAATTTATGGGACCATCTGTGAATAAATTCGTAACAAAGGTTTCTCTACAGGGATGTGTTGTCCATATACATAGTCCCAGGCACAACAAAAACCGTAAAACTGAAACTGATGGGGAAAACTTTCTGTAACAATTTTTCTCCAGGCGCCCACACGCCCCGACCTTAAAAGTCGGCTTCGGAAGGTCTGTCTGAAGACAGTTTTTAAGTGATTTTTCGGAATAAAACCTAATTATCTCGTTATGTGATTGTCAGCTCCCTTTGAAAACTTCGTGCGTCTGCCATAATGTGGCAATTGCGGTCATTTTCCATTTCCTCTTGAGATCTCACAGACCATCCGAAGCCGAGTAACGACTTTTAAGGTTGGGGCGTGAGGCGCCTGGAGAAAAATTGTTCTAGAAAAAGTTTTCCCCATCGGTTTCAGTCTTACGTTTTTTTGTGGTGCCTGGGACTATGGACAACACATTCCTGCAGAGAAACCTTTGTTACGAATTTATTCACAGACCATACTATATTGCTATTCTTGCCCTAACTATTTATTATTTAAACACCCAAATGTTTAACATCTTGCTAATATCTGATTTGAATGTCCCACAATTCTACAGAATCTTAAAGAACGGTTTCACGTTTCCTTGGAATCGTCTGAAAGTGTAAGCTCCAATTAGGATGAGAGCCAGGTAGGAGAAGATAATAGCGTACAGAGGAGACATTCCAGCCTCATTCATGAGTGTCAGACAGGATACCAGCTGAAATAGTAACTGTTAATTAGCAAGAAATTAACAGGTAATTAGCAAGTAGTTGATGAGCTTTTAGCGAGCCAATATCGATTAAATATTGAAAAGTTTTCGCGAAATCGGTACTCTATTATTTTTCATTATTGTATGACTGAACCCACAGCATAGTATAATCATGGGTCATGGCCGGAAAAAATGATAAAATTGAAAATTCCACCGTGGTAATTTAGTTGTACAACTAAATAATACCACGGTGGAATTTTTAATATTTTTTATTTTTAACAACATCTGGATCTACTTTAAGGTTTAAAGCCATTTTCTAATTTGTCGAACTTGTGCGGCTGATCTGTTAATCTACATCGCTTGGTATTTTAAGGTCACCACAAATTGAACAAGTGCGATGATGTTGGTCAGAACAGGAAATAATGTAGATTCAATTTCTCATTTCTCTAAAATTATGACAAAATTAGAACAAAATTACTCAACGTACAAACTCTAACGAATATTAAGCAAAGAATTCACGGGATATTTCTAAAAGTCCTAGGTAATTGTGCTTGGAGTCATCCAACTACTCCTAAAATACAAGAGTTCATCTCGAAGACTCTTCAGTCTCTAGTACATGGTACTAGCGGTAATGATTTCTGCAAACTGTAGTCCATACTTCACATCCAGACTCTGTACAGATTTGTATATTTCAGAATAGAAAGGGTTTTGTTGGATGCCCTTCAGTTTGTTGGACCAAATGGGGTGGTGGCTTGGTTTCACCATTAGCCATCTGAACATCAGCGATCTGAACAATGAGAACCTTGAACAGGGTTCCCTCAGGAATTCTCCCACTCCAAACTTCAAATTCCAGGTATGTGTGTAGCAACTAGAGTGGTCCACAGCATGTACAATAATGTGACAGAACAGCGGATCTAGCAACTCAGCTGGGAGATCAGCGTTACAAAGTGCATTTTTAACTGCCTCCTTGCACTCTGCAAGATACCCTACAAACGGGACACTTTTTTCAGGGATCCCCTGAGAAAGGTCTTTAAACAGTGGTGGGGACAGAGTTTCTTCGATCAAGCTTTCTCTGGTGATCTCAACAGAGTAGACTCTCGTGAAGAACCTATATCTCCACGGCCGCTCACTTCTCACTTTCAAGTCAGGAGCAGGGCTTCTATCAGATTGAGTAAGAGCATTGTGTAGAGGTAGAGATGTTTTGGTGGACGGTTGCAGGGTAGAGATGTTGTTGTCTACAATGTATTCGGTAAGGCTGTTAGAGTAGAGGTGAAACTTGGGATGAACACTAGCGGTGTGGTAGAAAAAGAGAACTTCCGTCATTAGACTTCTGTTTGTTATCTTCTCCCCGTTGAAATGGAATGATTCTATTGATGCTTTCCCCTGGGGGTGCTTCTTGAAAACCATATTTATACTGTTGATAGCGACCGATGGCAAACAGGACTCCAGGCTACAGTCTTCAACTTCCAACCTACTTTCTTCGGCATCAGAGTTCACTAGCAAAGCAAGTGTAGAATTCTCCACATATTCCACTATATCGTCATCTGTAGGGTCTTTGAGTAGGAAGAGATAGACGAAAACGTTGTAAATCAGTCCTGCTAAAAACTTGAAGATCATCCAAGGTGATTGGAAGCGTGAGTTTTCTTTGAATATCTTCTCGTATTTCTCTTCGTAGTCGCAGTTTACGAGTGAGGGTTTTATCAACTGAGACATTGATCTCTGTTGCGAATCTATGAATAACAGTGTGTTTTGAAGGTTTACATCAATTAAGTTGAAAAGGAATTAATTAAAATAAAAAGTAAGAAATTAGCTAGCGTAACCAGAGATCGAAGAGGTTTAATTTCATAGAAATAATAAATGGTAATTCGCAAGGCTCTGTAATTGCACGTTGTAGCCACCAGCCAAGAATTGTTAATCAAATAAGAGATGAATATCATGACTTTATCCAAGAATTGATGTTATTAGCTCAAGTAAAATTTAGAGAAATAACGCCGCAAAGAATAACGAAAAGGCTGCAAAGAGAAAATTCATTAAACTGGTAACTGACTAGATGTTGTAGCACGCAATAAGCAATCTACTATTTTACACTAGTAGAACAAAGGTCTGTAAAACTGTAACTATGTACCGGCTGCTTCCGAAAAAGTACTGGTAACAAGTAAAAATGGCCAGAAGTTTTAGCTATCATTACGAATAAGACTAATAATGGAAGCAAGACGTAATAGTTATATATTAGTAAAGATTGTAAGAAAAGTAAACAAGTGAAAATACGTGCTAAACCTTAACCTCTGTAACTAGATCCTCATTCCACACTCAATATTTGTACGGCAAACAGATTTATAAATAACACTCTATCATACTAATGGACAACAGACAGCTGAACACTAACCAGATGAGTAAGAGTGACAGAGAGGAGTAACACTAACCAGATGAGTAAGAGTGACAGAGAGGAGTAACACTAACCAGATGAGTAAGAGTGACAGAGAGGAGTAGAGACAACACTAACCAGATGAGTAAGAGTGACAGAGAGGAGTAACACTAACCAGATGAGTAAGAGTGACAGAGAGGAGTAACACTAACCAGATGAGTAAGAGTGACAGAGAGGAGTAACACTAACCAGATGAGTAAGAGTGACAGAGAGGAGTAGAGGCCAGGATCTCTTCTCCACCCCATCTGAGCAGAGTAGACCCCAACACACATGCAGTCCCGTCATGACACTAGCTTGGAGGGCTCCTGACACAAATATCGGCATACTCGGGGATCCTGGCGCTGAAAAAAAGTACGGTTAATTAATATTTATTATTTATTTTAGTTAATGAATATTTACGTAGTTTTAACTTTTATAAGTGAGTCATCTGTAATCAGAATTAGGGCGTGGCTTTGGTAAGACCCTAAACAAATCTTCAGCAGTATTGTTTAATTTTATAGACTCTAGATTTAAATGAAATAGGGATTCTTACTGTAGTAAGTTCCTGGACCACTGGCTTCAGAGAGAACGTTAACGTACATAAACATGGCACTCATCACTCCGTAACCGAGACCTGGGATAGTACTATGTAATTCTTTTCAAATCAAGCTACTTTAAAAGAGTTTGGGAAACCTAAACCCAGCTCACAGCCACCCCCAATAACTGTGTATTAGAGTATTAGTGCTCTCTTACCAGCAATAACAGAGTATCTGGGACCATGAAACAGGTCGGTAGTTTCCCGGGATATTCTGGACAGAGCAACGTTAGTTTTCTTAACCAGGAGTACAAACAGTATCCTCAACGCTTCCTGTAGATAATTAGTGAATTATACCATCATAATGTGTTCTTAAGAAAGTATGGACAATCATTCCCCACGCGCTATCTGGGGTAAGTCTCGCAGTGTGACGAGGATCAGGACGAGCGTTAGAAGATTCCTGAAATGTGCCCTTAAGTTCGCCCCAGTACACAGTAGATAATCTGAGAGATGAAAGATAAGATTACCTGAAATAGGACGGAGAAGACAAGTGTGAAGGCGAGATGTTTCCTGAGCGGGACCACAGCTAGCCACACTAGGGAGGAGAGCAGTAGAGAGAGTAACCAGAAAAACGCCGAGGTTATCAACAATATCACTGCCTGCGAGAGGATAGGGGTTACATCACGGGTAATTCAGTGGATGAGAGATTATCTGAACAGTCGCACGGGCTGATTTAGTAATATTCAATATTGAAATAGAGATTATTGTGATACGGTTGTACTTGTATAAACCACTGATGACTGACTTCATTTTAAGTTGTACCTTAAGGACTGGTTGGAGGCAGGAGCTGGCTGGGTTAATGATTTACATATTATTGTATACAAACAAAAACGAAGGACTTGAATGCAAAGTAAGATTATTACGAAGCAAGAGAATCAAGTTCACAGTGTTAGTTTAACACACGTGTTCGTGCCTACAGTATCCGTCCAAGCACTTGAATGTGCCGGAAGGGCATTCCCCGTCATCTTTACAGTAGCCACAAGTCTTCTGACAATAGTTCTCCTTGATACGGGGATTTTTACAATATCTCTCATAGCAAGGAGAGTAAGAGTCCACACAGTCAGGCGCTGAAGTAGGGTCACTATCATCATCAGGGTCAACCTGATAATCAGTTGCTTCGTCACTTCCTTCATCAGTGGAACCAGTGGAATCAAGTAGAGGATAGCTACCGTACTCCCACATGAAACAGTTGTGGTGGTTCCTGGTGAACTTAACAAACCCGCTTTCTCCCCAGCTGGATCCCCACGAGTTCTTGACCAGCACATAACGAGAGGTATATCCCACAGCTGCGACGGCATGGTTAGCCCAGCCTGTGCAGGTTGTGTCCTTGAATATACCTCTTGAATAACTCTGAAACTTGTTAGTCACTTCAAATGCCACAGAGACAGCTCCTGAAGCCAGAGCTTCTATGTTAGCTTGTTCAGTGCTCCTTGTATTAACTATGCCTATGATTTTAGCAGCTATCATAGCGTCTGGTTTGCTGGAACCTTTACAAGTGTCAGCAATCTGTTCGTATTCATAGTCGGCAGTTTTTGCCAGTCTTCCTCCGTTCGCTGCTGAGTAAACAAAGCAGTCACCAGGCCATCCACCGTTACACCCATCACGTGATCCCTCGTACACACAGTCCAAGTACTCCTGCTCAGCGAAGTTTCTCAGGACATTAGCTACCTCAGCGTATCTTGTCTCCAGTCCACCAACAGCTGCAAAGGTCCAACACGACCCGCAAGCTCCTGGTTTTTAACTTTGGTGATCTTTCCTTCATTTGTCAGAGTTTACTTTCGGGTACATCTTCTTCACTACTCCGGAGAGCAGGTTTAGCGTTCTTGTTGTGTCCTGTTACATTGAGACCTCTGTAAGAGATCTGCTCAGATTCAGTCATTGTAGAGAAGAAGTTCAGAGCGAACTCAGCAGTTTCTTTGTCCACAGAATTCTCATCCGCTACCAATTCCGCGTTCTTCCTGAACAGTCGGAACCTCAGTCTATCCTCCACCGGATTGAATGCAAGTTTCTGCTCCGCCTTAAAGTTGTCGTACAGCTTCAGGGTTTCTTTGGGAGATCGCAGGATAGCTTTCAAGTAGGATTCTTTCGTCAGATAAGAGATGCATCCAACAGGACGAGAATGAGAACAAGCTTCACTTCTACAATGTATGGTTGTCTTGAAAGCTGGATTCCGATTTTGATGCTGAGTTGAAGAAGGAGCTGGTTTATAAAGCGTCCTGTTCTGTACAGGTGGCAGGTTGCAGGTTGCAGGTTGCAGGTTGTTACAACTTGCACTTATCTTTTGTTTCAGCTGAACACCATAACCCTATTTAGCACTTAGCAGAGATTCCTCGCAAATCTTCTAAGTTTTTGTCACGTCTGTTTTACTAGGCATGTTATTGTTGGGTAACAATTCTGTTATTTAACTCGTTGAGGAGTTCATTTTTTTTGTTATATCGTATGCTACAGCTCACAGCTGTTCTCAGTATTTTATTTTGTTTTTATTCAAACTGAATATAATGATTAAGAAATTGAATAAGCAAGTTTTAAGAGTGAATAAGAAACGTGCTGTGCTACTGCAGTATATTAAGAAGTACCTAGCAGTTTTAATAAAAACAAAGAAAATACTGGGAACAGCTGTAACATAATATGGAATGTCAAAAAATAACATGAACTCCTCAACTAACAAATCAAATAAATGAATTGTTACCCATCACCCAAAAATAACATGACTAGTAGTAGTGAAACAGCCGTGAAAAATATTAGAAGATTTGCGAAGAATCTCTGCTAAGTGTTAAATAGGGTTATGTTCAGCTGAAACAGAAGATAAGCGCTGATGCTCATAAGAATCTTACTTTGCATTCACGTCTTTCGTTTTTTCTTTTTTAGTATTTATAATATATAAATCATTAACCCAGCTCCAATCAATACTTTTAAGGTACATTGTACAACCTAAATTGAAAAAACCACAAATATGATCAAAATAAACAATTTTCGGTGAACATATGCTGGAATTACTGCAACATTCACCAAATGAACTAACCTGAGCCTCCTTAGCAGCAGTACACAGAAACAGGGTTACAGACGGACCAAACGCTATGGACAGACATCCAATGAAGGGCAGCCAATTTACAGCCATTTCTCTTGCGTGTTATCTCTATTTTCTCTTTCACTCAGCCAAGTTTCTCTTTCACTCAGTCAGGTTTCTCTTTCACTCTACATTGGTTGTGTGGTCATGCTTATACTGCAAGGATTTGATAAGATAATTGAAGCTTCAAGTTAGTACGGATAAATTGGGAGCTAAAACAAAGCTAGGGACATTGTTCACCAATAATCGGAACATTTTAAGATGGCAACATTTTAATTAGACACAGAAGAACTTATTTCATTTTATGTTAGTCAATGAAACTACGATTAATTTAATTGAAATTGAGCAGGGCTTTCAGTAACAAAGTGGTAAGAGAAATAAATAAAACCGTTTTCATCTTGCACTGTTCTGCATTAAAAGTACATAATCAGATAGGTTATACTGTTGAAATTATTCGTCTTATTTTGGGTAATCTAACCACTTAAAAGATGTTGGCGTGACGTCAGATTTCCAGTGAACACGATATTCTTTTGACACGTGACACCGGTACTTTAAAAGCGGTTAAGTTTCAGATTTCTAAGAGCAAGGAAGGGAAATTAGTGACGGGGTTAATCACGTGTCAAAACAAATCTTCATCGTCTCCCGACCAGTAGTCTCATGTTATTAACCACCAGATAACAATTCAAGAGATACAATTTCTTTCTCCCCAAAAATTGACATAAACTCTCTAGACACAGACGAAAAATAATTTAACTTGAATTATTATAAACAAAATAGGTCCTGGTATTAATTAGAGATAAAAACAGACTCACATATAACTCGAGACAGCGCTATGGATAACTGCCCAACTGTTTTCTTCGAAAACAAATAAAACATATTCTTTAACCATATCTTACAAATTGGGACAAATCGCTCGCTCTCAGCTGTTTACCATAATAAAAGCATTAAAGAAGACATGAAGAGTCCAAGGGAAAACCGTCCTCCCGGTCTAGGTCAGGTCTTGGCACAGATAAAAGTTTATCATCCTACATTCATGACAGTTCCGATATAAGTCTACCACACATCTCAAAGAACTCTAAAATCTCGTGGCTCTCTTTTTCGGAGCCACTGCCGTCAGAGGAGGCAGAGGGGTATCTGTGTCTGGACATCTGCGGGGGAGGCAGGATCATTACATAAATTAGACATATTATATACTGATTACTGAATACGTAATATTGATAACATTAACTACCTGTGATAAGGGGATGATGATTCAATAATTTAGAGAAGGTTCTAGAACAAAGATATTAATTAAGGGTGGTTCTGCACAGACATATAAGTGTAGCAACACACCTTTACAACCTAATTAATATTATTGATATTCAACTGTTTAATTAACATGTTCTTTCGGTTCTTTATATCTAACTTATTAGTATTACTTATCAACAAATTAATCAACAAAATAAGTAGGAGAGTTTTCAAATTGGAACAATCCGCCATAGGGTTAGGAATCTAATGATAACATACCTCTAGCTCAATCTTGTTGTTGAGATCGCTGTCTTTGAAGCTGGAAACGTTCTGGAAGTCAAGTAGGCACTGTTTCTTGTTCATTTCATACAGTCGGAGGCACAGTTTGATGGGTCGGGCAGTTTGTCCCTGACGTTGGCGAGCTATCACCAGATAAGGGCTTATCACCTTCCATTCCTGTGGGAAATATTTTAGATTGTGAGATCTCTGATGGAATTCTTTAGGATTGTGAGATTCTTGGAGCAAATATTTAGAAATGTGAGTTTTTTAACAGGTTGTCAAATCACAATGTAGGGTATTACAAATATAGCTAATCATCTTGATTCATGTTAAGAGAGTATCTTAAAATTATCTATGTTTAAAATTTATAAATAAGAGTAACTTACAAAATTACAGCGTTTCATAGCTTTAAAGACAGCGTTCATAATATGTCCCGGAGAACTGTTCGAACGTAAACCTGAAAATGACAGTTTACTACTACTACTACTACTACTACTACTACTACTACTACTATTACTGCTACTACTACTACAAATAAGGTAACCTCACCGCATCCAATTCCAAAGGATCATGATCTTTAGAACTATATAACACACAAATTTGTCATGAATTCAGAACTATAAATTAAAGTAGGCCTTATAAAAGTCTAGAAAAGCTGTCCAGAATTAAACTAGCCTAGATGCCACTTCTTCTTCCTGCCACTGTCGTCCCCAGTAGCCATGGTCTCATCCCCGCCCAACTTATGGAGGTTTGGAGGAGCTGGGACTTGGGAAGAAACGGCGTTTGAAGCAGAGGAGCGAGGCAGAGAGGAGAGGGAGAAGTGAGCAGGGGAGGTGGAGAGTAATATACCACCGCTAGAACCGGGACTCTGAAATAGTTGGTGTTACCAGGGAGTTCACACATGTTGTCACGTGGTCTTCCTACAAATGCCATGTTTAATTTTAGATTTTGTAACAAAATTCACTATTATAAAACAAAGTGTATCTTTGCTTGAGAGGTGAATTATGTTTAAGAGTCCGATATAATGGCATTGACATTTGACAATGGTTGCTTGTTTTTATTATACCGTAGGTTGTGCTTTGTAGAGCTCTAGAGTTCTTAGTCCGGAGCCACCGAAAAAATCATTATTTTATGGCGGTGATTCAGATTTGAAGTGTTAATTCTTTTTGTCCACGCACCACGTTGATTTCAAAAGGATCCTCCACGGAAAGATGAGGAAAGTTCTCGAAGCAGACACCACATCGGCAGTTCTCCGTGTTGCACAAGGCAAATATATTAGAGATCATCATTTCTACGGGACCCGTTGTGTTTTAGTTTTAGAATGCCATCGCAATATTCAGACAGTATTTTCGACAGTTTCTGGGCAACTGGGTTACTCCGAGGAACAGCAAAGATTTAAACTCAACTACAAATACAATGAGCAATGTAAGCGTTCTGCGAAAAACTTTGCATTAATTTCGAGGAAATCTACACTACTCAGAACGAACATTAAGAACTCCTAGAATGATCGATCTGGTCTCCAGAAACTTCTAGCAGCAAGACTAGTGACTACTTATAAATCAAAGCCAGGGTAGATGAGATGAATTAAATACCATAAATATCTTCCGGCAGCAAACGGCAAGTGAAAGCGAAAACGTCAATAGGCAAAAGCAACGAAGTCACGAAGTGATAGCAAGGAATTTCGAGTAGTGTAAATTCTCATAAGTGGCGTCATCCTTTGTTCCACACTTTTAGAGCTCGCTGGACATTTAACCCCACCACATTTAGATCATTCCATGGCCTTCCATTTACAATACAATTCGAGTAATACAAGAGAGAGCTGCTAGAATGCCACACATCCATTCGTTACCGTGTAGAACTATTACAATTTCGCGAGACATGTACCAGAACATGTGGTTCTAGAAGGTTGTAGAATCTCTGGAAGCTCGCAACTAAGCTTCTGTTCTCCGCATATATACATATATATTTATAAATATGTCCATTAGCAGTGCTAAATAGCACTGGGTGGAAGATAGAAGTATCTAGAACTGATTGCCACAAACATTTACTGCCGTATATCATGTAATCTGTTTCTCCCGTATAAGAGGTGTCTTATCTTGTTATATAAGGGATAATTGAGGGAGGGAGGGGTAGGTTATGGCTGTTCTAGGACCACATAATCCTTGTAGTTATTATTCTAGTACAATGAACGTCCGTTTACGTGATGATCGTGTGCGTGTTATTTCGCTCAAAGCTAATTTTGTTGTGCTTACATGCTTATGACTGTGTTGAACTGCGAAAATGCTACATGTTGATGAATTATGTCATCGGAAGTATTTAAGGACGGCCACTTTTTCCGTCGCGTTTATCAAATTATGATAATAACTGAACAAGTTCTGTTGACTATCATTTGATTTAACCCACACTTTCGGAGAGTTTCCAGTTCCGCGGAATAGCAAACGCCCGGACATTTGAGATACTATGTTTATTGAATTTAGACTCAAGACCAATTATTAGTGAAAACTAATCTGTTGGGATAATTCGATTCTGTGAAATTATCGGTAAAAAGTGGAACCTACCAAGTGGCTGAGATTGTCGAACTCCTTCCATGCTCCGGATGGTGGTGTTGACCCGAAAACAAAGTCGTCAAGTGAGTTTGGGGGACCTGGGTGTAATATTACCAGTTATATCATCGACTCATCGTAAACAAGATAAATAATACAAATGCAACGTGTTACATCGCAAATTCGATAACAGTTGTAGCAAGGAGACGATGTTATACCTATACATTTTCAGAGACAACTTGTTCGCCGATAACTTAGATGTCGAGTGAACCTGGACCCGTGAAAAAGTGCTCCAGGAGATTTTTAAATTCCGAAAAATACGTTACCATTAGCCACAATCAAGTTACATCATCGTAAACAAGATGAAATCATAAATTGCATCTTCGAGGCGCCGTGCTTATTGAAATCAAGTTGCGCACATACATAAACACGCGTGCGCGGCGGTGTCATTATAAGAAAGACGTTCGCGTGTTCCGTTGATCCCACTAAAACAAACATATTTTGTGACCGATAGTTCGTGAGGAACTTATCTGAAACCTGAAACTTGGTATTCATTGGACCGCGGTTCAGTGGCGTAACTTAGGGCTCCGCAGACCCCGCTGTGCGGGGGGGCGCCGTATAAGGGGGGCGCAATTTTCCTGAATTTTAGGCCCTTTCACTGATAAAACGCCTTGTTTGTGTAATTCCCTGTCCAATTTAGCGTTCGGCCGACGCGAAAAAAATATTTGGGGTACCTTTTTTGCTTCAGGGGGCGCAAAAAGCTGTAGGGGGGCGAGAAAAAAAGTACCCGACCTTTTTTTTTTTTTTTTTTTTTTAGGGACAAAAAATTTTAGGGGGGCGCTTTTCGTCACTGAGCGGGGGGGGGGGGGGCGCCAACAAGCAAAGTTTCGCCACTGCCGCGGTTGTGTCACACTTTTCTTAGGCCAAGGAACGGAATTATTTAAAGAATTGCCGCGTTTAATGTTTACAGTGTTACTATTCTCTGTAAAGTGTAATTAGAGACATTAAAAGTAAATCAGTTCAGTAATTCCTAATCAATAACAAGGAAGTTGATTGTTCTAGTGCTAAACGTACCAATATGTCTGTTAGTTTTACTATCCAGGATCAAGTTGTAAGCTATTCGGTATTGGTTTGTGGGATCATGTACTTCCAGGGCAGCTATCACATCTTGTTCAGTGCAAGTCAACTTCTGGAAACATTTGGGGCTGCTATTTTTGAATGTTAACCTAATAATACTTACGTTATACTTAGTTTCTTAAAGAGAAAATATTTAAATTAGTTTAACACTGGTAAAACGCATGTAACATGTTACATCGCAAATTCGATAACAATTGTACCCAGGAAACGATTTTATACCTTGCAAACTTCGGTGACAACTTGTTCGTCGACCACTTCAACGTCGAGTGAACCAGAACGAGGGAACAGGTACTCTGGGAGGTCAACTGTGAACCAAGAGCACTCCCTGAGAGGTTACTAATTAGCTAATTATTCAATTATCTTATTTGTTAATTTAAGCTTTGGTAAAATAACAGTGTCAGTAAAACGTTTTATTTGTCGTATTGTTGAAATTTTTTGAATTTATTGATGAGCCCATAGATATGTCATGTCAATCAAAACTTTGATAAACATTAATTTCGTATCTCATAAAAGTCATGAGGTTATCCTTACCCAGATGGGACCAAAGAATCATTTATGGTGTCAAGGCCAAGGTTCAATAATTTCTACTGATTTCAATTAAGAACGTTTTCACGTGCTTTGCAAGGTATGAGCAGTCAGCACTGAGGAAGCGGTTCCTTGGTAAAAGGAATTTATACAACCCGGTAAATTGCGGGTAGATATGTCACTAACACTCATAATTAGGTTAAGCCTCCCAAATTCCACCTCTCAACAGTTCATAAGAAACATTCCCCAGAAAAACATGCTCAAATACCGGAGGTGAAATGTTACATTTTGATGTTGATTGGTCTGGTACACATGCTGAGGCACTGGTTAGATAGTAGATACAGCTAATATTGCAACAACTTATCTCTTTCTCACTTTCTCACTTTCTGTGGTCGATGATGTAAGCTAGTGAACAGAAAAAATAAGATGTGAGTGATCAGTTAAATTCATCTAACTCTCACCATTCTGAAGACCTTTCACTTTTATCAGTTTAAGATATTATGTGGCTTTTATCAGTTTAAGATATTATGTGGCTTTGAGTGTAACTAACAATTTTTCAGACTCATTAAATATACAATCATATCAACAATATTTCGTATACTTCAGTTCGTGTTTTAGTCAGATATAATAGTAACAAGATAACAGGTGAGTGATGAATAGCTGACGTACTGGAACACTGCCAAAAACCTGGTCCCAGTGATAGCCAATGAAAACACATCTGTTGTCACTTAATATGTCCGGGAGAAAGAAACCGGAAAACGAACCAATATTGTGTAGGACTGTAAGTAACCCATTACGTACAATATTGGATTACAAGAGACCAGGTGCTGGTATAATATATTATAATCTGCATGTGATAAGAGTGTCGCCTGAGAGGTTCGGAAACAAACTAAAAGGTCCAGTTAGGTCCAGTATTAGGGGGCCCGCATATTTACTGAAAAAGGGGCAGCCAGCAGCCAGCAGCCAGCAGTCAGCAGCCAGCAGCCAGCAGTCAGCAGCCAGCAGCCAGCAGTCAGCATTAAGGGGGCAGGGGGGGTCTTCATGGAAATTTTCTCAAAATCGACTTTTTAGTTGTTTCTGATAGAGGGGAGTAATATCTATCAGATGCTTTTAGTCCGATAGAAAAATATTGTTCCTAGCCGAAATTATCGCCGGTCAAAGGTCAGCGCTTGTGTGTAATTGTATTGCGCGAGCGATTTTCAATCGCGTGCCCTGAAAATCGAGTCTAAAAATCTATCTTCTCCTACATTTTTTGATCAATCACCCTCAAACTTTCAGGATATGTTCTAAGGATCATTTATAAGAGATTGTCCAGGCAAAATTTCGAGATAGGCCTTTAAACATTTTTATTCGATTTAAAAAATCTTGGACCTGGTTTTTTGTCGATTTTTCGAGGTCCAAGATTTTTAAAATCGAATAAAAAATGTTTAAAGGCCTATCTCGAAATTTTGCCTGGACAATCTCTTCTAAATGATCCTTAGAACATATCCTGAAAGTTTGAGGGTGCCCATATCCAAAAACCCGCATTCTCGCATTCTAAGAATGTAGGAAATTTTTAAAAGTAGGAAATTTTTGACAAAAAGTAGGAAATTCGAGAGCCAACTCTGAGAATTTTCGATAATATTTCAGTAGGAATTTAAGTGAAAGAGCAGACTAAAAGTTGCTGGACCGTTATTTAAATGTCCTCAGTCAGGGATCCACTGATCCAGTCTATCAAATTTCATTTCACAGACCAAAGTTTGTTGCTATTAGCTACAAAATCTGTGCATCAAGTAACCACTAACCAGATGCTAATTATTGGGGCATTTTCGCGTACACGACATAAATAGTTGTCATTATTACTTTATTAACATTTTACTATCTACTTATTTAGTCTATGAAACCGGATATGTCTACAGTGTCACCCGATATCTGTATTGGCAAGCAGTAGCATATACACATCACGTCTTCAATGTGTGTATCACACTGCACACACCCAGCCCAAATTCGTGTGGCGTGAGAAAATATCAGAAAAACAGGGCGTTTTAACTAAAAAATTTGGTCTCATACTTGCTTCCTTCTCCAAATTCCCTTAACCCTGTATTAGTTTATAGCTTGAAAGCAGAAAGTGATGGTAGTAGATGAGAAAACATTTTTGCCAAAATTATAAACTCTTGATACTTCATGCTGTCTCCTATTTCGTGCTTTAGTTAAGCCAAGTGTTTAGGGATTCTAGAATCCAGACAATTTATCCCAATAAAAATTGAAATCAGAAAATAGTATGCTAAAATCGTTCTCCATTGTCAGATTCGTTCCAGGAGGCCAAATCTAGTTTAAATTTCCAAAATTTTCGGGGGCTTCGCCCCCAAAAGTAACCTAGGATTATCTTTTAAAAAGCATTCCGGGCCCTAAAAAAGTAAAATTGAGAATCTGGAATCCGCCATGAAAAATCTTTGAACCGCGCGAATACAAGGACTTTTTATGCGAGCGAAGCGAGCGGCCACAGAAAACGAAAAAATTGAGAATGTAGGAAATTAAAAATTTTTTGGATATGGGTGAGGGTGATTGCTCAAAAAATGTAGGAGAAGATAGATTTTTAGACTCGATTTTCAGGGCACGCGATTGAAAATCGCTCGCGCAATACAATTACACACAAGCGCTGACCTTTGACCGGCGATAATTTCGGCTAGGAACAATATTTTTCTATCGGACTAAAAGCATCTGATAGATATCACTCCCCTCTATCAGAAACAACTAAAAAGTCGATTTTGAGAAAATTTCCATGAAGACCCCCCCTGCCCCCTTAAACACTGTGTTCAAGCATCATGATGTAAAGGTGTACTTTTAAGTGAAATGTAGTGAAACCGGAGCTTTTTGAAGCCACAAAATAAGTGTATATTTTAAAAATATGAAAAAAGCATTAGAACTGGTCCCTTTATCTGAGACGTTCGATAAAAAGGTCCGTCAAGCTAAGGTCCCAGTCACTGGTAATCCCAGTGTTACATTACTGCTATATAAAACCAGTAGATTCAGATACTGTATGTAATTTCAGAATCTGAATGGTAACAGTTACTGATTAGATGATAACCATGTTTCAGGTAAATCACTCTCATCTCACTTTGTAAATATATCCCGGTACAGATATTTCCCAGAAGGTTAGGTCACTATTGTTCGAATTGAAAAGTCCTTCCTGTCAAACCTACTATAGGTGTACGCCGTTACACATCCGGCAATGTTCTCTTATAGCTACCATCCCTGTGGTAGACCTTATAGCTACCATCCCTGTGGTAGACCTTATAGCTACCATCCCTGTGCAGTGGTAGACCTTATGGCTACCATCCCTGTGGTAGACCTTAGCCGCGGCCCAGCAGGTAAGGGCGAAGCACGGAATCTCAGCCCACCGTTTGTATAAACCCACAATTTCCCTCTGTAGTATGTCCATAGCACTCTGTAGTATGTCTTCTAATACTGACAGACAGACAGGACTGCTAGTTAGGTAAATACCTTCCTTCATAAGCAAGGAATACACGCTCGTACACATACAACACACCATACATACGCGTAACATGGTCGCTTTCAAATATATTTCCTCCTCTCATAGAAGGTGTAATGAAGCTAATTGAATGTCATGAGAGCTGTCAACTGTATCCAATATATCCCCACATTCCGGCCAACATTCCAAGTGATTAGTGATCTAGTGAGTTCTTCTTATATTGTGTCAAGTATGCGACGTGAGTTAAGATGCCTGCTTGAGTGTATTCAAAATAAAAGCAGGGAAAATGTCTTGAACTGCAAAGTCGAATCTTATCCTAACTTTGGATTTACCGGATAATAAACGCTAAATCGGACTGTAAATCGGTAAATAAAATAGCATTAAATAGAAAATAATAACTATAATCAATAGAAGAAAATAATGTTTAACAAATTAATAAACTAACTTGATATTAGCGATAGTAGCTCGTTCAGTAACATCAACCTTCAGCATGTGCTTGATAAGAACAGCACAATCTTTAGACATGAAGCTGGGTACATTAAACCCTCCCTCTGAAACAAAAATACCTTAGTTTTTATTTGAGATTACTTAATAAACGTACGCGTACGTGACTTTGAGATTATCTAGAATCAGTGCTTTGCTTTGAGATAATTTTAGATGATTTCATGGAAATACGTATTGTCTTTAAGTAACAAAGTAATGCTAAGTGCTGTTTAGTTGAAAGCGTCATTGTTACGTTTAATTATTTATTATAAAAGTTTCCGGTCGTTAAATTTGGGGCCAGTTAAAAACCAACGTCAGCTTATTACAAAGCCGGCTTACAAGTACAACTTGAATCTAACTTTAACTCTTACTTAATAACCGTACGTTACTCTTTAGATTACCAACAAACAATACTTTCAAGATCAGCCCACTAGGACGTGTACGCGGTTACTTTAAATCTTTTGAAGGATGCATAATAATGTAGGTGATGTAATAATGTTACCAGAGAAATTTTCTTAAATACCATTTGTTCGCTATCATAATATTATGGTTACATAATTCAACATGAATATATTATATTTCAGCGATCATTTTATTCATGTTATTGAAATCAACGTACGTTGTCCACGAAAATTGTCCTCTAAATTCGTACAATGTTGGCAGTCTGGTTTACAACTTATCAGAGTGTTAAATTTCTCCAAGCGAAGGAATATTGCAAGGCCATACCAAAATAGCTCACTTTGTATTATTAAGTAATTTTGTAATAAGTCTAAATATTAAATTACATAACACACGCTTTAAATATCTCGATTAGTCTAAATGCCGTGATGGTACGATCACACACATTACACAATATCTAATATGTATGGACTAGTTCATATAACAGATAACACGTGGTAGATACATACTGGATATTATATAGAAATACTAGATAATACATACCACAATATAGAAATACTAGATAATACATACCACAATCTAGATATAATAGAGATACTAGATACTGTAGAGATACTGGGTGTTGAGGATAGTAACATTCATGAAGAATTCGTGGTAACTTTGTATGAAAAGCATTAATAACATTTAACATAAGATAACAGCTCTGATATTACAGTTACCAGGTGTTACTAGAACAGTTACCAGGTGTTACTAGGTGTTACCAGGTGTTACTAGGACAGGTTCTATAAGCGCACTGAACCGTGTGATTGTTACACAGCACCGGTACGAGCAGTTAGTACACTGATTATATTGTTGATCCCAAAGTGGCGTACAATAAATGTCAAACTCATACAACGTTATCATGTCACTTCTTTGTGGTGAGAGAATTGAAGCTGACATTTTGTAAACTGCTAGGGCAGTTCAAGGTAGACATGGAATAGAAACTAATCTGGCAGTGAGCCAATAAATTATACAGGCTCCATTTAATCAAAAAATCGAATAGTAAAGTTAAACTGAATATAAGCAGATGTTCAAGTTATCTACAGTACTAGTAGTGAACCACCGGACCATTACCTACTTTAATTTAAGGAACTGTGTAGCACTTTATTTTATATTCCATTTTTAAAATAGATTTGTTACTCTCAACACTTTTACTTTCGTCTTTCAGCACTGCTCATGCTATATTAACAAAATATAATGTAATGGTTTCAGGGTTTGTAGGTATAGTTTTGGACCTTATTGCTGTTTGGGGTGGCAAGCGCCAAACATCGAACTGTTGTTTCAGTACCTACGTGTTGCGTTGTCATGAAAGATTATTGCCATGGTTACGGTTAAAATTAATTGATTTACCTTTAATTTTCCTGAATAACGTCGGAACGTGCGGATCATCAAAAGGAAGCTGAAATACATAACAGTTATTATACTTTTCAGGCAGATTACAGAAAGAAATTAAAGTAATCGTTATTAACGTATAAACATCAATTATAAAAGCTATTCATGTTCAAATTCATCAATTTGTAGAATATTTTATCTACTTACTGTGCCACAAACAATAGCGTAGAGTATAACCCCGCAACTCCAAATATCTACCTCCGGTCCAGCATACAATCTGAGAATAAATTGGTAGTCATTATCAATATCATGGTGAATTTGGTGAATTTAGTGAAATTTAGTGAAATTTAGAGAACCACTAGGAACTTTTTATCATTGAGCTTCTAATTTTTGACTATCTGAGCTTCGGCCAAATCCAATTTGTTTTCTTAAAACTTGTCCGGAATTTAAAGTTTCACGGTAAAATTTGATGCTTTTTAATCTTCACTTCGAGATGGCAGGGCCTACTCTCATGCTGTCTATAGGTGATGATTAATTCTGAAAAACTAGGGACAACTGGGGAATGATCCCAGAACCTCGACATTTCGCGTGTCTTGCTCTACCAATTGAGCTACTGACCCTGATTCTCAGAGCGAAATCACCACTCATATACAGCACAATTTCATGCTTTGTGTGGAATATCATTTATCAGTTATTTAGAATATATATATATTCGCATATATCCACACTATATTTACATTACACGTTCAACTTTTTAATCTTAGGTAATCAACAAGTTAACAATTGATTTCTTCAGAAATAATTCAAGGTTTTTACGAGGCCCATAATTTCGACATATATTATGAATCATGGGGGCTCAATTTTTTAAATTTATGCTTGTTAGCTTGTGGAATGTGGTTATTGTTAAAGTTTTGCAGTAATTACAACTTATTTTCAACTGCAAATTTTATGTATTGAAAAATAGAATGAACAGAAGAAATCGAACATTTGAGTGAGCAGTGATACTTCGGACCGAAAAGTTTATTATTTTCTGAACTGATAAGTTCAAAATTCAATTGCAGGTCCGTATTTGAATTCAACGTACAATTCTTTTTACCTTTTTACTTAACTCGAAGAATAGAAGTTTCCAAATGTTTAGAACATTCGGTAATTTTCGATACCAGATTTGAAAACAGACATTAATAATATAATTAGATTATGGGTTCCAGGTTCGTGCAATATGCAAGTTATGTTATCTGCAATACTGTAGTGAAAAATATGACTTGCATATGTTCTAGAAGGTCTGGATATAAACAAGAATCTTCTAAGTCGTGAGACTTTCTTGGCATAGAAATCAAAATATGTTTTCGCAACAGTTAAAAAGGGCCCGGAAACATCTTTATTCTTTACTGTCTGGAATTCTGTAGAAAAGATGTTTCCAGGCCCATTTGTAATAACAAATTCTAGACTTCCTGTTTTGCACAGATATCATTGAATTATATTTATTCCTTTTTACACTGAAGGTTTGAAATTTGAAACAGATTCGATTGAGAAATGTTGTAAACTAGAATATTGAATCTGAAAATTCCGGAACAATAGTAAATTCCCAGCTTTCGTTCACGTAGCTTGCTAACGGATACGTGCATGATATACCATGGCTGTAAATCACAATTATTCAGTATTACGCGCGAAAACGGGTTTTAAATTCGACTGAAGTGCAGCAAGTGATCCATGTGCACGTTACAAAGTCGTGACGACATTACAGGTAACTTCTAGACTGCACTTTGTAAAACTACTGTGATTGTGAGAAATTATATGAACTGGACTGAGGTTTGAAACATGTAAGTAGTTACTGTATTTTAAAATCGTATTTTTTATCACAGATATCACAGAAATCATCCATATTGAATTGATATCCCATATCATGGATTAATTTTATCTTTTTATCCTGTAATATATGACACGGTTTTTATGGGTTTTACTAAACTGAGGATTGAACTAGTTACAATCTCTACATGTTAATCTCCTGGCTTCAATGATAAGCATTGTGCTTTCTGACCAGCACTAATAATATCAACTGCAGTGACAAAACATCACCATTTCATTATGAGGCAACACCTTATTTCTTGGGAATTTCTATCCTGTAATTTTAAATTCAGTACCATTTGAATTGAAATTTAAAACAGGTATTTATAAAGTTCAGATATTCTATATTTAATTTCATAAACCAGTTTTTCTTACGCTCAAGCCTCAGTAAAATGGTGAGAGTTTACAATAATCAATATTGTTACCACATAGCATTATATAACACATATAACCACGGATCGCATATAATCGTGACAGAATATTTGCAAGGCAACCAACTCGCCGTGTAACGGTTAACTCTAAAATGACCAAATTCGCACTAACCGCTTTGATATTGTGACAGTCACATGACGGTCACATCTTATAAATTGAGAGCTTGCACTGGATCAAGGTTCATCCCCAGCTTACCCTGCAGTTCCACGGCTCAGTTTTGCAACCAGATTTGCTCACGTTTTTTCTCACATTTTTGCGACCGGAAATGAAATTCAAAAATGTTTCTCCGCACGGAGAAATATTTTTGATATGACCCAAAACTCCGTGAAAGCAGTTTTAACCTGGGCGCTTGCGTGGGAAATTTCATTAAAATGCGCCAACGTGCGCGCGCAAATCTGCGTGCAAATACTAACCGCATGGGAACGTACATTGTAAACAAAACTGCCTTCGCGGAGTTTTGCCTTTCAAAACTCTTTTCGCGGAGTTTTGTGTCAAATCTGGTCGCAAAACTGAGCCGTGGAACTGGGCTGTTAGAACTTAAACGGATATAGTTAGCATCCACTCGGCTACGCCCTCTCTCATGATGTTTTTTTTCTTCAGAATACGGGGATAATAAAAAATAGTGAAAATCTCGAAATATTTGTTTCCATTTTGTATTTCCTTCATAACGAAATTGCGTTAACTTCCGGGACAAATCTGATGAACCCCCTTTATCAAAGTAGATTAGATTTTAGACGTGTAATACTAATAGGCCTATAACTGAACAAGTGGCTGGTATAGTCCAATTTGTTGTTCTGAGATAATGTGGTGGCTGCTCTAATATTATGTACAATATATTACGAAGAAAGCCTTCACTACAGCACTCTATAGTCTGTATTGTTGGTTAGTGGAACTAGGTCCTGTAGAGTGTAGAGTGTAGAGTGTAGAGTTTAGAGTGTAGAGTGTAGAGTGTAGAGTGTAGGACATGTAGAGTGTGCACTACAACATAGTATTAGTACTTAGTGGATTCTAGGTATTTCGTGCTATTCTTAATAAAATGGGCAAATTAAATATTAAAATATGGAACTTCAATTACATGTAATTTGATATGCAGTACCATTTTAAAATATATAGGTATTCAGAAAGTTCATATACTCCGTTATAATATAATTTATATCTTTAATTTAATAAACCAGTTTACGCTGAAACCTCAGTAAAATACTATACTAAGATACAGTCTAACTAGCGGGATTTGCCAACCCATGGCAACATTATTAACATATCAGCTCTGTTACAACGCTTCCTAAAATTATTTGTTATTTATAGTAGTGCGGAAAGTATTAAAACTCCTATAATATTATAAAACTCGCATAATATTACATAACATATATTACCACGGTCCACGGGTTGTAAATAAATGTGCAGTGTACCAGGTACTCGGTGGCTATTCTTAATGAAATGTGAAAATTTACAGGAACACTACTGATCCCATTGGGGACCTGGGGTGGCTGTTGAAATGTGGTGAAAACTAATAACTTCTCATTTCTCAACCAAATTTTATACAAATTAGAACACCAGATGGTGAAATGTAACTTTGTAACATAACCTATTTTTATGGGTCTAACCTGAATGAGAAAGTGAAGCAGATAAAAATAATATATTGGTTGCACGGGCTCCCCACGACCAGAAGCATGCATGTTATCACGTACACGGTACTGAGTCCTTGATTTTTTAGTACCTGCCACATCCTTCAAAATTTCAATTAACATCAGTTGCAGTGGATTAGGCCCTGCAGAATCAAATTTCCATTTCTTTATAATTATAAGTTTAAATATAGCTTATCAGTGTTCTGTATGCATTTTAAGTTACCTGTATCCTGGCAATAAAGCGAGGTATTCAATATTTTGGATGAACCATGGAATGTAATATATGTCTAATAGTTATGTGAAGCACAGTGTATAATAGGTGGCTACCTCTCATACACTCACATATACTCCTTCATAATACACTCACATATATTTAATATATATTAGGACACCGCACGAAAGCACCACATACAAATTTCTACTTTATTTACTTCAAGAAAAGTGGGAGCTTAACATTAACAATGTTTATACACAAAACTACTACATCTCTAACTTATCCGCACTATGTACCCGGTATACTGTGCCAACATGAAGTGTCAGCGAATAGGTACAATGCCGACCGGCTAATAACCGGCTATTAGCCGGCTAATAACTGGCTAGGTATTAAAAACCTGTGATGTTAGAACGCATTTTTGAGCAGTTGTGGATATATAAGTTGTAATGTTTGTGCCATGTTGAGGTTCCAGATAATAATATTATGTATATTAAGTAAGTGTATAGATAAAAAGTATTATCCAGATTCCAGATCTTAGTACATTAAAAATCAATTAAAAAATACATACTTTCCAGAGATGACCTCCGGAGCAGCGTAGTTAGGGGACCCACAGCTCGTTTCCAGGAAATCTCCATCGTTCAACATGTTGGATAGTCCTGTAAATGGAAGATCAAACTCTCACAGTACAGTGCCAGGATGATGATAGTGGTGGGGAAGCGATGTCAATCCTTCCAATATTTACGTAAACATATCATTGCCCGTGACGACTATTGCGAAACAGTGAAATATATGAGCACAGAGATTGAACTACTTTCAGAGAAACACTGTTGAATTGACCAATGAAGGATTTAGGATAACATTTAAATAGACAGAGTTTCAGGCGGGGGGGGGGGAATGTTTGTTAAATTGATCAGTTTTAAGTAATATTACATTCATCAGCTATATTATTATTGCAGTTAAAAATGTACATAGGTTATCAATTAATAAAAATTTGTAAAACCTACCAAAATCAGCGATTTTAACGTTCCTGTTGTGGTCGAGCAGCAGATTCTCTGGTTTTAGATCCCTGCGATAAAAATAACTCATTTAAAAACTACGTAGAACGTTAAACGAATAACATTACACGTCTCATGAGGTAACTTGTGATCGGTAAATATCTTTAAACCATAATAATCACATTTGTTAAATTACAGAAAAGTGTCCTAAAAACCGCGTCTCACTCAATTTGTGTTAAAATGTAAAACCAACCTGTGTACGACTCGGTTGGTATGACAATAGTCGACTCCTGAAATTATTTGCTGGAAGAACCTCCTTGCCTCTGATTCGTCACACTAAAAAGGATTTACAATTAACAATGTATAATAGTGCATAATGTGTCAACACTTCACAGGGCAGTGTATTTGTGCTTATTAAAGTCAATGAATAGAATATTTTCAGTAAAATGGACAAAATCTCGTAAGGCCGAACGTGAGTTTTTAACATAGTAGTGTTTAGTATGAAGCATCACGGCTCTCGACAGACAAAGTAAAACAAGGCAAATAACTGGTATTTTATTTTCACATGTTAAAACCGCAGGGCACAAATGTTCAATCTCAAAATGTTCAAACTCAAAATATAGGTAAATGAACTGTAAAATATTAGTACTAACCCGCCCTTTCTTGACTATGTAGTCAAATAGCTCGCCACCAGAAACATACTCCATAACCATAAAGATGTTTGTAGGGTTTGTTATAACTTCATACCTGGATGTAATGACGCAAATTGTTAGTTTCTGTCTGAGACCTGATAAAATATTCGGGAAGGATTATGAAGAGCATACTTGTCTAGGTTCCAATAGGAAGAGGTGCAAATTTGTTACAGCAAGTGTGAGAGTAATTCTGGGATTTGATTGATCAATGCTGCAGGCTGATTAATTAATCTCTGCACCAAGTGCCAAAACAATCTTGCATCCTTTCCTGCTTTTTTTCCTGTTTGCCCAGGTTCCGTCTATGCTCTGTTAGATTCGAAATTTATATGTTGTATGCAATTTATGGTTAATACTTACATTTTAATAATGTGAGGGTGTCGGAACAGTTTCAAATTTTGAATTTCTCTCTTGATTTTACTTGCCAACTCCAGGTTTTGGATCTTATTCTTGTTCAGGAACTTTATGGCAACCTGCTGCCCTGTCTGATGATGAACAGCACCTGAAAGAAAGCCTGCTCAACTTGGTGTAAAAATAGTCCTAATTCTTGACATTGCAAGATAATGAAATAAATGGCAGTTCACACTTGCAGATACTCAAAAACAAATTTTCAAATTTTAAAGTTTGCCAGGCCAAATCATAAACAGTTTTGGTGTATGCCCTCTTAAGTCAGAAAGCTCTAACATTTGAAAATAGTTGTACCTATACATCATAGATATTGTAGGTATTGTGTACTAACTCACGTTTTACTTTGCCAAAAGTACCGCATCCCAAGGTTTCTCCAACGATGTAGTTTCCAATCTTCACATTATTACACGGTGTTAACTTAGACTGATTATCCATCATTACTATACACATGTCTTGATCTTCCAACTAAGTCATCTTGCTATGCTTATGTTAAAGATTGTCTTGTTAAGGTCCTTTTAAAAGATGGAACGGAGAAGACTGCACCAATCAGTGTTTACAACATTGGTCAGGGTTGGCTACAATATTTTAGCACAGTACAAATCACAAGATATTAAAGTAAATTTTGACTATTGCTGATTCTTCTTCTAGACCAATCACAGGTGATGCACACACTGTACTAGAGGAAATATCTACAGTTTTTTAGGGAAGTTTGAGGGTTCATTAAGCTTATGAGCAAAGAAAATATCTTACAGTAGTACTCAACGTACATGAGTACTACTGTGCCCTGCTCGGATGCCTTCCGAAATAGCTTCTTTCATAGATCTATGCTGAAATGGAATAGTCTACCAGTATGTATCCGGCAGTCAGAGCGGATTTCTACTTTTAAGGCCAAACTGATAAAGTACCTCTGGGCTGCCGATACAGTCTGGCCAGATTAGCTTCCAAGAAATGTGTTTTTTGTTGGTTATAATTCTGTCCGTCCGATTTCCTGTCTGCTTGTCTCCCTTAATTTTCTTGCTCTCAGTTCGTTGTGACAGAATTGTAATGATCAATATACTTATAATTATAAATATGATATGTTGTTATTGAGGTATGATCCCGAGCCTCAAAGCTATGAAAAATGACAAGGCTGCAGGCCAAACGCCCAGCAGTGAAGAAGCAGAGAAAAAGATAAAGAAGCCCTCAGAAAAAGGTACTGTTAAAATAAAAAAACCTATACTAAAGATTAAAGATGTTTCTAAAGATGTTTCTAAAGATGTTTCTAAAGATGTTTCTAAAGATTTTTCTAAAGATTTTTCTAAAGATTCTAAAGCCCCCCTAAAGAAAAGTGCCATTAACCCAAAAACAGTCCCCAAGTTTAATCTCAAAGGGCTGTGTTGTCGGTGTAAAAGTGATAACATGGCCTATGAGTCCATTTCTTGTCAGATATGTAAAGACGTTTTCCATGCATGTTGTAAGGATAAGGCTGGCACACTTATGCCCACGTCTATTTGTTCACGGACTTTCCTGACGAATATTTTGCCAGTAATTCACAAACACGGTAATACATATTCTCAAAGATATGGTGACTTTGGCTGGACATGTCCTAACTGTAAGAAAGCTCTCCTTGCAAAAACTGCTGTTAAAACTGCGGACTCAACTTGCAATACAAGCATGGACAGCACCAAGAGTGTGGCTAGCACCAAGAGTGTGGCTAGCACTGAAAGTGTGGCTAGCACTGAAAGTGGGACTACTACCACTACTGATACAACTTCAAGCAATGGAGATGAGAAGGCATTGATTGAAACTTTGAGCAATTTTAAAGTAAGTTTACTGTCAAGTGTAGAAGAACTTATTTCCATCAAACTTAAATCACACATAGATTCTTTGCTCACAGAAGTACCAAATCTTACACGAAGATCCAGCACCCCTAGTAGTGCATCATCTATCCCTAGTAGTGCATCAGCCCTAGCCCTGCAAACACCTAGTTCTTTAATTGCTTCCCCAATGAAGACTACCAGTTCACTTTCATCTTCAAAGAGCTACAGTGCTGCGTTGTCTCCTGAATCGGCTATAGATAGCTCCACTAGTACTGCTACTGAGAACTACATAGAACTAACCAAGAAGGAAACTCCTATGCAAAAACTTCCCTCTGGCAATATCCATAATAATTCTCCTGATAATCATGTTATCGTCCTCAATGTAGAAGCTAGTAATACTAATCTTGAGGAAGCAGGGAAGCTAGCTAGTAAAGCCCTTGGTACAATACCCATGATCTTCTTGACCCCTAAACCAAAGACAGGCAAAATTGTTATCTCCTTCCCTTCAGAAGAAGATAGAGAGGATGGGAAAATAGCCCTCGCAAACTCATCAGCTGTAACTTCGTCCAAAATCACTGTTAATGATGCAAAGAAAATGTTCCCGAAAGTCACAGTTACGAATATCCCAAACAACTTAATCTCCCACATTGTCTCTGAAAATCTATCAGTTCCTGAATTTCGAGAAAAGGTTAAAACCTTTATGGAACTGAAGCTTCTGGAAAAGAATCAATATGTTAAAGATTTGGTGACTAAGCATGATAGAACATTTAAAGTTGTGTATGTCAATTATGGAAGAGACTACACTACTGTTGGGATTAAAGTGTCTCCTGACATAAGGCATTTCCTGTTAAACAATCAGTCCATTTACATAGGAAATTCCAGATGTAAAGTAGTTGATAGATTTGATCTTAAGCAGTGCTTCCGATGTCAGAAACTGGGACACATTTCATCTCAGTGCAACGAAACTGATGTTATTTGCATGTATTGTAGTGCATCACACATAACACGGGCTTGTCCCTACAAAGAGGTCAGAAGAAGTCACAGATGCACCAACTGCTCACACTCCACCTATGAATCATACAGAGAATCTTGTAACACCCATCACTCTGGTGCTGAAAACTGTCCCATAATAATGCTGGAGAAAGAGAGTCTTAGACAAAGAACAGAGTACTCAAAAAACATGTGAAGACTACGCTTCTCAACCTAAATGTCGGACTGTTTAACACAAGGTCACTATGTAATAAAACTGCACAAGTATTTGAGCAACTGTCTGACTCCAATATCAATGCCTGTTTCCTGACAGAAACTTGGCTACGTAAGGGAGATACGTCAAAAATAGCGGAAATTAAAGACCTAGGCTATAATATTGTTCACCAATCTAGAGCTGGTAGAGGAGGTGGTGTCGCTATTGCCTTTAAGAAAGATCTTAGCTTCAATAAACGCCCTACAAAGACCCATAAATCCTTTGAACATGTTGAGAGTGTGCTGAAGTCAAGTTCCAATGACCTTCTTCGTTTCTGCTGTGTCTATCGATCTTGTACGGCTAAAATGTCCAAAATGACAGACTTTTTACGGGAATTTGATGAATATCTTGACAGTCTAACTCACCTTCCAGGTAGACTGATCATTGCTGGAGACTTCAATATCCATGTCGAAGACCTCACTGATCCTGATACGATAAATTTTATCCATCTCATATCAAACTATGGCCTCATCCAGCATATTTCCAGTTCAACACACATTGGGGGTGGAATCTTAGACCTTGTTCTTACTAGAAGCAATGCGTGTGATATGTTGAACATAAAAGATATAGATGTAGCTAAAACAGTAACAACATCAGATCACTACTTCGTAAATTTCTCTATTGCCTTTCCTCACCACAAAGGAAGCAACAAAGAAGATATGGTGGGCAGAAAGATATCAGATATAGACATAAATCTTTTTAAGGAGGATCTGTTGCTATCTGACATAAATGACCCCAACAAGTTTATTGACTGCAACTCTGCCACGGAACTCTATAACAAAGAACTTCGCAGAATTCTTGATAAACATGCTCCCCTTATCTGTTTTAGCATTAATCCTGATCAAAGCAAGTGGGTGGACACAAAATGTCAAACTGCCAGAAGGAAACGAAGAAAAGCTGAACGTGACAACAGGAGACTTAAAACTGCAGATTCAAAATTAGACTATAAAAAAGCTGTTAAGCATGCCGAGGCAGTTATAAACACCACTAGACAGCTATACTATGAAAATCGTCTGCAAAGCTGTGAGGACAATAAAAAAGATACCTACAAAATAGTCAATCAGCTGATGGATCGGGACATATCTAAAAACTTGAAGCCTAATAACAAACCTGCTGAAACTCTATGTGAGGAGATGAAAGAGTTTTTCAATGATAAAGTGGAAAAGATTTACTCTGCCATTAACAATGATACTGCAGCTGACATTCTTCTTGACCACTCTGAACCATTTCAAGGTGAAGCCTGGAGCCAATTTGAAACCATAAGCGACAATGATCTCAAAAAGATTCTTTCTGACCTTAACAAAAAAGAATGTGAAGAGGATCCCATCCCTCTAAAACTTCTAATGCAGTGTTTTAATGAAGTTAAACCAATTGTGTCATTTATTATCAATGACTCACTTGTCACTGGAAAATTTCCGTCAGTCCTAAAGAGTGCTCTTGTCAGACCAGCCATCAAAGATGATAAAGGAGATGTCAATAGCTTCAACAACTATAGACCGATTAGTAACTTACCTTTCCTCTCGAAACTCATTGAAAAGAGCGTCCAGAAACAGATGACCAAACATCTTGACTATCACAATCTTCATGCTGAGCATCAAAGTGGTTATAGGTCAAATCATAGCTGCGAAACTGCGACCCTTACCATCTACAATGATCTTCTTTGTATCAGTGACATGAAAAGTAAGGTTATCCTCCTCCTTTTGGACCTCAGTGCTGCTTTTGATACTGTAAATCATCACTTGCTCCTAAAAAAACTAAAAAAGGACTTTGGTTTTGAAGGTACTGTTCTCGAATGGTTTACATCATACCTTAATAACAGATCCTTCACAGTAACTATTGATAAATCAAGATCAAAGAGATGCTTCCTTAGAATTGGAGTCCCGCAAGGTTCAATTCTAGGTCCAATTCTGTTTATACTTTACACAAAGGAGCTCAATCAGATCGCAAAGAGACATGGATTTAACATCCACATGTACGCAGATGACACTCAACTGTACATTGAGTTTAACCCACTATTTCGAGATCTCTCAACAATCGAAGAGAGAATAACAAATTGTTTTGAAGATATTAAGACCTGGATGACCCAAAATAAACTCAAACTGAACCAAAACAAAACAGAAGCTCTTGTAGTACAGACCAAGAACAGTTACTCTTCATGTCCAGTCGATTCAATACAACTTGACAATGCAGCTGACCCTGTGGATGCATCCCGCACAGTGAAAAGTTTAGGTGTCCTATTTGATCAATTCCTAACATTTGAAGACCAAATAAATTCAATTATCAGTTGCTGCAACATCCATCTGAGAAACCTCCGAGTTATAGGCTCAAAGCTTAACTATGATCTAAAAAGACAGCTCATTCACTGCTTGATCTTTTCAAAACTAGACTACTGCAATGGACTCTTATACGGTTTACCTGATCTTCTAATAAAGAAACTCCAGAAG